TTGTTTAATTTCATGTTAAGAGTTGTTACAATAAGTACATGTATATTATTAAATATTGAATAATATATAAAGCAGTCCTTTAAGGGCTACCAAATACTTTCAAAAAGATATTTGAAGTAGTTGTTGGACAGTTATTTGAGTTGACTAATAAAATATTATAAGTGTGTCTTTATAATAGTCAAAAATTTCAAATTTGATGATTTGGGACTTTTCTTTTGATGTGTGTGTATCTTCTCCAATTTATGTATAGAATTTATGCAGGGCCTTAAATTGTGTAGAGGCATGTTGGTGTTTTGTCTCCAGCATGGTCCAGGGAAAAGTTCTCTGACAACACTAGCGGCAACTCAGATGGACATCACAAACTAGTACATTGGTTTGGCTTTTGAAACACTGAATAGATTCTTGATACACTTGATGCAGTTCAAAACCAAATACTGTCGGCAAGTCAGATGATACATTGTATACACATACTTTACTTGAGATGAAATAAAAGTCATTGGACAATATTTCAGATTTTTACGAAATTTTGTATGCATTTAGAAATAGTTGAACTGCATCTAAATAATTGAAAACTGGCATATGTAGCATTACTATATAGATTCTATATTTTGAGTCCAAAATGATGATCTGAGCGAGTTCACCGGCACATTAAAAATACCAAAATTTAATAAGATTATCTAATTTTAACACTCGTCGTAATCACCAATTCATCAAGCCAATTAACATGTCATTTAAGTTTTCACACCTGAGACATCAAATACATTTAATTTGGTGTCTTCCTGCTATTCCTACATTTTGAAAATAAATATTCCTTCTATTCCTATCTTTCAAAAACAATGGCAATGCTTAATTCGACTATGGTGCCGTTTGAACAATATGATTTCTAATCGGTTATCCAGAAAAGTTTTCATATGGGCAGACATTATGAGTAAAAAACACAACTGTATAAAAATTGGATTTTTTATGAAACGAAAATATTTTCAAAAATTTGAATATGAAGAATATCTGAATATTTTAAGTGATAAAGATAGAATAACATATTGTAGATTTAGAACGGGAAACCACAAGTTACCCATCAAAACTGGTAGATGGAATAAAATTGAACGTAACTATAGATATTGTAATTTATGTCATTGTAACGAGATTGGGGATGAATTTCATTACATTTTGCAGTGTAGTTCTTTGACAAACTTTCGAGCACAATATTTGGATACTTTTTTCTTGCACATTAGTAATATACTAAAATTTGGAAAACTATTTCAGTTAAAATTAAAAAATAAGTTTAAAAAGCTGTGCAAATTTATCAGGGTTATAACTTTTCAAGCAAGTCTTCCTGGTAAATCACCACTCTTCGCCACTACTGTGTTATTTTGTGTTTTTTTTTATAGAAAAAAGCTCTTTTTTTTTACAGAAAAACTTTTTTTTTTATAGAAAAAACATTTTTTTTTATAGAAAAAGCATTTCTTTTATAGAAAAAACAATTTTTATAGAAAAACATTTATTTATAGAAAATATTTTTTTTTATAGAAAAAACATTCATTTATGGAAAATAATTTTTATACGCCCGTTTACGGGACGTATTATGGTATACCTCTGTCCGTCCGTCCGTCTGTCCGTCCGTCTGTCCGTCGTCAACATGTCGGACATAAACTAAAAAATGCTTTCACCAATTTTTATAAAACTTTGGTGAATTGTTTATATCTATTGACGTGAGCTCCCTTTCATTTTTTATAAAATTTAGATTTTAAGTTTCCGAGTTATGGGGTTTTATTCATTAAAAAAAGGGGGATTTTCCAGTTTTCGGACAATAAGTCAAGAATGCTTTCACCAACTTGCAAGAAATTGTGGTGAATTGTTTATATCTATTGACATGAGCTCCCTTTTGATTTTTATAAATTTTAGATTTTTACGTTTCCGAGTTACAGGGTTTTATTCATAAAAAAAAGGGGGGATTTTCCAGTTTACGGACAAAATCAAAAATGCTTTTAGCAATTCTTATGAAACTTTGGTGAATTGTTTGTATGTATTGATGTAAGCTCCCTTTAGATTTTTATAAATTTTACATTTTATATTTCTGAGTTATGGGGTTTTATTCATTAAAAAAAGGGGTGATTTTCCAGTTTTCTGACAATAACTCAAAAATGCTGTCACCAATTCTCATGAAACTTTGGTGAATTGTTTATATCTATTGATGTAAGCTCCCTTAATATTTTCATAAATTTCTGATATGACATTGAGAATTAATTGAACTTTATTTGTTTATAGTCTGACAACAAATATACTAAGTATTGCACAACAGCAAGAAATATTTAATTGAATATAAATTCAATTCATATAACCAATTTCAAGTTCTTTGACTACATTTATTCAGAAACCTATAATATGTCAAATATTTAATTACAATCCAAATTCATACCTGAATCAAGCTTGAATATTGTGTCCATTTTTGCCCCAACTGTTCAGGGTTGGACCTCTGCGGGCGTATCTAGCTGTGCTCAGCGAAGCAGTTTATTTTTTTTTATAGAAAAACTTTTTTTTTTAAATAAATTGTTCTTAATAAAAGATTTTTATAAAATAAAGTTAGTATTTCAAAGGTCTCCAAATATGAAAAAAATCTACCAAATAACAAAAAAGTTATGATCATTAAAGAAATTTATATCTCATCCGGTCAATCGTCCTATCATTATTGTAGCCCGAATTATAAAAAATAATATAATTCTGAATGATTAGTTTTGCATTTTGTAAAGTAATTTAATGTTCTATGGTATATTTTAGTAGTTTTATTGTATTTTGTGTAGTTCTGTGGTATATTTTGGGTGTTCTGTGGTATTCTGTGGTGTTCTGTGGTAAAAAGACGTTCCGTTAATAATCACCTATTTAAGTAGTACAAATAAATCACTAGACTAAGTGATTTAATTTTATTGTAGCTTTAAATATACAATACTATAAATGATCCAGGGACTAATTATGTTGCTAAAATTATCAGAACAAACATCTGTGTTCAGAGGATGACCGGTCATGTCAGGTGATGACCTTGTACTGAATCTGGGATAATGATATGAAAATCACTTGTTTAAGTATCATACCTCTATTTTCTTCCAAAAAATTACTTCTTTAAGTATTATTATTTTAATTACCCCCACTAATTTCAACACCCCGGAACAGTGAAATTTTGATAGCGAACAGTAAAATTTTATTACATAATCTGTAAGATGAAACCTTGAATTTTACAGTTAAAATACTCCCACTGCTGGGAAAAATCTGTTAAGAAAGTATTAGTTTATTATGTAAAGCCTTCATTATAGCATTTTTTCAACAAATATAGAATTTACAGATGAATGATTGCATCAAAGGCACAAACCTTGCTACTTAAAAGAAGCAAAAGGTTAATTTTTTTCAATTTTACTAATTAATAAGATATAATCTAAACCTGTATGTTTAAAATTTTGGTAAAACAACAAAATCATAGAATTTCTAATTTGCTAATTAAATAAGTGATTTTAGAAATCACTTATTTCAGTAATTCCCCTGACTGGTTAACTTTGCCTGAATTTTAACTTTTCTTTCAGTACAAATACAGGGCTCACGCAAGCAAGTGACTGGGGTGACAAAGTCGCTTTCCCATCCATCACTTCGCTTTGCCTGACCGTCAAAAGCGATATCTAGTCGCCCTGGTGTTCACAATAGTCGCTTGCAGTCGCTTTCGTCATCGACGATTTCCCATTTTTACCAAGTCAATGATACAGCATATTTTTCATTTAAAAGTGAAGAAATTAAAAGACATAAAAATGTATTTCTTTAGAAAAGATGTGAAAGTATTGACTTAACAGATCGGTCGTATGTTATTTCAAAGAAACAACTTTTATGAAGTACTATCTTTCACTTCCGGTACTTGTTACTTGAGATCGTATATCCAAACATTCTGATTTCCGCAAAATAAGTTTGTTACTTCTTTAGGAATTTATAAAAATTGCCTTTAGTTAATGTTTGATCCATTTATTGCATTAAAAGCGTCATATTCCTTTCCGAATCGCTTGTCAAACATTGTTTATTTTGGTAAATTTTCTTCGTCCACCATTGAAATATTTGTACGAACCACGGATTGGAGGAAGGATTCATCGGAAGCGGACCAGCTATGACCGAAATCTGTATTCTTATGATAATAACTACAGACACCTGAATTGAACAGCTGACAAAAGAATAATGATCCCAAAAGTGAAAATTACTTATTCCACACGCATTAACAGACTTTTGGTTAGATCTCCTTGCTAAATGTATATATTTTCATGTAAATACACTGTTTCAATTTATTGATTAAAGTTGCTTCACGTTGTTTAATTTATATATCTTTTTAATGAGAAGCAATGAATTTTATTAACATGATAAACAGAATAGTTTTTTAATTGCATTTTAATTGATATAATATTATGATACTTTCTTTTCCTTTTTGATATGAAAAAGTTCTTTTTAGTGCTAGATATTTAGTTGGTAGATTCTGACAACTATTCTAACTGTAAATGACTATTTAAGACATAAATTGAAACAACTGTTACTTTAATTGACTCAGGTATGGATTGATAAAAAAAGAAATAGGTAACATATAGCCCTTTATATTATTGTAAAAACCAAACATTGAAGTGCAGCGAGTGAACGAGCACTTCTCTTTCAAATCTCACCACTTCTCCCTACCAGTTTCAAAAAGAGAAGTCACTTCTCCCTATGATTTTCAAGTAGTGTGGGACCTGCAAGTACATACTTTGATTGACAAAAAAATTACAGACAAAAAATATAATTAAAATCATGCCAATACTCAAAATACTGCATGCTTCTGTGCAGATGATACTCTCAGGGTATGATAGTCCACTAGCAGCAGTGCTATTTTTTTTTCATCATATAATCATTTATAAAACTTTATGCTACATCAGCAGATTTTTTGTGTTTTGTTAGTTTTATGCACAGTATCCCTGCATCTTTTTCAGTTGGTTATTTTTAATTTTTAGATAACTGCTATTGCTGCCAGGTCCCAAGAAAAAGCCAAAAAGTTTGCAGATATATTTGAAGCACCAAAAGCTTATGGTTCTTATAAAGATGTAGCTAATGACCCAGATATTGGTTTGTATTTATAACACTTAAATATTCAATTTAATTGTAGTATTTAATCTTTCACAGTGTTAAAGTATAAGATAAGATGATCATAGAAAATTTATTGATTCAGTGTATCAGAGGGTTTATGTATTATGTCTAGATTTGGAATCTTTTGCCATTATTGTCATATTTTGATGGGATAAAAAGAGCTGAGTGGGACGGAACTACAAACTTACCATGCATTTCTCCTCTGTAAACTACATTGTCAAGTGTTTTGATACTTGAGAATTGTTGAGGATATATTTGAAGCTTAGGTAGCTTCAGAGAAGTTGGCTAAAAAGCAGTGAACAAGTACAAAATAACACAAAATGAAAATAATACTTTGTAAATTTTGTGCGTCCTATGCGCCTTTATGGATTTACCTTCATTAAGATAGCCCAAACCCCAACATTTGACAGCCAGGGATGTATAAATACCTAAATATGTGAGGAGCTATATGACCAAAAGGGACATAAAAAAGAATCCCTTTTTATACGACTGCAAAATTTGCGGCCGTATAATGGTTGGCGATATTGTTGTCTGAAGATATTTGGTTTCCAGACAATAACTTGAGTATAAGTTTATGGATCTCTATGAAATTGTACCACAAGGTTCCATACCACAAAAGGAAGGTTGAGATTGATTTTTGGGGTTGAGGCCCTAACTTTTTAAGAATTTTGGGCCCAAAAGGGTCCAAAAGTAAACATTTTTCTGGTTTCGAGTCAATAACTTGAGTTTAAGTGTTTAGATTTGTATGAAATTTTACCACAAGATTCCATACCACATAAGGAAGGTTGGATTGAATTTTGGGGTTATGGTCGTATCGGCTTAGGAATAAGTGGCCAAAAAGGGATAAAAAACAAGCAATGTTTTAAACTTTATTTGAATTGCTTATTTCTGACTAATTTCAATGGCGTTTAAATAATCTTGAAATATTGGGGTTGTTTGATATGCTTTAACTTGTCGTGTATTTAGAATTTTGATTTTGGGTCGTGATTTCAAGTGGGTCCAAATTAGGGTGCTAAACATTTCCCACATATACTTTAATAAAAACAATGTCCTCCAAATTGACCATTCTGTTCAAAGGGAAATATCTCAAACCACAATTTAATGATAATCCACTAAAACACGCAACTTTAATGTCACGTTTTGATATCACTTTTCAGAACAATTCTAACCACAAATTCACAAATCTGATTAAAATAACATCCCAACCACTTAGAATTACAATCCCATAAACCACAATTACCAATTCATACTCAATTTAATGCCACATTTTTATCCCATGTTATTATCCTATTTTTGTCTCGCCTTGACGGAGTCAAAAAACGAGACATAGGTATGCTGTTTCCGGAGGCGGCGACTTTGAAACTTTTGCTAAGTTTACATGTACTAGTTTGTGATTAGGTCAGTTTATGGGGAACCACTAGTGGTAGGTCAATGATATTTAGTATGCAGTTGTATAAGCATTGGCATATCTTATTTCCATGGAGATTATTTGGCCCCATCCCCTCAGTCATGGTCTATTGACTTTTAAACTTTTACTTAGTTTACATGTATTAGTTTCTGATCAGATCAGTTTAAGATGAACCGCTAATGTTAAGTCAATGATATTTAGTATGCAACTGTATTGGCATTTGCAAGTCTCGTTTCCATGGAGATTATATAGCCCCACCCCCTCATCATGGTTCATTGACTTTGAAACTTTTACATAGTTTACAAGTCAATTTATGCACACAAAAAAAATAAAATTTTCAGTTCATTATAATATAATTCTATTATCCTTTTAACTTAGATATAATTACATTCTGCATTTCATTTCCACTACATCATTCATTCCTAAAATTGATAAATTATGAATATTATTTTCTAAATGCTAACAGTTTAACAATGCCAAGAAAAATGAATTTCCTCCCCTTTCCCATTACACAAAGTCACAATATGTTTAAAAACTTCAATCATTGCCTGATGACAAATAAACCTCAACTACCATACACATCCATCTGTACCCCACTTGTAGCAATATTCAAACACCAAACAATAGTTAATTAATTTAATAAAAGGTTTCCTACCAATTACAGCTTAACTAAATTCCTTTATGGAACATTTTAAAAACTTTGCTTATATTGTCCATTAATAAATAAATGAATTAAATTCTTATTGTACTTGGATATGCTGAATAAAACCGTGTATTTAGATTTTGGATATTGGACAATAATAGGTAAAAGTCCAATTTCATATTTTTCAGTTATTTGACCACATTTATTCTGTGTCAGAAACCTATGCTGTGTCAAATATTTAATCACAATCCAAATTCAGAGCTGAATCAAGCTTGAATGTAGTGTCCATACTTGCCCTAACTGTTTGGGGTTCGACCTCTGCGGTCATATCAAGCTGTGCCCATTTTGTTTAGTACTGACAAAATATTCTTAGAACTGTTCCAAAATTAAACACATGGGGGCATGGGAGGCACTTTTTTAGACCCCAATCAGCAATAATATAAAATTTTCAGTTTACAGTACTTTTAATTCTTACAAAATTTTAAGGAAAAAGCAACCACCCACATTGTCACAATTAATCAATTTGAGGGCCCCCATCAGGATAAATTTTGGAACAGCTCTTACTGTTTGATAATTTATTTACAGAAATTGTTTACATTGGAGTGATACATACAGAACATGTCAGATTGAGCATGATGATGTTAGAGGCTGGAAAACATGTGGTATGTGAGAAACCATTGGCAGCAACCTGGCAAGAATGTAAAAAGGTCCTAGATTATGCAAAAGAGAAAAAATTACTGTTCCTTGAGGTATACTTATTGAGCTAGTTGTAAAGTATATGTATATGTACACAATAATTAAATCAGACGATGTGGTATGAGTGCCAATGAGACAACTCTCCATCCAAGTCACAATGTGTAAAAAGTAAACAATTATAGGTTAAAGTACGGCCTTCAACACGAAGCCTTGGCTCATACCGAACAGCAAGCTATAAAGGGCCCCAAAATGACTAGTGTAAAACAATTTCAAACAGGAAAACCAACTGTCTAATCTAAATAAAAAACAAGAAACACTTATGAACCACATCAACAAACGACAACCACTGAACAACAGGCTGACTTCGGACAGGTGCATACAAATGCAGCAGGTTTAAACCTTTTAACAGGCGCCAACCTTCACCCTAACCTGAAACAGTAGTGTAACATTACAACATAAAAAGACATACTCTATTAATCATTAGAAAGTTGTGCATGATAAAGGCCAATGCAAAGTGCAAATGATAAATCCATTTCAATTTATTATATGATTACCATATTTAGGATATAACAGATCCAATGATTTCAGCTGAAATGGTTATTATAATGTCACAGTATATTTGCAACCTCATTTTTCCTAGTTTTTGGGATACGATTGCTGTCAAGCAATCTGTAGACTTTTAGGATTGACTCCTTTCCAAGGCTCTCACGTCAACCGTTGTGTGCTTTATATTAAGGAATAACTCAGATTCTTAAGATTATTCTGTTTTAAAGAGTAAAACAAACAAACAGATTGAATTTAAAAAACTTTCCGTTAATGTTCTTCTCATAATCCTCATGTTTTGATATCTCCCTTTTTTATTTGCGTTTATTTTACAATACGGAAAATCAGTATTAAGCAGTATCTATATTTAGGGTTTTATATATTTAGCAACATGTCAGAGTGGGAATTCTGCTGTTGTTGTTTTCTTAAAATGTGAAAGTGGTTCCGAAATAAAACTATTTCCGTCAGACAAGTACTGAAGTGGTGTTGTTCCTATTATGTTACCTTTATGAAACTTTGATATTGAACTTCCATAAAGAAACGGAGAACCACAATTGGCATGTTTTCCTCAATCAAAACATAATTCTAACGGTTTGTTTATGCAATTAGGCGCATGCGTAGTTTTCTTGACCTTGAGAGGCATCAGAATAAATGGTTGCTCTGGATTCTTCATGTCATTGATTGATTTTCAACTCAAGAGATCCTTGTCTGCTATTTAGGGTTATTGCTGTTGCATTATTAACTCAAAACATGTAGTTAACAGCGTAATGATAGAAGTAGAAGTAGAACACCCCCCTCAGCCCAAATGGAGTCTTCCATATTATCAACGCTATTAAGAAACTTACATGCCACTTGTTGCTCACTGTTGATCAAAAGTTTTTTAAAAAAAAGTCAAACTCATTTAACATGTTTTAATAAACAAGTTATCAGGTAACTATTCGCTGTTATTTCTGTTTTGTTAAAAATTGGGGTAGATCAACAATGAACTCAGCCATCAATAGATTACCTGTGGATAGACTATTCCATTCAAGTCAGGGGTATACTTGTTGATAGACTATTCCATTTAAGTCAAGGGTTAAAATCTGTTAAAACTTCATGAAACAGAAGACTTGTAATAATCAAAAGACAGTGTCCAGAGCAAAATTTATGCATTTGTCTGTGTATTACTAGTAATTGGACTAGTTGGTGTTTTTTTACTGTTAACTTTTAGATATTTTGGCAATTTTCTAAAGTGAAAAACTATATTCAGATTGAATCAAATAGGGAATACATGTCATTGTGCAGTTGAATTATTTTTGAGAAAGAATACTAATATCAATGGAGACAATGGCAATCATATCCCTCAGAGCGATCAAGCTCTTTGATTATAATTTTGCTGCCAACGTCCCATTATAAGATTGTTTTGTTTTGTATTGTTAAAGTAAATGTAACAAATGAAAGGGGTCATTTTGTGAAAAAATTCAATTTTGGAAACAAAATTCCATAAAATATCAATTTTGAAATGATGATAACCATTTTAATGGAAATATATATAAAAATATCTGACAAATATAAATTCACAAGCTGGATTTACATACAGGAGAAGGCACAATAAGGCCACTTTTTTGGTCCTTTGACTTCCAAAACAGTAAAAGTATTATCAATCCTCCAGACAGTGCTTGACAATAACGCTTGTCCGATTGTCCGGTACCAGAGGAAAAAAAGGTCGGACAAGTAAAAGCCATATCAAGCTTGTCCGACAGGACAAGTTAAATCATTCTGTAGAAAATAAATTAAATCCAACTTTGATGATCTAACTAATAAACAAAAAATAAGAAAAGAAGATAAAAACAAATATCAATTTGACATGTTTTACTTGTGATCGATAATTACTGGTTCTTTGTCAGATGCTTTATAACAGATAAAACACATACTATTCTCAGAAACCAGTCTTACTGATCGGAATCAGCAATGCCCTTTGTAGGTAACAAGGCAGTTAGGCACCGGCACGAAAACGAATCGGCTCCATGTTTAATAGACAGTTTGGCTCCGTAGGAGACATTTTGGGCCCAAGACAAACCAGTACCTCGTTTCCCTACCTTATTCTGTTGCTTTAAAATGAATAATATAAATTTTATTTAACAAAAATATTTTAAAAATAAAGATGAAGAAATAATTGACCATAAAATTCATAAAATCATATTTGATCATATGTAGACAAAACAATACTTAATTGCGTTTGAATAAACATTTTAATATATTAAAAACAAAGGCTTAAGCTGATTGTAGTAAGGCATTAATCATAATAATCAATATTTTATCAACATAAAAGACCAGGATACATACCAAATGATTGAGACTGACAGGCCTACCAGATTGTGCCTAATGTGCAGAGTCTGATGAGCCTTTGGCATTGATGAAAACTAGAAATGAAGTCCTGTGTCATGACTAGATTTAGTTGTTCTCGACCCATATTTTGGAAAAGGATATCAAGAGTTATATAGTAAATCCTGTTCTATTGTTTTTTATTCTCTTTGTTCATTGAATTAACTTAAAATGCAAAAAAGGTTAATATAAAGTTGTTTTTTTGGACAAGTTACAATTCCATTTGGACAAGTAAGTTTTGGTATGTACTTGTCCTATTGGACAAGTTAAAATAAAAGTTATTGTAGAGGCCTGCCAGATAACATCCTTCAGATGTTGATAAGACATAATTTTGACAGATATAAGCATTTAAAGTATTGATTTTTGTCTTACATATTTGCATTAAAGCTCCAAACTTTTTAGTGCAAAACTTATGAAATAGTCTCATTTTGAGATCATATTATTAATATTTAGATATGAGCCAAGGCTTTACCCAAAAAGATATTTTACAGCAAAATGAATTTTTTAAAGATGTTAATGTGTGTAAAATATCTTTTTGGGTAAGGTCTTGGCTCTTGTCTATTTTGTCCGAAATCTATGTGTGAAATTCATTTTGGTCAAATATGTCAATTTCAACATGTTTATGATGTCATAGTGACATCACAGGTAATATCATGATGTTTTCAGTGTTATGTCTTCCCTATTTAAGGCAGCTTGGAGTAGATTTTTCCCAGTCTATGATGCAATCAAGGAAGAAGCAAATTCTGGGAATCTTGGAGACATTTCTATGGTAACCACACAGTTTTGTATACCTATCATGTCAGTAGAACGTTTACACAGGAAGGATTTAATGGGTGGTGTACTTCTAGATATAGGAATCTACTGTATACAGTTTGCATGTCATGTATATGGAGAGATGCCAGAAAAGATTATTGCAACTGGTAGCCTAAATGAGGAAGGTAATCACATGAGTCTCGAACTACTTTATTTTGTTCAATATTCTGCTGTAGAGTGTGGATTATATATTTAGTTTATTTTCTGTAATGTTTATCACAGAGAAGCTTATTCTTGTTAACATATATGACATAAAGCACAACAGAAATAGTCTTTAAAGACCGCATTATTTCTAGAGAGGTACAAGAGTTGCATTAAAGAATTGAATGTAAGAGAAAATGTAAATGGCCTAGCTAATTAGTCCCCTACCGATGAAGTCGTGGGGACTTTAGGTTTGCACTCTGTCTGTCTGTCCGTCTGTCCATCCGTCAGTCCGGCAATTCATTTTTTCAGACTTTTTTCTTCATGCTTGAAGATATTGATTTGATATTTGGTGTATTGTTTTATCATGACAAGTTACAGGTCAAGTTCGATTTTCACGATTTTAGCTTTTCTCCTTGTTCAGTTAAAGCCCTTTCCCTAGAATTAAATTTTTGATGAAATACTTATTAATTACTAGATTTCTGTTCAAAGGGAGATAACTCATTTTTTTTAACTTTCCCTAGAATTAAATTTTTGATGAAATACTTATTAGATTTCTGGTCAAAGGGAAATAACTCATTTGTTTAAAAAATTTGTAAAGGACATTGTATTAAGATAAATGACATTTTGGATTTTTTTTCCTTTTCTTTAGTAAATTGTTTGAAGAATTTAGTGGTAGGTTTGTTTTTTGGTTATGACAAGTTATAGATCAAGTTAGAATTTCGTTCCATTACAATGAATTTTTAACCGGTAAGGGACTATGTATTGCCATGCAATACTCACAGAATGCTTGTTTTAATGAACTTTTGAAGATTCTTTAACATTGCTTTCTTATTAAGAAAACCTAAAATAAATTAAAACACTATGAGTTATCTCCCCTTATAGGGTAAATTTAATAATTTTAAATCGATCAAAAAATATTCTGCATTTATAGAAAAGTGTTACAAATTTAACTGCATTTCTGCCTTAAATTTGCTTTTTCATTTAAAAGTTTAGACGGATTGTGTTCTGCTATTTTATTTTCCAAGATGGTGGAAGACCCACATACTACCGTTAGCTCTTATCCCATGTGAATTATGTCAAACAGAAATACCGGTAGAAAAAAAATATGAATTATCAAGTATGAGGAAAATTCTCTTTTTTTCCCGTTTTCCAGAGGAATTTAGGGAGAAAAAATTGGCTTGATAAATCTGTCTTAAAATAGAAATATTGCAAGTATGAGTAAATTACAACCAAAGCTTCTTGAATATTTCATTTACAGGTGTGGATGAAGATGGATGTGTAATATTATTATACAGTGGTAATAGGAAAGCTAGTTTGGTATATAGTGGTAAAACTGCCTCTGGAAACAATACAGCTACTATCATGGGATCAAAAGGTCAAATTTTTGTAAGTTTTTATGGCAACTGTGTTACTGTGTACATCTCCAGATAATTGGTTTCAGAGTTCTAATAGAATTTTAATTGTAAAAATCTATGAAATATTTATATTCTATGTTGTTAGTTGATTGTTTATTTTTAGCTCACCTGCCTCAAAGGGCCAAGTGAGCTTTTCTCATCACTTGGCGTCCGTGGTCCGTCGTCTGTTAACTTTTACAAAAATCTTCTCCTCTGAAACTACTTGGCCAAATTTAACCAGACATGGCCACAATCATCATTGGGGTATCTAGTTTTAAAAATGAATCTGATGACCAACCAAGATGGCTGACATGGCTAAAAATAGAACATAGGGGTAAAATGCAAGTTTTGTCTATTATTTTCAAATCGTTATAAATAGAGAAAATCTGACAGGTCAAAAATGTTCAGTATGTTGAGCTCTACCAATTGTTCATTGGCGTCAAAACTGTCAGGCGACTTCTTATAGGAGTTATTGGCCTTAAATGACAAATTTAACCATGTGTTTTCATTTTTTCCTTTGATCTTGAAAACTATAATAGATAGAGAGAAACTTTAAGTTGCAAAAATGATCAGCAAGACAAGTTCTACAAAAAAGTCGACTCCTTATTATAGTTATTGCCCTTTAATGACAATTTTTACCAATTTTTTGCGTTTTTATATGCCCGTTTACGGAACGTATTATGGTATACCGTTGTCCGTCCGTCCGTCCGTCCGTCCGTCCGTCAATTTGTCGGACATTTATTCAAAAACGCTTTAACCAATATGCATGAAACTTTGGTGAATTGTTTATATCTATTGACGTGAGCTCCCTTTCGTTTTTTTTATAAATTTCGGATTTACCGTTTCCGAGTTTTGGGATTTTATTCATTAAAAAAGGGGGGATTTTCCAGTTTTCAGACAATAACTCCAAAACAATTTCACCAATTTGCAAGAAACTTTGGTGAATTGTTTATGTCTATCGACATGAGCTCCCTTTTGATTTTTATAAATTTCAGACTATACGTTTCCGATTTATGGGGTTTTATTCATCACAAAAATGGGGATTTTCCAGTTTTTGGACAATAACTCAAAAATGCTTTTAGCATTTTTTATGAAACTTTGGTAAATTGTTTATATCTATTTTTGTAAGTTCCCTTTTGATTTTTATAAATTTTAGATTTTATGTTTCCGAGTTATAAGATTTTATTTGTTTATAGTCATAAGATTTTATTTGTTTATAGTCATAAGATTTTATTTGTTTATAGTCTGACAACAGATTTACTAAGTATTACACAACAGCACAGTGTATTGCACAACAGCAAGAAATCTTTCATATAACCAATTTCAAGTTCTTTTACTACATTTATTCAGAAACCTATAATATATCAAATATTTAATTACAATCCAAATTCAGACCTGTATCTAGCTTTAATATTGTGTCCATTTTTGCCCCAACTGTTCAGGGTTGGACCTCTGCGGGCGTATCCAGCTGCGCTCAAGCGAAGCAGTTTATTGCCTTATATCTTAAAAATTATAATAGATAGATAGAAACTTGAATAAGCAAAAATGATCTACAATTAAGAAAATATGGAGGAAATCTTCTGACGACTCCTTATTGGAGTTGTTGCCCTTTAATGACGATTTTTACCATTTTTTTGCATTTTGCCTTATTTGATAAAAATTATAATAGATAAATAGACACTTTAAATAACAAAAAGCAAGGCAAGATCTATTAACAAGTCAAATTTTGTTGATATTGTTAGTAGACTGTCACTATTTATTGGAGTGTTTGCCCTTAAATGAGGATTTGTTTTACCCTCTTTTGTGTTTTGAGCAAAAACTTAAGAAGATAGAGAGAAACTAAACAGACTAAATGATTAGCAATATAAGATAAAAAAAAACGAGATTTTTGTCATGAATTCTATTCTTGTCTACAATGTTGGAGAGTGGCCTTTGTGGAATATGCTCATAGACCAAGTTGAGCGACACAGGCTCTTTAGAGCCTCTAGTTCTTAAATTTTATGTGTAGAGGCTATTTAACATGAATTATGTACATAGTGAATTATAAATTTATAGTTTCATGGATAGAAGAAGATTGTTAAACCATGACATAAATCACTCTTTTAAGAGGATTGTTTTGCTAACCTATGGCGTGAAAATATGTAACCATAAAGTTAAATTGTTGAAGCATTCAAAATAAATGCAGTGCAAAAGGGATCTTGACAGCAAATTATTTAAACATGGTGCAACAATATTCTGGTATACAGTTCATCCTTGTATCTTTTGCTGAAGCATCAGAAAAAGAAATAAAAACTAAAATTTTATATTTGAAATAAAATTAATATAAAAAAGATAGATGCAATTTAGACAGCTTTACTCAAACACAAAAGATAATGGAAAAATTAAATAAAAGAGGTGCAAAAGGGCTGCCTAACATAGTAAAGGTTTTATGTGTACAGTTACACTGATCTTAGCACTAAAAGATTATCTGATATCCCTAAAAGTAAAGCAAAAGTTAATAAAAATAAAACGTAAAATTGGCAGGAAACCAGTTGAATTCTTTATTTAAGGTAGATCATAGGTATATATTTCTTGAGATAGAATTTTCTTATACTTTGCCAAAATGAAGATTTTACTATGCTTTTTTCAAAAATATAATGAAAAGTATGGGTCACCGTGCTTTTTTCCAAGCTATGAGTCGTTGAAAATAGCCTAAATTTGGTTAGATTGTTCATGAAAAAACACATATGTGTGCATAAAAAAAAATCTATGAGATAGAATTTTGAAATAAATTGTGAGAAGATAGGTTTTATAATATGCTTTAAGAAAACAAAAAGAAAAAATGGTGTCACCGAATTTGTTTTCTTGCTACAAGTAAAAATTAAAAATTTCCCTATCTGTCCAGTATATATTTTTTACTAAAAGAGTTATCTTCCCTGAAATGGTTTATTTGAAAAAATTTATTCGAAAAACACAAAATTTGATATTTGTTTAAATATTTTGAGTTATACAATAAATCACTAATTTTTATTTACATAAATAAACAGTCTAACCAATAAATTGTAAATCTGTTTCCAAATTGGCAGATTTAGGCGAATAAATAGACCGATTTTGTACTGGGATTGTACAATCCAAGATGGCGGTATACCATGAATCTACCTTAAATAATGTGACAGAAAATCAGAAAAAGTTTTTATTATTTCACAGATTGATGATTGTTTCTGGTGTCCAAAGTCTGTAAAGCTGACAGATACAACTGTGGAAAATAAAATACCTGAAGGTCCCTCACCATATAACTTTATGAACAGTGGTGGACTACGATATGAAGCTGACCATGCATTTAAATTAATCAGAAGTGGTAAGGTTAACTATACACAAGTTTAAATTAGCATTTAAATGTGAAACTTTTCTTTCATTTTGTAAAGCTATGTTCAAATTCCGGCAAAACATGAGCTACACTTGCTTGAGGTAACATTTGAATTTGCAATGTCATTTAAATTTGAACAAAACCAGAGATGAAAATTTTTTTTTTCAAGGTTCTGTGATCAATGTTTAATTTATTCATTAGTCATTTACTCCTGTTACAGTATGTAATAAGTGAACACTAATTGGTCTTTAAAATATAGCATACTTTTTATGAAGTATACACTTGTTGATTTTATTGTAGGTGAACTAGATAGTCCTAAGTACGGATACAAAGATGTTGAGATGGTTCACACAATAATTGATGAGATATCCAAGCAGATTGGATTAAAATATTGAAGAGACCTGAAGGATTAAAGGCAGACAATGGAATTGGAAATATTTGATTGTTTGAAGGTAAACTTGACCTTTTCTGAAGTTTATGGTTTTTAAAATATATGACATTTTTGTTAATTTCAAAGAGAAAATAAGTTTTTCAAAAGGTATTATGAATTTATATGCAAGAGTTTTTAAAGACATTGAATGAATTAAAATTTTTAATTGTAAATGGTTTAATCAAAGAAAATTCATACACAGCATATGTTCAGTTTTCATTAAACTTAAAGTTACAATTTATAGTCTTTCTGTCATAGGTGGAATAAGTGGGTCAATAAAAAAAAAAAAATCAGAATTTGTATAAAATGGTTGATGAGAAACATTGAAGAGCTATTAGTTCCTGAATGGTAAATAAGCATTAAATGTATAAAGGTTGTTCAATAGTTTTTATACGCTCATCAATTAATTTAAATGTTGATCTGCATACTTTTCAACAATTTTCACTTTGTCATTCCAGAGTTATGGGACTTTAATCTTCATGTATCATGCATTAAAACAGTAATGCCTTGAGCAATTTACTTCAAACGTTTTCAAATAATTTAGATTGGTCATTTGAGGGTCTAGATTTTTTGATGTTATCTTTTATTTTTCAAATTCTTCACAATACTTTTTATAATGATTGCTTGTGAAAGCATTATACATGGTTCACCAGTTAATTTCATGACATTTTATAATTGTTTTAATTGTTTTATTTGTCACACAATTAAGGCTGATTATTGCTTGTAATTTATATTACTTTTTCTAGTACTTTTTTAGAATTTTAGTATAGGAATAGTATCCAAGAATTCCATTTTGTTATAATTTATTGTAATTGCATGAAAAAGAAAGATAGATACCTTTTAAAACAGCATAATACTGTTGAAAAACAGACTGCTTTCGAGCAAAGATTTCAAATACTTTTTGTTAAACTTTTGTTATGTCTGTATACCAATATACACATGTACTAACAAAATTCATCTTGAATCTAAAACTATATTGATGAAAATAGCCTGAATTATGCACATCTTACAACCAGTCTATTACTGTTCTTGAGTATCCGTTTGATAGTGCTTGTCTAAAGTGTAAATAAAAAAACATGTTTTCTCTTTTTTGACATTATTGAGAACATATAAGAGTGTGCCATATTCGTTTTTTTGTAAAAATAAGGTTTTCATTTAAGACAAGATATATCACTTTCATTAATGATTGAACAAAAGAAATCATACTTTAGATTTTTTATATATCTCGTAGCTAGTGCCCCTTTAAGAGTTAAAAAATTGTTATGGTGTTAGATGTAAAAAGTGAAAATGTTATAAAAATCTAGTGCTAATTATATATTTTTATAATTGAATAAATATTGTTAATTTTTATACAATTGTTGAAATTAAATAGATTACAACTGCAATCAAAAATAGTTGTTTTTTTTTCAATTAAGACAAGATATATTGTTTTATCTGTTAGTGATTTTTATATGAAATACAATATTATGTTTGATTATTTTTTTATATATAATTGTATAATTTGAAGCTTACATTTTATTGTATGTACATGCTAAACTGTTGGACATGTTAGTCCATATTGTGCATGGTTTGTTGTTATCATTAAGGAGGGACATATTAAAATAGTGATTTATTCCTACCTCAACAACTGCACTTTTTGACATTTTTTTATTTGTTTATGATCTCCTAGATTCCATTTCAGTTCAATTTTACATTAAATGTGCTTAATTCGAGAGTTCTAACTACTCTGAATAATAAATGGAAAAGAGAACTCGTCAGGACTTATAAAAAAGTAGTTAAATTATCTGGTTGTTATAATTTGATTCATTTGACAAATTTATTATGTTCTTGTTTCAAATTTCCAATAGGGAACATTTATAACATTATTGTAGTAAATAAACCATTTTTTAAAATGGTTTATTGACTACAATAAATTTATAATGAACAAAATAAAAGCTTTTTTAATGCATCACAGACAGAAATATTTGCTTATTAAATGATTCATTTGATTTAACATACTAGTAGATTATTGCAGAAGTTGTTCACTCATATTGTATAATGGAAATGTAAGAAGTAACATCATTTTGACCAGGATCAATGTATCTTAAAAAAAATATGTCCTGTCTTTTATTAATTACTGCAATGACATTTTGGATAAGTTTAGATGTTTGGTATTTGCAGCTCAGACACTTATATCTAAACCAAAGAATATAATCTTCACACACTTTGCACTTTGGAAATTTTATAACTTGAATGAGTACATGAAACACTTGCAGAAAAAAATATTTCTGAATCTTTATATGAAATAAAAAAAACAATATTATCATCTGGTTTATTCATTAAGCATTTGAATGCATAATATCTTTTATCAACCTTTGAATTAAGCACATCTACAATTTGTTTATTTAAATTTTTAAAAAAGATTGTTTGACATCTATATTTTGATACACATATATACATACTTGAATTCCAAATACATTATATTGCCTTTCTATTATAAAGATATCATGTCAGTATTTGTCCAGTGTGTGTCTGATGAGTGTAAAAGCTTTATCTATAATGTAGTTAATTTATATATTTCCTTATAGGCAGTGACAGCCATTTTGTTTTAAAAAGCATGCTCAGATTTGATATGCCAGTTGTAGAATTATTATTGTATCAGAAAAGGAAGTTGAATAATTCAGGGTTGGTGCAATTTTTTCCATAATAAGTTCTATAGTACAAAAAGTCTATGTTAAAAACAAATTTACTAAAATGTTTCGGTAATTATATGATTGTTATACATGGACATTCAGAATGAGAAGAATATTTGTTTGGGAGTTAAAAATTGTTATAGTGTTAGATGTAATAAGTGAAAATGTTATATAAATCTAGTGTTGATTATATATTTTTATAATTAAATAAATATTGTTAATTTTATACAATTGTTGAAATTAAATAAATTACAGCTGCAATCAAAAATAGTGTGTTTTTCATCCTGCTTATACGAAATATGAATAATGTTGTGTCCTTCCAGTCTTTCAAATGTGGTTAGATACTCATATTATATTCTGTAAACTATATACTAACTGACAAATGTAATTTATGAATTGTCCTTCACAAACAGTCCTCATTTTATTTGATTAAACTAAATAAAAACATGAGAACCAATTCTGACAAGTCAATTTTCCATTTCCATGTCCTCTGAAACATCTGTTAAACATTGAGTTAATATGCAAAAACTTCGAAACAAGTCTAAATCATTATTTGTGAATTTTTTATAGCTGATTATTTTAACTGTTCACATTTTCTATTATCTATTTCAGTTTTCAAGATAATAGTCTCAAACAAAAAATGAGTAAAAAAAAATCTTCTTTTAAGGACAATAACTCCTACAAGGAGTCATCAGATGGTTTGGGTGATTATGGTATTTTTATAGATCTTGTAATGCTGATCATTTTTGCTGGGTACAGTGTCTACTTGTCTATTATCATTTTTATTTTAATAGGGCAAAATTATGGAAATTTATTAAAAAATTGTACTTTAAGGGCAATGACTCCAACAAGAAATTATCTGATAATTTTTATGGAATAGGAAGGATCTTGACATTCTGAGCATTATGTTTTTCTGTCTGTGCGTCCATTCTTTCGTCCGTCTGTTCGTCCTTCCATCCGTCTGTCCCGCTTCAAGTTACTGTTGTTGGTCATGGTAGTTTTTGATGAAGTTGAAGTCCAATCAACTTGAAACTTAGTACACATGTTCCCTATGATATGATCTTTATAATTTTAATGCCAAATTAGAGTTTTGACCCCAATTTCACAGTCCACTGAACAAAGAAAATGATAGTGCCGCTTCAGGTTAAAGTTTTTGGTCAAGGTAGTTTTTGATGAAGTTGAAGTTCAATCAACTTGAAACTTAGTACACATGTTCCCTTTGATATGATCTTACTAATTTTAATGCCAAATTAGAGTTTTGACCCCAATTTCACTGTCCATTGAACATAGAAAATGATAGTGTGAGTGGGGCATCAGTGTACTATGGACACATTCTTATTTTGCTATAATTTTGAAACTATACTAAAGAGGAACAGTATAGCAATAATGATCAGCAAAATAAGATCCACTCATTTATTACCTCCTTAAAGAAGTTATTGCCCTTGAATGAGGATTTTTACCCATTTTGGTTATAATTTTGAACAGTGAAATAGAAACTTTTAGCAAGACAAGATCTACAAATCTATAATGATGATGATTATGAATTGGTGTTATGTCAAGTGGCAAATATGACATGTACACCCACATCAGGATCAGAAATGTCAATATGATATGAAAAAAGTAAAATAACAAAATACATAAATCCAAGGAAAATTCAAAACGGGAAGTCCCTTATCAAATGGCAAAATCAAAAGCTCAAACACATCAAACGAATGGGAAACAACTGTCATATTCCTGACTTGGTACAGGCATTTCCTTATGTAGAAAATGTTGGAATAAACCTGGTTTTATAGGAAGCTAAACCTCTCACTTGTATGACAGTCGCATAAAATTCCATTATATTGACAACAATTTGTGAACAAAACAAACAGACATAATAGGTAAAAATGTCAAAAATAGGGGTAAGCAGTCAACATTGTGTTATTATCTTAATCACTATAAAAACAAACAAATATGTCAACAAAGAAAAACAAAATAGCATATAGACAAAGCACATATGCAAAAATGAAAGACAAGAATACAAAAAATGACAATAGCAGAATAACACAATGGCGGGATGTATAAGTACCGAGCCACACCAAAAGGATATTACCAAAAATGGACTAAACAGTAAAGGTTAATAATTTACAAAGACAGATACAAGAACACTTTAACTCTTAATCAAGATGATAAACAATGTCAGTACCTAGAATCTATACTTCAAGACCATGATGTATTATTTGTGAAGTTGATACTGAATATTTATCAAGAAGGTCTTCGTATCTTACTATGAACTTTTTAAGAAAAAGGACGAGACATTCTTTGACATAACCCTGGTTCATCAACTTTCTGCTCAGACACTGATGATGTTTTATAAAGTCAGTAGCAGCTGCAAGCTCTTGAATACCCAATGAGTTTGGAAATGTATATCCCATATGCACATGAAGTTGGTATATTGCTACTAAGGTGGGGGAAATTGATAATTTCAAAATTAAAATCTTTTTGTTTGTCATAGAATCTGGTACTGAGATGACCACTTATGTCAAATTTGAGGTATAAGTCTAAATATGAGGCGGAGGAAGCTGTGTCTGTTGTTTCTTCAATTTCTAGTTGTGGAGGATATGTTAATGGAACCCAATCAGAAAAGTTTGGATTGTTAACGGAAAGAACATTAATATATCTGAATGTGAAATTAAATGATCTGGCTTCTATGATCTTTTTGTTTTTGACAAGTGTCTGAAGGAACTCATATTAAAATAAGATGAGGTTGGCAAGGAGAGGCTCACAGTTCGTTCCCATAGGACATTCATGTCCAGTGTACAAAGTAGTAACGATATTGTACAACGTTGTCGATATTGTTTCATACTTTTGCCTACATCAATGACATTGACGATATCGTGAAGTAGACAATGTCAACACTATATTGTACAACATTGTTGATATCGTTTCATACTCTTGTCTACATCGTTGACACTGACGATATCACGAAGTAGACAATGTCGACACGATATTGTACAACGTTGTCGATATCGTTTCATACTTTTGTCTACATCGTTGACATTGACGATCTCGTGAAGTAGACAATGTCAACACGATAGTGTACAACGTTGTCGATATCGTTTCATACTCTTGTCTACATTGTTGACATTGCCGATATCGCTAACACATTACTCGTGTTTACATTGTTAATTTTGAATACTACGATGTCGACATGGTGATGTACTACTTTGTCAATATCCTTTCATCATTTTGTTTCTGCATGGTTGGCATTGCAGACATCGCTAACAAGACAATGTCAAAACACCTTTTTACAACGTAATCTATAATGTCAACATTGCAAAGATGATGAGGAGGAGGAGAAGGAGGAGGATAGAGATTTGAAAACATTAAAAAACTGTCCAAATAATACTATTAAGAACATCGACACAGGCGTTATATAAATACATTATTTGAAATTGAAATTGATAAACTTCTGGTCTCTACATGGTTGGCATTGCTGACATTGTAGACGATGTCGTCATGATGTTGTCAACATTACGATGACGGCGATGTCAACGATGTAGACAGGAAAGGGGGACAATGTAGACAATATTGTCACGATGTTGTCAACATTACGATGTCGGCGATGTCAACGATGTAGACAGGAAAGGGGACAATGTAGACGATGTCGTCACGATGTGGGTGATGTCAATGATGTAGAAAGGAAAGGGGGACGATGTAAAGGATGTCGTCACGATATTGTCAACATCACGATGTCGGTGATGTCAACGATGTAGACAGGAAAGGGGACGTAGACAATGTTGCGAGCAGGTTTAAAATCATAGACGAAGTTGACAATATTGGCAATATCGTCACTACATCGTGCACTGGACATACCTCCCATAGGAATGCTACCAATGTGTTGATAAAGTCCACCTCCATATTCAACAAATATGTTGTCAATAAGAAACTCCAGCATACTGATCACTTTTTCCTCTGTGGAGCATGTTTTACTTTTTTTTTCACTATTTACAAAATATACCGTATGGTATCCCAAAGTAATAAATCTATAGTGTATGCTAACATTTTTATATCAAAAAGCATTGTGGATTATTTCTTTTAGACAATTTTTCAATTTCACATGGGGAATGGTGGTATATTGGGTTGAAAAATCAAAAGTGCTGATAGAATTAATTTCAGAGAAAGAATATGCCTGTACTAGACTGAAAAGTAGAGCTGGATTTTTAATATGTTAGTTTACCAGTTAACAGTATGCAGGAAGACAAGTCATCCTTCCAAAACACATTATTCTGACACCTAAATTCCTGGAGCTAGGGTGAAAAATAGCAAATACTTATTTTCAAATCTTTGGTTTGAACCCACAGCTTCTAGTACTCTCTATGTATACCACGTCTCCTCTATTGTGACATTAAATGCTTTTCAGTTACAAGTATCATTGCAAGCAGACTTCTTTGTTACTTAGCCTTAATTTGTGTCAGATATAACCACTCTAAGATATTGGTGCAGTGACCAGGATTTTTACAGTCACATCTAACCAGAAACAGAAACCATATTATTGTAACAGGGCATTTGAATTGAGCATGTCTCTGTATTTTTTTTGTATTACAGGTATTGTAATCTTTGTTATAGTAATGCATTGTTTCACATTCACATAAACCAGAAGCACAAATAAGGGGAGCGTAACAACTGTGTACTGCTGTTGAACAAGGTTCTTTGTAGCTTCCAAGTGTGTTACAGGTATTTTCAGTTTCAACAATTAAATTTGTATGGGACAATATGGAAGTTTATTCCAAAACCGGCACCACGATAAGGCGTCTGGTGGGAAAGATTAATAGGTTTGACTAAAAACTGTATTAAATAAAAGAAGAATGTGTCCGAGGACACGAATGCCCCCCGCTCAAGCTTTGCAATTTTCCAAGTTAAAAAGGGGCATAATTTTAAAACAGTAAATGACTAACAACCCAAATTCGAACTTTGTCTGCATGTTGTCATTATCGGCATTCTGTATGAGTTTCATAAAATGGATAAGACAAACTTAAGTTAGTGCGGAAATGAAAAAAATTGCAATTTTCCAAGTTATAAAGGGGCATACCTCTAGAACCTTAAGTGACTCACTGCCCAAATTTGAACTCCGTCTGAAAGTTTTTGGTTCTTAGCATTGTGTATGAGTTTCATAAAATTTTGCAGGAGGCAAACTTATGTTAGACTGCAGAAACAAAAATTGGACGGACAGACGAATGGACGGACGGAACCAGGGTAACACTTAATGCCCCAGTTGCCTATGGCAGGGGCATAAAAAGTTCAGGAAAGGCATTTATGAGTTTATGTGTACTTGAAACTTTTAATGATTGTTTTTTTATTAATTTTAGAGTTTAGAGTATCTTGAAAACTATTATTGAAAGATTAAAACTTTGAACAGCAAATATGATCAGTAAGACAAGATAATGGCCAACAGAGTCCCAATTCACTAGAAATGTTCTTGTGTATCAATTTTATTTGAAAATCCAAGGTGAATGATACAGGCTCCTTGGAGTATCTAGTTTTTCCAGTTAACATGAATTTTCATTTGAAAACCATTTATTTTATACCTTCTCCACTTTTTTAAGACAATTAAATGGGCATATCTGTTACTGTAAAAGTTATAGCAATTTAATTAAAGCTGAACTGCATTTCATGGTAGAATGTTATACCGGTAATTTAAAATTAATATGATCCTCACACACATATCAGGCTAATATTATCTAGAGGAACACAACTTCCAAACAAGGACCGACACTCATAAACTCCGCAATGATACACAAGACTTCCACAACCTCCTGCACCTGAAGCAAGCACACAACAAACCAAGCTGTCTGGGAACAGATAAAATTGAACTTATTACATTTTAAGTTGTAAACGTCTCAGTTAATATATGTTACTGTAAAAAAAACCTTCCATTTCATCTTATGTTTCATTTGTTCTGGACAAACCGACAATGCAGTAACTAAATGCTCAGCACAAATAATTTCAGGGGATATAATAAAAGCAAAACAAACTTGGGCAAGATTGTATGAAGATTTTCACTTTCATTCCATTAGACAAAGAGCATGGCAGCCAAAGCCTGTCATGCTTCCTGCAAAATTTACTGCTTCACTTGCATTCATAAAGCATTAATTCACAAAATCAGCTTTCTATTATACAAAACAAAGAATAATTTGGCTTGAAATACTCTGCCAAAGGCATAAAGAAAGTTGTTGAATGCATTCATTTTCACCTTTATGATAAAAAATGTATAACAATAAAATGGAATAATCTATCACATAGAAACAGAATCAACTTATTTTTCACTTTATGTATAGTCACTGGATGTGCAATATATGCACAGTAATCTTAATAATCTTGAAAACTCGGAATATTGGGTATCACAGTTATTTTCTTCTTTGAAAAATTTATTGTCTTATCTATTTAATTTTCACTTTTTCTTCCCATCTTTCTTTGCTTCTTCCTCAGGTTGTGCATTGCCCTCTCCTTCCTCTGGTTCAGGCAGAGGTGGAGGGGCTATGTGAGGAAATGCATTAGGTTCTAATGGTTTTAATTTGTCTTTCATTTCTAATTGTTCTTCAATTTGCAAAAGTCTGTTTATTTGCACAGTTCTCTCCCCTCTTACTGGTGCCCCAACTTTGATAAATCTTGCATTTACACCTACTGCCTACAAAATAAATTCAGTAATATTATGAATAATGGGTTACTTCAATAAAAAAAAACATGTTCATGAACTGCTGTAAACCATGGATTCACATTTTGTCTTTATCCAAGAAAATCTTGGTACAAAATAATGAAATATTTCCTTTTATAGAATTACTGGTATTAATTGGTCGTCAACTGTTTACAGCAAACCATTTTATTTTTATTTTCTATATCTCTTTTTTGAGATCAGTTATGTTTTTCATATAATGTGTTCAGAAAACTATTTTGATGACTATTAATATTGTCATCTATATAAGGAGTCTTATTTATATTAATCTCATACAGAGACATGGTTTAGACTAAGGCAAACAGATTATCTGGGCTGACATTCATAAAACTTTCAAGTACGATAATTGTACTCAGACTCAAAAATCAACCAAACAAAATACTGTATTTGGTGTTTCAAGCACAAATTATGTACCCAGGGTACTGAGTAAAGTTTTGAAAGGCCTGGACTTTTGGCAAATTAGAATTCACATAATATAAGGAGGATAGTTGTCTGTTTTTTTAGGAAAAGGTATAGTAGCATCTGTTTATCTTTTTTTAATTTTATTGTGTTGATGGGTTTCTGTCTCTTTAAAAGTTACCCACAACTGCTTTTATTTAAGAACTGAATGTTTCTTTTTGTAGTTTTATTGGGGTGTATTTGTGATGACTGCAGCAAATTGATTATTTGTACCCGCAAAAAAACTTTTCTAAAATTTTGTTTTAAGGATTTCTAAAAAATGTGTCTAATGTTGTCATGGAAAGAATATGCAGATTATCTAGTTATGTTTCAATGGGACATAAAACAATGCTTTAAAACATCATGTGATTGTTCTCTGCCAATCAAAATGATAGAATCTTTATGAAACATTTATTCAATGTAATTATTCATAATATATCTTTGCTTCAATAAAAGAGTTGGTATATATTTTTTCAAACTTACAAAATCTGCCAGGAAGGTGTCAGTTGTCTCCCCCTGACATGAAGACATAACTATCTGATTATCATCCTCTGAAATAAAAAACAAAAAACAAACATTAAAATTAACACCATTTCAAAACATTTGTTCACAATTAAAGTGAGTAAATTGGTCTTATTTAAATATACTGGTGCCTATTAAGAAAAATGTGGTGTAATACCACCATTGATTTTCACCTATTAGTCTTTGTTAAATTTGCACTTTTCAAAAACTTGTGCAGAATTTATCTTTGTTTAAAATAAAGAAATACTTGGCATGAGTAAAGTTTTATCCTATCCAGTAGTAAAAAAAATTTCACATAACATTTCATTGCATATAAGAAAATAACCATCACTGGAAGTTAACCAATCAAATTTTCATCTCTTTTTTACCTGTGTACAAGCTTTAGTAACCATGTAACCTCAAGTTTCCAAAATATTCTATAGAAACCCCAAATAAAAATATAATGGTGCTTTGAAATACCCAAGATATATGTTTATGACCCAGAATTTGTTTACTGCAATGAAATGTAGGATTAATTACCTACAACTGTCAAATTCAAGGGAATATTTTTTTCGACCCTTTTTCGTATGCAACTGGATGTGACGTACTATGATTTGGTGGTATTACACCTTAAGATTCTCATGACAGACTAACATATTTTTTTTTTGCAGTTCACAAAAACAAGAAATGAAAATATTTAAGAATATACTGGTAGGTACACTTTTCATTGATTTGACATGATCAATATTTTTCTGAGATGCATTATACCACTATGGATTGGTTTATTTTTCTTGGGAAAAATTGTAATTTCGTGGATGCTTGATATGGTGGTGTTGCCCAAGTCTGCATACAAGCCTATAGAAAATTTAAACTTAATTGGACATTTATGGTCAGATCATATGTTTTTGTACGTCATATGAATTTATTCTGTGTGTGCTTTTTCAATGGAAATTGTGACGTCACAATGCATTTTTAAAAGAATGAAAACCCATAATATGAGGATAAATCTGTGGTTCACCGTTCATGTATATAAATATCCACACAAATTGGTATCCCACAAATTATAAAGGGTCCATAGTATAATACAAGATGATTGTACAATCTATAAGTTAAATGTTACTGTTTTACAGTTATTGGTTTCCCAGATATGGAACTTAATGGAAAACATAACTAATGGTATATCAGTATAAAATGTAGGTCATTGTGACCGAAAAAGTTGTTCCAAGTTGAGAAATAAACCCACAAATTCAAGAATTCAAGATACATAGTAGATAAGTTTTTACTGATTATACTGATGAACTTCTGCATGATATTTGTTTTTTTTTTTTTTTTTACAATTTGAGTGTAAAACTGTAAAATTAAAAACATATTTTATTGTATGGTAAGATTATTCCAAAAGTATGCCCCTTAATTACATATAAAAATGTTTATTATAGGTAACCCTTAACTTAACAATCTAATCACTTTAACAATAATAATAGTATATAGCCCATTGGTGGATAATCAAACTATCAAAGTTTGACCATATTCATACAAAATGATACAGTGATGTTTTATAGAAATTATTCCAAGTCTTTTAGGTAACTTCAATTCATCCAGCCTAGTTAAATTAATCAGAAACACTTTATCATTTTTAAATATCCGTCATCTTAACAAACCCAGAGTGTGCTATATCACAACCATTTATGGTTTTTACCTTCCATTTTTTTAACACAAGTAAGAATATCAGATACAGTATTTAACTGTTCTAATTTAAATGCAATTCCACTGGATTTGAAATTATCTGTTAGTTCCTCGTCTTTCAGTAACCCTGGTCGATGGTATGCTCGACTACCAATAACTAAACATCTGTCACTGATTTTATCACATAATCTCATCCAATGTTCTTCTTCCTTTAGAAAAGTAGCAAGAAAATATATGTTCTTAAATTGTGATTTGTTTCTTTAATATATATTATTCGCATCTTTTCAGCAATAGTAATTTTGGCTTTTTTTTTTAGTTTATTAGCTCACTAAAGTTTGTATTAGAATTTAGATTTTCAATCAGTTTGGCCTTGAGCATCATGAAACGAGTACATGAACTTCTAATCTTTTGTCTTGAAGCGATGAATTTTGACAATCACATATTTTCACTTCATAGTTATCAATATAATTAATGTATCAGCAGCTTGGTATAGCTCATTTGTATTAAGAAAAATAAAAAGGAATAGAATTTCGCTATAATTTCCAATCCACTTTGAAGCTTGTGCAGCTAAGGCGAAATAGAGTTTAAAAATGTGGCTGCATAACCTTATCTCTGAAAAAAAAAATTCAACAAAATTATCATGAATGTAGTAATCATACCTGTTTCCTCATTGGATCAATTATGGCTATAATGGAAGGATATCTAGTTAACAAGTCACACCAGAACTCCACCAGATCATCAGCAACCTTGGCAATTCCAACCATAACCTCATATTTTCCTTTTTCCTGCAAGGAAGAAAAAAGACGATTGTATATAACATGAAGTATTTCATAACATTTACTTTTTTCATTCAAAGAAATTCAGCTTTAACACAAGACAAAAGAAGTCATTGACTTATAGATCATATGGCACATATCCAGGCATCCAGGTATAAATAAGAACAGAAAACAAATCGCTTTAGCTAGTATATGTATCTTCAGTTTATGTAAATCATGGTATTATACTTGAAAAATATGATTATCTCACTTATTTAATCTGTCACTGATGCACAATCTATCCCTAATTAAAGGAGATGCACAAATATGTAAATAATGTACATAATAGGCCGTCATGTTAGATTTATACTAATCTTCAAATTGCAGCAAGTAGATGTCTGTCAACAATATTTCTATGACACATAAAAACTCTCAGCCAGACATTAATATATCCTTCCAACACATTTGCGGATTAAATGCTGAGAGCTTACCATCTCAGGAATTGAAACACATTGTTTGTGCAAAAATCCATTGACAAAATATTAAAAGGTAAAACTATATATTGAATCTAGCAAATGATGACCCAAGTAGGTTGGTACTTGAAACAATAAGAATAACATGTGTGTGTTACCCCCAAAGAGATAGCCATAAGGACCAATTTGCCCTATTTGCTTATTCTCTTCAAGAAGGTCTTACTTTTATGATGACACGTATATCAGACAATAACAATTAGCTCACACAGTGGCCTTGGGCAATATTAGCTAATATAACACATAAAATGTTAGCATATTTCAACATAAAGTCACAGCAATCTAAAGCCAAATATTTCTGGCTGATATATAATTAAACACACATGTATATATTTACACTTCAAGCATTTTTTTTCAATTGAAATTATAAATATTGTCAAAATCTGCAGTAACAATTTCTTTAGAAAATATGTATTCCATCAAGCAACATCATATTACATTCAAAATTTTAAAGCAAGCTTATTTTTCTATATTCTTTTTATTAATTCCTGAGATTTTATCAAATAAACTCAAATAATTTAAAAGATAAACTTTATCTGGGTTTTTTTTTCTAGTTCACGGAAACTATGTATTTGAGCTAAAACTTCAATGCTGCAATAATTTCAGGCAAAGTTCAGTTTTTATGCTCTCAAATATTGTAAAGTTAAGGGCTTTTTAAACCTTTGGTCATAAGCTTCCCTGATGAAGTTTATTCAAGTGTTGTACATTTGATAAAAAATAAACAGCAATAGACAAATTAAAGTAAAATATTGGCATTTTTTAAACAAAACATCCAGACTATCTAGCCTCTAAGTAATACAGGTATATCATACCACAGTGTCTGGTGAAGGTGGGAACTAAATGAAATTATACCGACATATTAAAGTTCGAAAAAATTCTATAAAATTGTACATCAATATTTTATCAGCAAGTAAAATGGTTCAAACAGAGAACACAACATAAAGTTGGACTCTCTGTACACTAATTATGAAGTTAATTCTAAAAATGTACCTATTCAAACCCACTGTACCAATCTACAAAATCTACAAATTGTTAAATTGTTAAATTCTTGAACTACACACTTTATCATTGTTGATTTTTAAAAATGTTATTTTTTTACTAAGATTTTATAAATATATCCATAAACAATGTTGTATGCATGTTTTTACTAAGTTTAACAAACTACGTAAAAACTAAAAAAAACTTATCATCAATACAGCAAATATGCAATTATTTGTAAAAAAAAATAGGAGAAAAAAAAGCAAGCCTCATTTTACTTTTTTCTTTTTCTTTTAGTGAGTACAAATGATTTACTTACATTATAATTTATAGTGATAACTTTCAATTTTTTCTTTCCATTTATTTACCAATACTAAAACTCCAATGGAAATTTCTTAAAAAATGGTCAAGATAAACTGGATCCTTTTCATTTTTATTTTTTTTCTTCATTTTTGTATGTTTTGTTTTTTTATTGCTATTTTTTTTCTTGGGGGGAGTGTGGTAAGAGGGGGAAAATACCAGTTCAAGTACTATAATTTTTCAATGGCTAAATTGAAAATTTACAGAATTGTATTATTTGAAATGGCAATGAAAATAGTGCATGCATATTAGAATGAGAACATGCTAATCTGATTTGAAAATGAAAACTTTTTTGTACTAGGCAGACATGCTGAGTCAATTTTTTTTAAAAAGAACGTAAGGTCACAGTCCCTGGGAGAACATTTCACCCTACCAAGACACATTATTCTGACTCCGACCAGTTTTTGCTCCTTCTCCTAAATGCTGTGTTCTTAATGGAAAAGCAAAAAATACATGTGTTTAAGTCTTTGGTTTGACCCTTATGTGGACACTTGAAAACAGAAAAATATGAACCTGCCCAGAGCACCATTCAATAAACAGCTGCGCCATGAGCGCATGATACGCCTGTTGCGTTTTTAAAGAATAAAGTTCAATAACTTCTCAATGTCATATCAGAAATTTATTAAAAACTAAAGGGAGGTTATCTTAATAGATATAAACCAGTCACCAAAGTTTCATGAAAACTGCTCAAAGCACTTTAAAGATATTGTCTGAAAGCTGGATAATCACCCCTTTTTTATGAATAAAATCCCATAACTCTAAACTCTAACTCATAAAATCTAAAATTTATAATAAACTGTTAACACAGAGATATGTCTCGCCTATTTGTTATTTTGATAATGCAAATGTTGAAATTAAAATAGCAATACTTTAACATGTAAGTTATGCAAATATTCAAAGTCAATGAACCATGACTGAAGGTACAGGGCTAAACAATCTCCATGGAAATGAGATATGACAATGCTAATACAACTGCAAACCAAATACTATTGACTTTTCATAAGTCGTTCCCTTTAAACAAACCTAAACACAAACATTAACTTGTAAACTATGTAAAAGTTTCAAAGTCAATGAACCATAATTAGGGGGTGGGGTTATATAATCTCCATGGAAATGAAACTTGCAAATGCCAATACATTTGCATACCAAATATCATTAACTTAACATAAGTGGTTCGTCTTAAACTGACCTAATCACTAACTAATACATGTAAACTAAGCAAAAGTTTCAAAGTCAATAGACCATGACTGAGGGGTAAGGACCAAATATTCTCCATGGAAATGAGATGTGCTAATGCTTATACAACTGCAAACCAATTATCATTGACCTACCACTAACAGTTCCCCTTAAACGTACCTAATCACAAACTAATACATGAAAACTAAGCAAAAGTTTCAAAGTCAATAGACCATGAATGAGGGGGCAGGGCCAAATAATCTCCATGGAAATGAGATATGCCAATGCTTATACAACTGCATACCAAATATCATTAACCTACCACTTGTGGTTCACCATAAACTAGACCTAATCACAAACTTAAGTCTAATACATTGTTGAAGCCGCTGCCTACACCAGAAACAGCATACTTTTGTCTCGCTTTTTGACTCCGTTAAGGCGAGACAATAAAACCCCGTAACTTGGAAGCGTAAAATCTAAAATTTATAAAAATCAAAAGGGAAGTCATGTCAATAGATATAAACAATTCACCAAAGTTTCTTGCAAATTGGTGAAAGTGTTTTTGAGTTATTGTCCGAAAACTGGAAAATCACCCTTTTTTAATGAATAAAACCCATAACTCGGAAACGTAAAATCTAAAATTTATAAAAAATGAAAGGGAGCTCACGTCAATAGATATAAACAATTCACCAAAGTTTCATGCAAATTGGTTAAAGTGTTTTTGAGTTATTGTCCGACATGTTGACGACGGACGGACAACGGTTTACCATAATAGTCGCGTATAAAAATGAATTATGATGTATTTTTTATAACAGTACTGTCTTCAAAGAGATATTATAAACTACAAAGTGAAAAAATAATTCTACCAGACCTCATTTCATTACTCAATCTACTAGTTCTGAAAAAAAATCTGAAACTTGCAAAGCACATCAGTGAAATGTTAAGACCTCTCTTTCATACAACTGTAAATCTATGAATGATGGTAGTTGTTAATAAAACAAACACATGTTAGGTTGACATGGTTACCAGTTACTACCTTGTGCATGTCCTGACCAGGGAAGTTTGCTACTTTATCACTTTTACCAGCCATGGGAACTGGATCCTGTTTTATAATATATATTATTTACCTTATACACAATAGTGGCAATGTGTCTCATGTAAAAAACTGACTCTATATATCACATCTCCGGATATAACACTTTGATAACTTGAAATTTGGAAAGTTTAGAATTCGATCTATATGCATCTTTTAAGTTCAGTTTTCAAAAGAGGATGCTATAAATATGACAAATCAAATATGAACAATATTGAAGGAATATTGCTTGTTTAACGTCCAGTGGCAATTTTTTTAATAATATTAGAAGCAACCAAAATACAAACCATATAAGTGTTCAGACCATATTTAACAGCATTAAAAACAAATAAATAAATAAATAAACAGTAAATAATCAAGAACAGAAATATCAAATTATCAAATGTTATCAGAGGAGGTGGAGACTAAAGTCAGTCATGTGACACTATCAAGTATAATCTTGGACATTACAACACATGAGCAAATATTAGCACATGTGTTATATGTGTCAGGCATCGGATTTACACAAGATACACACATATATAAATGTATGGCTTTAATCCCATGTGTGTTATCTGACTGTGATGTGATAGCATCATGTCCCATAAAATAGTGCAAAAATCATTACAAAACTCTAAAAGAGTGGTTCAATTATACACACAGGCAAAAAGTTTAGTATCTATACTCTTCAATCAAAAATAGCTTATCATAGTAAAAAAAACTAAACAATTTTATGATACTTCAATAAATAAATATGCTCAAAAGATTGTCTTTATAACAACATGATTGCAATTTAGTAATTGAAAATATGATGAACTTTTTTTCCTTTCAAACTTCAGGTTAACAGTACTTACATAGTCAAACATTTCTGGTCCAGCACAATTTAAACCAATAAAGAAGTCTTCTCCCACTGTTAATCCACAGTTAGTAATAGCCTCTTGAAGTAAGTCTAGTCCTTGTTCTGCTTTGTCAAATGTTGGACACATGGCACCAATGTCATTTACTAACTTTGTAGCTGTCTAATAATAATATAATGTACTAATATATATAATACTCATAATAATAATACATGTTATAGTAATATTTTCCCTGTATTCAGTAAGTAGCATACACAAATTTAGCCCAAACAATTTAATATGGTAATACAAGTAGTTATTTTTCTAAGATTAATCACCTTGCAATGACAAATACACTTCATCATCTAAAATACTGGAACATAAATCTTTTTGAAAAAAAAGATAACAATTCAATTTTACTATATAGTATTTAATTTTGTAATTCATATCAGAAATAACAACAATAAAAAACTAATATATAAAATAGGTATGTAAAAATTAAGTGAATCAAACTCCATAGTGAAATCCCATTGAAAAATAGTCTTGGTGTCTACAAATCCAGGAACCAATGTGCTACTTCTAATCTTATATACCATGTTCCTTGACTATCTCAATCTACCTTCACCTAGCATAAATCTTAAATATACAATCAATATCTCCATATAAGGTCAAACTGCAGGGGACAAGCAATATCTTTCCTCAGATACTAACATTATTTTGTTTTCCTACATTATACAATCTACCTATACTTTCTGTACAGCATTAAAAAAAAATCTTTGAAAAAGAAAAATAATTTCAACAATTACTCTTCATAAATCCTTAAAAATAATATCTTGAAAATAAGTTACACTTTATGAAATGTGGGGAAAAAAAATGTTTATGAATAATTATATAGCTATTAAATGGGCGAAATGAGAAAATCTGTATGTCTAAATATCATATATATCTTATAACTACTAGCAGGTAGGGGAGATAACTCTACTACAATTCTGAGGAAGGACCTCCCATTTTCAATACCTAACTTACTTCTTTAGCTCGCTGAAAGAAATAGATCTCAACTATTAATCTTGATTTAAATATTATTGGAATTATGACTTTCCTCTCAATAAGAATTTCATTTTGGAAAACAATACCTAAAAAAAGCTACGCAATCAAATGGCATGTCTTAATTTCTTGCTAGTATTTATTTATTTCAAGCACTGATTAGGCAGCAGTAAGAAAAGCATCTTTCAATTTGATAACTGTTATCTTTGAATAACTTGCTAATCACAGATTTAAAGTTTTGAAAGACATAGGTATAGCTAAGAAACAACACTACAATTCTCTTTCTGATTAAATAAAAACTGAAACTCGGAGGATAGAGATGAGAGCGATCAGAAAGGGCCCCACCTGTAAGAAAAGTTGAAGTTATATCAAAACATGATCAGGTATTATTAACAGGTGATTACAATGCATGCTTTTGTAATCTGGTGTTTGATCATCTCTCTATTGTTGACAGTCATCAATATTTCAGCATGTGGTTGGTTGGGTAATATTACTTAAAGCAATTGATTAGAACAATTTTTGTGATCTAAATTTAAATGCAATCACTTGTAGTATGGTATAATAGAATAGAGAATGGAAACAGGGAATGTGTCAAAGAGACAACAATCTGATCAAAGAGCAGAAACCAGTCCAAGGCCACCAATGGGTCTTCAACACAGCGAGAAAATCTTTAAACGGGAAAAAGGTTACAGAGTACAAAGGAACAGTGCAGATGGATGAATGATTTCTTCTGTTAAATTATATTTGTGACCTGGACCTTCAAGATATAAATTCCAATGTTGTTACCCCTTCTGGTGTTTAGAAACAATCATATCATGCATAATGATCTATTTCAAGGTAAATTAAAGTGAGGCAAAAGTAGAAGACTTTAAAACATTTGTAGCATACTGTCCAGCTATTGTTTGGCAAGGGCCTAAAACAGATATATTAGGTGAGGTCCTAAAAAGATATGTTCGGCAAGGCACTATAAATCCTTCTATCACCAGTAACTTAAAAAGCATCCATTTATCTATCTTAAAAGATAAGAGTAGATTTCATTTCATTCAGTACTACATTAACAAAAAGTTTTATACCACAGGAGACTGATCTGAAATACTGTCATCTTGATCCTGAAAATTTGACTTCTAAAGGAAGGGAAGAATTTTTAATAACAAACAGTGTATAATTAAATAATATACAAAATTGTACAGAATCATTATTATTAAGTCATATTTTGTTTTATTTATCAATATCTATATAACAAGTTGTATAGAATTATTAATTTATGAAGTCTTATTACTTCTTGATTGTGATCTTTCAAAATTACAAAAAGTACCTACCCCACCTTTAGCAAAGAACTGTTTGGCAACATAATTATATATCTGTTGAATGTAGGTCATACTCTGAAAGAAAGTAAAAAAAAATAATTTTACTGCAGAAACAGATTTTAGAGTGAGCAACAGTAAGTTTTTTACTCTTTGGACAATTAGGTAAATACAGCTGAAAGAATCTATATTACTAAATGAATAGAGTTGAAATTGGGTGTCGCGCTTTCTTCTTTCACATAAAATCCATGAATATTGTTTTATACCACAAAGGGGTAATGACCAGGGTAGTTTATTATGTGTTCATTTCAAGATCTTTTGGGGGGTATTTGGGGGTTAAAATCGGAAAAAAAACAGTTCGGATCGACCGTCCTTCACGAGGTTCAGCTCTGAAATTTAAGTGCCGTCATCATTTCCGTCATTGCACATCTGCCCGGCAAAATTAAATTTTATTTTGTAGCAGATACGATCAATATTGACCTTACACTGAAACACTTTGTGATACACATTCCCTTGACGCTCTCAGCAATTTAACAACAGATTTTTACACGTCAAGAGCTTTCCCTTCCGAGGAACCGCAGCAATTTAACATGAAAAGGTGGGGGGGATTACTTCAGTTTTCGAATAAAAATGGGTACAGAAGTGCGGCTGGAAAGTGACCCACCCCACCCCCCATTCATATTAATGCATAAAATTTTCAGCCCACTCATATATAGGGGTGGTTCTGAGTACGGAAACATTTGAAATCAGGTGCGGATCAAAACTATATATCTTCAAATTATGAACCAAAGTATATTTCACTGGTATTTTCTAGTAATATTTATATGAACAGTAGCATTTAACCAAAACATCATTCAAAGAATTATTAAATGGCAAATCCATTTTAGTCAAATGTTTGAGTAAGATCAAATAAGGTCCTAATATTGCACTGTGTCCTTTAGATTCAAAATACATCATATGTTGAATATAGAATACCTTTTTGAGAGGCATATCATGCTTAGGAATAACCATGAACTCCTTTACACAATTCAGTTTTCCTGGTGCAGCTCTACCACTTTGAATAATAGTCACCATGGGTAAGGGTACTGAAAACTTTTCTGGAATCTGTCAAATTGAAAATAACTGTCTAAACAATAAATAAACACCAGACCTCAACAGTATTGTTACATGTATTCCTAACTATTATTATAGATCATCCATCACTATAGCTGTTTCATGGAGCTGTTCTATGGTGTTTTTCAGTGCAAAACAATTTTGATTTCCTACTTTTGAATTAAAGTCATATCTATTTCCTTGTATTTCTTGTGCTGCATTTCCTAAAATTTATATTTTTTTAAAACTGATAGTATTTTACAGTAAAGTTAATTAAATTTTGTATACTATCTAATTGATTTTTAAATGGTGTAGTTCTAATTCTTTGCTTAAAATTTGCCAATCTTTTATTCCTACCTCACCATGTCTAAGGCAAGCAACATGCTCATATATATCTATATGCTTGACCTGAGCTGCTGCACAACAAGTAGCTTGACTGATAGCTGTGAAGGCATTACTACCACATATTAACTTTTCTTTAGGTTCATCTGGAACATATACAGCAGTCTGACTCTTCCCCTTCCTACAAACAAATACATTCAACAATTGTATTGGACAATAAAATTTGTGTTGTACTGTCTCTCTTAGCTAAATGACTCAAATGGACAAGTTTCAATACTTATGCTTTGTAATTTGAAATGCCATTAACAGTAATGATGCCAACATTCTATATGCCTTAGTGAGTATTAGGTATTTGCTACTACTGGCCAACAGCTAGTAAAGAGATGATTTCTACTGATCTATAGCAATACTAAAGAAAATTACATTATTCCAGGGCATAGTATATATGTAGCTAAAACAGCATGAATTTATTGTTCAAAGAAAAAATTAGCACCCTCCATTTTAACTATTTCCATTGTAACTGGTCCTCTACACTGATTAAGTTTCACAAAGTTAGAGGCACATCTTTAATATATAAGCAGGCATTTTAGAAAACTTGAAGGCTCTTGGTAGAAAACAGTAGGAGTATTTTACAGGAAATAAAATGGATACATGCAGTTTCATCCTCTGGATATTCTTAAAAAATTCTTTGAATTTGTTTACATAAAGTGAGGTGCACATATTTAATAAATTTTATGTATACAAACATGCTAGAGATTTCAAGACTCTATGTTGAAAACTAAAGCATTAATGCAATAGGTACCCTCTTTTTAATTTTCAATGAAATCATCATTATCTTAAAAGGATTAAAGAACTTTACTATTCAAGCAAAAAATATTCCTATCTTCCTGACTCTACTCCTTCAAAATATCAAAAATGTTCTATACAAAAATTTTCTGGGAAAGTGTACTATTTTTACCCCAAAACTTGAAGGAATCTACTTGTACTTGTTGTCTCAAGCACATACATTTAATTTACTATTACTTTCTGAACAATAACACAGTAATATAACATATATTAAATACTACACTAACATGCATATGTAGTAAGAATAACAGGTTATAAAAAATACAAACAATTTGAATATCTTTTGCAAATTCACAGAAATTTTATAAATGAAAATAACATACTGCTGCATTATGCATTGTAACATTTATATAAGATGATAAAGTGCTTTCTATAATTTTGAGAAAATTTAAATCTAAAACCAAAGTTAAACCAAAAGCTTCATATAGATGCATGCACACTCAGGTAATGCTTCTAAAGATTCATTTATCATTTAATTTGAACTTTGATGCTAACATTTGAGATTTTTTCAAAAGCTGAAATTTCTGAGGAAAAAAAAGAATTTAAAATTTGAGGCAATTAGATAAAGATAACCTAAAAAGTTATTAACAAGAGTTTTTGAGGAAATTCAATTTCATGGATTGCTGAAAAATTAGTTTTCGAGGATATCTAATTTCACGGTTTTGCCAAATGCTGCCAGAATATCTTTTGCAAATTCACAGAAATTTTATAAATGAATTAATATGCTACTGCATTATGCATTGTAACAATTATATAAGATAATAAAGTGCTTTCTATAATTTTGAGAAAATCTAAATCTAAAACCAAAGTTAAACCAAAAGCTTCATAGATACAGGCACACTCAGTTAATGGTTCTAAAGATTCATTTATGATTTAATTTGAACTTCAATGCAAACATTTGAGAATTGTCCAAAAACTGAAAATTTCTGAGGAAATTTTTTTTTTAGTTTGAGGCAATTAGATATAGATTACCTAAAAAGTTATTAACAAGATGTTTTTACTGTGGATTCATTAATTTTCGTGGGTACAAATGTACCAATTTTTGTGGATTGTGGGAAAAAAGGAGTTGTTGAGGATATTTAATTTTGTGGATTGTGGAAAAAATGAGTTTTCCAGGATAATTAATATGGAAATTTTCCCAAAGTCTGCAAACAAGCCTTTACAAAATTTATACTTCATTGAACATTTAAATTCTTGGTTTACTTATACCCAAGAAATCCAAGGAAACTGGTATCCCTCGAATAATAATGAATCCAGAGTTATAAAGATTTCATATATTTGATTGATTTAAGTAAAGATTTTTTAAAATAAAGACTGAAATAACATCACATACACATGAGAAAAATAGGCTGACACCACTGAAATTGGATACAATGTGATACTGTGGATTCATTTTTATTCGTGGTATACCAATTTTCGTGGGTTTCGTGGGTCACAGCGAACCACGAATTTAAGAATTCAACGAAAAATAATCCCGAGAAATGTGTATGGAGTCGGATGTTTATTTCCAGTTATGTTATGCAGTTCTAGTATAGTGTTGACTAACGATAAACATTGTCACATAACACGTGTTTTTCTTGAAAGAAGATACAAGTATTTTGATTAAATCAATAATAAATATATCGAATATCAGTGACAATTTACTTTTTAAAATTGATTTAAACTGTTCATGGAAAATAAATGCAAGTTGTTAATTACCGTGTCATAGTTTGGTTTACTGGTGATTAAAAATCAATAGGATTAACGGTGCGGGGATATTGCCCGTAGGTAATATTATTTATGACAGGAACATTTATTTTCACACCTTTTACTTATACTTATATATTATATCGTGATTAAGGAAATGAGCTTTTGATCATAGAGTTTTAAATGCCTTATAAAATTCCGACAAGAATTTATAAATTGTAAAACAAACAAATAATTAGTTGTCTCTGTCCATTATTGTAATAGAAGTTTTCAATGAACACTTTAACCTAGAATGACCAAGCGAGGATTTTGACAATTCAAAACCTTTTCAATGAATTCTTTCTTTTTTGTTTGTTTTATTATTGATCAAACCAAGGAGGGTATATGATCTCCTAAATTAAAAAGAAATCCACGAATTACGTATCGGATTTTTTTTTTTTTTGTTATCAGCGATCCACGAATTTACGTATACCACGAAACGTCTTTTTTTCTCTATCCACGAAAATTAATACCCATGAAAATAAATGAATCCACAGTAATAGAAATTTGAGTAGAAAATGTCGTAGATACATTTACAGTTTGCAGATATAAAAGTATAACAGAGAGAAAAAAATTCTACATTGGTTCCATTAAACACCATCCTATAAGCTAAAATGTGCTTGTAGTCATCATTATACATTTTCTCAGTATAAATAAGTATATTTTGATTGATTTTTGCACCAAAACCTAATATAAATAACTCACTTCTTTGGACTTGCACTGAAATAAAGCATTCAGTATGAACAATTTGTATGTTTCATTCTGATTAACAACAGAAGCTAAGACATTACGTCTCTAACATTAAAATATGCTTTTTACAGTGAAACCTGTCAATACCAAAACCTTTTTGGGACTGTCTGATGATTTTTTCTAGATTCGACAAGTGTTTACTTAACACAAGTTAAATTACTAAAGAATACTGATACAAGAGTTCAGTTCTGGTTTATATAGGTTTGGTTTTTAACAGGTTTCCTTGTACTGACCCTATTAACATTATCCCCAAAAGCAGGTTTATTCTTTTAAATGTTAACTATCTTCTATTTTATAGTGTTACTTCTACTCTTGATGAAAAGGAAAAGGTTTTGTGCAGGAAAAAGTTAATATCAAAATATCAAATATTAACCAAATTATGCAATTAAATAAAATAACTTATTCATGTAATTTTTTTAGTGTTTCATATATACACACCAATATTAAATCTGTAAATAATTCTTTTTTGAAAGACATTTTTTTAAAAGCTTGTTAAGTGAAAAATTTATTATGCATTATTCAACAAAATAGTTTATACATCACTTTTGATGAACTGAAAGCAAGCTAACTAAATATTACAATTTTGCCAAATTTCCAGCTTCTAACACTGATAAAGCTTTACACAATAACAAATCCAGAATGATTTTCTTTCAATGATTGTTGTTTTTTCACGAAAAATTATGACGACTGCTAAGGGACCATTTGAGGCCTTATGAAAATTTTGGCAGGAAGATAATTAAGTTTAAGGTAAGGTAAGGGACCACTGGGTATTTTTCTATGTAGATTTTTATAGATCCTTGTTTTGGCAAGAAGATGGACAAGCAAAAACAAAATGAAATAGATTTCAAAGACATAAAGACGTCATAATTGTTTGGACTAGCTGTGACTTGCCTTTTTTGATAAAAACACCAACTGGAACTACTTTTTTCAAAATGATCTGGATCTGAACATGTTAATAGTTTTATCTACCTAGCATAACATACTTAGCAGAATTTTTGCCTTTTTTCCCACTAGCTACACTAGCTTTATCATCTTCCCTGTGTGAGGATTCACCATCTTCTTTTATCATTTCTTCTGCTTCTTTTGCCAACCTCTCATCTTCAATTACTTTTAATTCTTCATACAATTTCCTGGTAGAGAAAGTATAGGTAACTTTGTTTTATTCAAATCAAAACTACAGTCCTTTGTTTTGTTGATGTCAATGAAGGCATTCCCTTTCAAACAGATGATTGCTTATTTTAATCACAGGCTAAAGTTAATATGACATTTATGTTATTATCTTACCTCTTAGTAGACTACTGTTTTGTTTATGAACATTTAAGAGTAATTTCATAGATATGACTGCAAACAAATGTATCATTCTTTAGGTGCCTGTCCCACATGAGTGGTTGCTTTCTGCCATCTAGTTTTTTGTTTTGTCATTAATCAGGTTGTTGGTTTTTCTCGATTGAATTAAAATTGTTTCACATTTTGTCATGTTGGGGCCTTTTATAGCTGACTATGAATGCCATAGTGACATATAGTTGCTTAAATCCACATCATTTGGTCTCTAGTGGATAGTTGACTTATTGGGAATCATAGCACAACACCTTTTTCTTATAAATTTAGGCAATTGGCACTAGGAATTGAGCTTTAATACTGACCATTAATGAAAATGAAAATAGGACAATACCAACACAAAGTGGATAAACAGACAAATTCAACAAAATAATTATAAATACCCTCTGGTTGCCTTATTTTAAAAAGGTCAAAAATCTGTTTTAGAAAATCTACTTTAAGCTTCTATATCATATCTTACATGATAACTCTATCAACTTCATCTTGTTGTGTTGGGTCTGTGGCATGAATTCTGTTGTTAATATCACTGTTCAATATGTTAATAGCAGCACTGATGTTCTCCTGTCTCTGTTGGTCATCCACTTCTCTCTCTTCTACTCTGACATTATCCAGGAGGGAACTGTTGGTTGTGGAACTAACATGGGTATACAGCAACTGTAAATAAAAGAAAAAACTTCTTGTTATGAATAACATAGTTGACATTTAATAATATTCTGATATGACTCTCCTTTGTCAGGCATCATTCTTTCAAAACTCTCCACTTCCTTTCTGTAAGATTATAATCTTTTATGACACTCCTTTCTTTTTGTAAGGTAATATTATTCACTTATTGACTAGTTATGAGGTGAAGAGCAAGTTTGTTGTCCTTCAGATGCCAACCATTCCTTGAGGCCAAGCTGAGGGCAAACTTGATAGTAATCTATCTACTTCAATATAGGAAGATGTGGTATGAGTGCCAATGAGACAACTCTCCATCCAAGTAACAATTTATAAAAGTAAACCATTATAGGTCAAGGTACAGCCTTCAACATGGAGCATTGGCTCACACCGAATATGCAAGCTATAAAGGCCCCAAAAATTACTAGTGTAAAACCATTCAAACGGGAAAACCAACAGTCTAACCTATATAAAAACGAGAAACACGTATGAATTACATTGTACATAAACAGACGACAACTACTGTACATCAGATTCCTGACTTAGGACAGGTGCAAACATTTGCAGCGGGATTAAATGTTTAAATGGTACCAAACCTTCTCCCTTTTCTGAAACAATAGTATAACATCACAACATAGAAAGACATACTATAAAGTATCAATTGGAAGGCTTAACTCAATCAAAAAACGTAAATTAACACACAATGAACGAATAAATTGATCTGTGATACCTGAATGCAAATACATACGGTAGTTAATAAAAATTATAAGGGATAAATAATTAAGGTCAAAAGTAAATAAACAGGTTTAAACAAAGTTAAAGTATGATACCACTGTGAAATGTTAAACAATATTTAGAAAATCACCTGGCAAAAAAGAGTCACATATTGATATCCCCACAATGTATGATAAAGAATGTTTTGTCCTTGAGTAATTTGTAAATATCTGCTTAAATTTTCATGCATATGGTTGTCAATAACATAAAAAAAAAAAATTACCATACACCAAAGTATTCACAGGCCAGGAAAAAGATGACAGACCTATATTATATATTTGTTACTTTGAAGTTTGATTAAAATTTCCTTTTTCATATATGTTTTTCTTTTTTTTTTGCTAGTATGTATATTGCTTTTATGGGAAGTCAATATAGTATATGGGTGATAACTATTTAAGTGATAATGAACTTTCAAAGTCAAATTTTACCAAATTTGTTTATGATGATGCCATAATAACAGAATGCTATAAAAAATAATTAAAATCTGAGAATTAAAATATGTTGCAAAATTATCATTGAATTATATTCAAATGAAAAGGAAAATAAATATTTGCATTTTGTCCTTAATTTCTTCATACTTCTTACCTACATTTTGTCATAGTCATTACCTACATTTTGCCATAGTTCTTCAATACATGTCATAATTCTTAAGTACATTTTGTCATAGTTCTTATCTACATTTTGCCATAGTTCTTCCATACATGTCATAGTTCTTACCTACATTTTGTCATAGTTCTTATCTACATTTTGTCATAACTCTACATTTTGTCATAGTTCTTACCTACATTTTATCATAGTTCTTATCTGCTTTTGGTCAAACTTCTTACCTACATTTGGTCATAGTTATTACCTAAATTTTGTCATAGTTCTTACCTACATTTGTCATAGTTCTTACCTACATTTTGTCATTGTTTTACCTATATTTTGTCATTTGTCTTACCTACATTTTGTCAAAGATCTAACCTACATTTGACATAGTTCTTACCTACATTTTGTCATAGTTCTTACCTACATTTTGTCAAAGTTCTAACCTACATTTGTCATACGTCTTACCTACATTTGTCATACGTCTTACCTACATTTTGTCATAGTTCTTAAAATATTGGATTCATCTTATGAAAGATATTGAACCTTCAAATATTATCCTATGGGAGGCCATAAATCTATCCCATTCTATGAACAAACCTAACCAGGAATCTTGGATAGGAAACATTAAACATATATATAAATTCCTAGGTTTAGACTATCTATTTGTAAACCAGTCAAATTTTAAGCAAAACCATATATTAAAAAAAGTAAAAAATTCTCTAACAATAAAATTTAAAGAAATTTGGGTAGCTAGTTTAGAAAGCAATTCTGGGAAGTGCACCAATATAGTCTGGCAATAAATTAAGAACTTACAGAGAATTAAAAAATATTTTTATGTTTGAACCATATTTAACAATAAATTAAAAAAAAGACAGACATATAATTACAAGATTAAGAACTAGCTGTCATGATCTTGAAATCGAAAGAGGGAGATATATTGGTATTAAAGCTGAAGACAGAAAGTGTAAGCTATGTAAGAATGCAGTTGAAGACAAACTTTCATTTTCTTTTAAAATGTCCTGTTCTAAAAGATACTAGATCTCAACATCTGTCTAATTTAAATTCTAAATTCAAAAATTTTTCAAAGTTATCTGATGAAATTAAATTTGTTTGGATTCTCAACTGAAGATTTGTTTGTTACTTCAAACTTATCTAAACAATTACACTCCCTTTTTGAAGAACGAAAGAAACTCTTAGAAAATATCAATGTACCGGTAGTCTGAAAAAAGAGAAAGAAAAAAATATATAATAAAATCGATCAGGAGTTGTCTCCCATAGACGTAGGACTATAAAATTATGGAATTTTTCCAGGTCACAGTGGCTTCCAAAATAACTTTATGTTTTATCAATAACATGGTTTCTAATCATGCTACTATGTTCGAATGTGTATTCATGTGTTTAGTTTAAATGTACTTTAATCATTCTAATCATTTACGGTGCTTTATTTTGTAATTCATTTGATTGTATAGCTCAAATTTTGGGCACCATGATTGGTTAATAAAATTATCTTATCTTATCTTGTCATTGTTTTCACCTACATGTTGTCATAGTCCTTACCTACATTTTCAATGCATTTCAAATTTAGAGGGAGATGTCATATTTAACCTTACAAAATGTTGGAAAGTGAATTTCCACGAAATATGAGGCAACAATTGTAAAGTTCTTACTTTTTGGTGTTGTGAGTACTTGAAATTTGTTATCAAATTTCACGTGAGCATGCTATACCATGTGAATCCATTGCTCATCAACTTCCTGCTTACCAAATACTTATAGGGGTATCATTTATGAGCAATAGTTCATAGTTCTTAATTTTCTGTTATGAGTCAACATACTTTTTTTAAGAGCTCTAAATACAATCAAAATAGAATGAACCACCTATAAGAAAATAAGTAAAAAAGTGAATGATTTCTGTTTTATGTATATTATCACTAGTACCTTGTCTTCATTTTTTACTGTGCCATAGACTTCTGTCTGAACAGTTGGCTGTCCTTTACTGTCATAAGCTTGTCTTGCAGTAATCTAATAGAAATTATTAAAATATTAAAATTAAGATAAAAAAAAACAAATAATACTTTGTCAACAACATCTATAATGCAAAACAAACAAAAAGACATCACAAAACTTCGCATTAAATAATAATTTTACAGTTTTTTTTATAATAACATAGTTTACCATTGTAAAAGAAAATATTTGTATCTAACTCGGGAACCTCTAAAAAAGAAGGAAAAATTTTACGATACTTGACATTTAGAATACATGTAAGTAATTACTTACTAAGGAAAAAGACATGTTTTCTAAGTTTTAGTATAAATTTTATGTCAATTGCACCATATAAATGATTAGCTCAGTAAAAGACCTGAGCACCAGATTTGATAGATGTGAAAGCTCCAGGTATTTTTATGAGACTATGTGTCAAACTTTCATTTGAAGTTTCCTTGAAATGATGATTATCTCATATAAAACAGAGAAATTGTTGTTTCATCATTTGTCTGACATATGTAAATTCATTTAGGCTTACTGATAGGTTACATGTTTTTTTCTTTCATAACCATTAAAGTTAACAAATAAATTTCTTCCATTTCAAACTAAGTTATAAAAAAATACTTGTAAATAATAAGTACAAAAATATTTAAGATAATCAGTGTATATATATGTTTGTATGTATTAATTGATCAGAAATTCAAAGAGCAGTCAATTTTTAGCTGATCTCACTAAAATTGAATGCCAAACCTCAGACATCCTTCAAGTTTGATTGTTGGTTGTAACCAAAATCAATCAATCAATCAATCAGACATCCTAATCTGAGCAATAAACTCATCATATGTCTACACGTACACCAACACATGCAATCTTGGCATACATTGTGTAAGAAGGAGCTGCATGATACACTTAGTAGGAATACACCAATTAAATGTTCTCAAAAGCTTAATTTTATTAAAGACATTCACTGACTTTCTTTACTTCTTAAGTTTTTTATATTTACCTTTGAAACTGTTGGTGGCTTTGCCAAAGATTCAAAATACTTTGACTGAAAAAGAGAAAAAAAAAATTCAATGATGGCCACCGGTTTGATGGAAATAACAAACACTTTAAAGGAGTAGGCCAGGAAGGCTTTAATATGGCCTTAAAGATTGGACTTCATATAAAAAAACATGGAACTAGATCATAGTGATGAATCAAGCAAGGCTAGGTAAAAGGTAAAAACATTTAGGAATCAATGTTTTACTGTGCGTATTGCTGTGTGTTTGTTTATTTTACATTGGCTAGAGGTATAGGGGAGGGTTGAGATCTCACAAAACATGTTTAACCCGCCGCATTTTTGCACCTGTCCCAAGTCAGGAGCCTCTGGCCTTTGTTAGCCTTGTATGTTTTTTAATTTTAGTTCATTTATATGTTTTGGAGTTTAGTGTGACGTCCATTTTCAAAGAACCAGTACACATTTTTGTTTAGGGACCAGGTGGAGCCCGCCTCTTGTGTTGAAGACCCATTGGTGGCCTTTGGCTGTTTTCTGCTCTTTGGTCGGGTTGTTGTTTCTTTGACACATTCCCCATTTCCATTCTCAATTTTATTAAAATAAGAGTAACTAAAAATATGAAATAAAACAAATATGGTAAGGCTAAAATGCACTCTTAAGTTGATATCCTTCCAAGGATAACACATGAAAGCATTTCCACTTATTTTCAATGGGGTCCTTAAAGTGTATATGGCTTATATTAAAAAAATCATAAATTAAGAGGAGGCATGGCATTAATTGAATTTTATTTACAAGTAAATATATATCAAATTTACTTATTTTTCAAATGTTGCTTTACTGCAGCTTTGAATGCGTCCCGGTCATGTATTGATTTTATATTATTTGGAAGCACAATTTGCAATCTTTAATAGTATTAGAGAAAAAATATGTTATGTCCACTTTGTTAACTTTAGGAACAACAAAATTAAAATGGCATGATCTAGTGTTATATATCTGCTGTACTTCGACTTTACTAAAATTTTCTTTTCAATATGTTGTTATAGATCAAATATGTGTGTCCTAATCTTAATTGCTTGTTTATTTTCAATGTTAAAAAAAAAAAAAACACTTGATAATTCCAGTTGGCTGACACTAGACCTTGGTCCAAAATTTTTTATGAATCTAACAGTTTTATTTTTTTGGCAATTTGATGTTTGTGTTACTCCGGTATTCCAAGAGGTTTTGTCAGAGTGCTTGCATGCTCGTGCGGTCTTTGATGAATCTTGCAGGAATGTTATCTATTCCTGTGCTCTTGAAAGAGTTTAAATTGAAAAGCTCTTGTTTCGAAGGAAAAAGGCTAAAAGATATTAATATTGTTCAGAAAATAAACTTTTTCAAAAGTCTAGCAGTCAGTATAACAAGTTGTTTAGGTTGATTTAAAAAAGAATTTGTGCATGTAGACCTCCAACATGGCAACCAAATGGAAGTAACTCTTGCTCAAATTGTGCCAATATAAACCTATCTATCATAGTATCTAACATTATGATTCTTACCAAATAACCATAAACATCTGGAGGATTATCATAAAACATGGAATTCATTATTTCTTCTATTTTCTTTGGGACACCGTTTTCGTTGTAATATTTCACAGCCCTCTGCTTAGCTTCGTATAACTCTCTTTTTTCCCGTGTTGACGACATTGTCTAGGTTTTAACACGGATTTATATATAAATATTTGGTTTTAACAGTTAGAAATGGAATTGCACGTCAGAAACACCTTATTTGAAAATAAACCTAGAAAGAGTTATAAAATCCTTCTTAATTCTTATCAAATGACATTGAAATTTGTCATATATTTGTGGAAAGGGGTTTCATCTGCGAAATTGTTTGGACAAATTACTGTTTGACGTCCATCTTGAATGTTGTCTAGGTTACTTTGGTGTCGCCGTTTCGCATTCACAAAATTTTCCACCAAAACACATAAGCTTATACATATAATACATTTAATACCTTTAAACTTATTTGATTCAATTCAACTGAAACAGATTAAATTTATTTTCATTTTTTTAAGTATTTACGAAACAAATTAATGCAGGTGCGAAAACTATCTAACTACCAACTGTAGAAAGAGTAAAAATCAGACACCAATGGCTTAAAATACAGTTTACACAATTAGTATTTTAAATATTTTTATATCCTATATTCCAAAAGATTTGAAAATACATTTTGATATTTGTCTTTCCTTTATTGCAATCAGTTATGTTTGCCTATGTGTAGATCTTATTTAGTAATTTAATTTTTATTGTATAATTGTATAGACTATTACAGTTTTTGAGATAAAAAAAAAAACGTCACTAAAGGATGTAGTTTATAATAGGTGAAATTTAAAAAAAATCTTATATTTAAAATTGATATTATAAGTCAGAAGAGCATTAGTTAAGGAACAAAATAAGCTTAAAATAATGATAGGTTATGGAACTCCTTTTTGAGATATTTGATTTTTTTAAAACGGCAGGTAAAGGCTGACCCAGACATTTACCTTACATTTAGCATTGGCATTATTTGGGTCTCAAATCGTAAGAATAAAATCTAGAATGTGCTTAAATTTTGGTAATGACCTTCTTATGAGCTATTGAAGTCTTCTATGAAAAGAAAAGTGGGTGATATGGAGCAAAATATTTTACCCTGTATTGTAGGAAAAAACCTAAGGAGTCCGAACATCTGACAAAAATTCCTAAACCTGACCTGACTACATCCTTAATTGCAAAACATCCAACAACTAGTGTGACAATTTGGTCATGTTGACTTACTTGTAGATTATATTTCTGATCTTTAATTTGCTTTTAAAAGGCCATTTCTGGAATCATGTGTCTTTCACCGGAAAAGATCTTCAATTTCGCACACCTTTATGATGTCATTTACTAGATAGAAGGCGCGTCTGTATCCCTGCTCTATTAAAGTTTCAAGCACTTTCAGAATCGTCATTCTGCAGGGTAGACTAGAAATAATTTATGTTCCGTAAGTATGAAATCTTAATTCCCGTACGACTGAAGGGAGGGTGACCAACTGATTAGATTTTAATTTCCCAAATAATTTGTGCAGTATAAGATGAAACTTTTTCACCCGTTTGCTCAACATGTGTTGGAAGTGACGATGTCTACATTTTGGTCACGTGGTGATGGAAGTCACATGACAGATTTAACTACCTACCGTATCCCGGGAACTGGCATAATGTTTCTCTCTAACTCATATATATAGGTTTTGACAAAAATGCCAAAAATGGATAAAAATCATCATTCAGGGGAAAGGAGACTGCTGATGAGAAAATGTCACTTGGCCTTTTGGGCCAGGTGAGCTAAAACAGTGCATACGGTGAAATGTCTTGCCTGCTTTACTATTTATGATTTATTTTATGTTGATTAGCCTAAAGATAGTTTTACTTCAAGTATCACATAAACTTAACATTATCAATGATCTATGGAAATAAGGTCAAGGTCACAAAAACCAAGAAAGACAGACATGTACACCTTACAATATACCAATATACCAAATATAGTGACCTACCAGGGGCGGATTCAGGCGGGGGTGTGGCGAGCGTGCACCCCCCTAAAATTTGCAAAGCATGGGTTGTCCTCAGCTTAATAAAGAATATGAAGATAATTTTACCTCAAAAAAATTTTGCCTCGCTCCGCAAGGTGAAAATTTAAGTTTGCACCCCCCTAACCTAAAATCCTGGAACCGCCGCTGCAAATGCTTACAGTATCTGAGAATCAGACCTAATCATGTAATGAGGAAGAGGTCAGATGAATCCTGTCTGACGGACATTTAGACCGTGGGAGGGGCCAATGTACCAAATATAGTTATCCTATTACTCATAATAAGTGAGAAATTCACATTATAAAAAAGCTACTTTATTTTCAAGAAATGGCTGAACCATGAAAATGAGGTCAGGGACAATGGACGTTTGAGTATGGTACGACAGACGGAAACATCGTAAAATCAGGCATCTGTATACAAGGTGTGAAGCCTCCAGGTCGGCTACTCTCTGAAATATAAAGCTTTATACAAATAGTTTACAACAAAGCCACCAGATTGAAATCCCTATGTCTTGCATTCTGCAACGAAAGTCACAGGCAAGACAAAAAAACCCCCTTAAGATTCATTAAAATTGTCATTCAGGGGCAGTATAAACTTCTTTTGAAGAAGTTAATCAACAAGTTCAGTTATGTTCACCTATTAAAGTTTTTTTTTTTTTCATTTATCTTGCTGATCATTTTTTATGTTCACAGTTTTTCTCTATCTATTAAAGTTCTAAAAAATAAAAGGAAAATTGATTTAAATTTGCAGTTTTAGAAAAGATCTTTGAAAGACAGCCGCTGGTCAATAGAAGACGACCAACACCAGGACCGATATGCTAGAAGGGACTTAATAACAAACACTGTTCATCAAACACCACATAGAAAATCAAAGATTGAGAAAAACAGTCTTTAAAAAAAGGTGCCAAAAACCATACCCCCCCCCCCTTGAAGTTAAATGGTTGCTCCCTAAGCTAAGAGCTTTGAAATGTACTAAAAATTGACAATTCTGGGGCAATAACTCCAAAATAGTCTGTTAGATTTTTCTAAAAATTCTGCTGGATATACACCTTGAACTGTTGATCATTTTTATTCTTTCAAATTTGCTCTAACTGCTAAGGAAAATTGATTTAAATTGGCAGTTTTAGAAAAGATCTTTGAAAGACAGCTGCTGGTCAATAGATGACGATCAACACCAGGACCGATATGCTAAAAGGGACTTAATAACAAACACTGTCCATCAAACACTACACAGAAAATCAAAGATTGAGAAAAACGAAGTCTTTAAAAAAAGATGCCTCTCTGGACAAGTGGTCACAGTAGTTCATCTTCAGTGATCTTTAGCCTGTCAAATTTAAGGTTCGAACCATGCTGGTGGTGAGGTGTGTTCAGCTCTGATTTGACCATTATAATACAGCCAAGTTCCCTGAAAGGGGCATTAAACACCAACAAACAAAAGTAATTTACAATAGACAGTGATGATATAGGTGCAAAGCAAGAGTCAGCAGTTTATGTTTCACTAGTGACATCTGTCATGTTACTCCAATGACCCATATCTGGTCACATGGCAGATTGATAAATATCTCTTGTCTAACCCCAACACAATTCCAAATTTATAAACCCGCCATATACATAATTTCTCTAACCCTAAAATATGACAGAATACAAAAGTTTAAAATGAAAACACAGCATAATTTTCTTGACCAAGGATAGACAAGACAGTTAACATCAGAAACAAGACATAGCATAATTAACACAAAACCCTCTTAAAGAAACTAAGTGGTGCTCGCAAATGGTAAGCAGTCTCTGCACCACTAGTGGCATTCTTTGTTTTGATTATAACAAGTAAAAGGTGGTGAAGGTTTCCGCTGCTGTCAGAGTAAAATTATAATGTTGACTTGGAATCCTTTTTATTCTTTAGAAACCCAAGTACCATGTCTTGCTTGGATGAATAAAGAAACAAGTTGGTTAGAAGAGGAGAAAGTTTGTTTTCACATTTAAATGCTGTTTGTCTGGTGAAAAACACATCCATCAATTTTAACTAATATGTTGTCAATGAAAAATAATTATCTTGATGATGCCAGTTTAAGAGATCTTTTCATTAAAATCAGGACACCAGGCAGTTGTAGAGTTATAAGATAATTTCCAGTTCAATGAACCCTCAATAAGTCAAAGTAGAACAGACATTACAACTATTCAACTAATCCAAGGTTAGATTGATTGATTGTTGATTGCTTAAAGTACAGTAACAAATATGTCATGTATATTCTTGATGATCCAAGGTTAGAGACATATGGTCATGAGTAACATCATGTTTTTCCATATCATTATTGTACCTTATATTGTCAACCACATATGATTATGTTAAATACATGCTTTATATTCCAATCATTCTGCATTGATGTGAATCAAATAAACAAAATATGTGGTTGGATGAACAGATAGACAAAGACATGTGATAGGTTATTAACCTATTTCTATAATAACCAACTCTCATGAAACTAACAAAACAAGTTTTCAAAAAACATTTTATTTTCATTTTTGGAAAATAATCAATGAAGTTTAACAAATACAGGCTGACATTGTATCCAAAATACATATTGATATACTGTTAAGATACAATTATAAAGGTATATTTGATTATTCAAGGTATACTAATTTGTGGAAGTCATAAGATGTTGTAATACAATATGTAAAATAATTTTCATACACTTTTAAACACTTTAAAACAGGACAGAAATTTTCTAAAAATTTATAAATAATCAATCTTTGTTTTAAAAGGATGTTTTTTTTATTTTTTTTTGCCAGTTCCATTTTAGACTTTTACCATGTAATTTTTAAGTGAAAAATGACCAAAGCATCTTTGCCTCATTATGGCCTGTAAGTCCCTATTTCAACTACCACTTAAATATTCCATTTTATAATTTATTTTTATTAAAAAGAGCCTGTATCCTTCATCTGGTATCTAAAGATAACACTGATTTCTATTCCCTTAGAAGTTAAAGAGCATCTTGCATTGGCAGCTGAAAATACCTTTGAAAGTTCATTACAAAAACACAAGTTTCCCTATACCTTGCCTAACATTTTACTCAGATATTCAACAAATAAAACTGTTTGAAAAAAATCATGTTAGCCCTCAAACTGAAATAAAATCTGTCAGAAATCTTATGAAGAAACAAAATCAGACAAAACATTTAGAAATGAGGCCAATTAGAATCATTGATTGCCTCTAGTAGTCATGTATTTCAATCTGATTGAGAGAAATTAAAGTAAGTTTGAAAAGACTCTTCTCTATACCATTCCTGACAAGGTAGGGAAAAATTGACTGAAGTACATTCAGAGAAGAAGAAAAGTCGACCTTCAATAGGATTTTAATGGGAACAATGTGCTATCAATGGATCAACATTTAATTGTTTTTTTTTTGTAGAGCATCTTCCTCTCATCAATCCTCTTATGTTTTAAAATTGTTTCCGGTAGTTTCGGAAGGAAAAGATTTTTGAATGTTGACCAATCAGAATCAAAGATTGCCTCTGGTAGCCATGTTTTTGATTCAATAGGAACAGATTGAAAATAGTTTGTACAGGCTTTTCCATACATCCTTTGTTTGTTTGAAGTTAAGTTAAAATTGAGGAGATGATGAATATTTGATTTTTCATAGGGTTTAATCTGAATTCTGTGCCGTCAATACCACCATGTTTGTCAACCAATTAAAACAAGTTGAGGATCGGTCATAAATCTCCAAAGTTCCACACTGATTTTCTTGAAATTTTCAAAGATTTAAAAATAAAAATGCCAATTGAAAGATTGCCTCTGGCAGCCATGTTTTTTATTCCATGGTATCAAAATTAGGAATTCTCATAAAGGGTGTTCCATATATTATTTCTAACAAGTTTGATTTCAGAGGAGATACTGAAACATGTAAATTGTCAGACAATGGATGCAAAGCGATGACTGTAGATCACTTGGCCATATGATCTTAAAAAACAAGATTAAAAATATAAATTCACCATCACATAGTTTCATGAATATAAAGTGTTTTTTTCTGAAGTTCAAATACCATGTTTCTATAGCTAAAATGGTAACATTCCAAAAAAAAGAATATTAATAGTTTTATTTCTGGAAAGTTAAATAGTAAATCATTTGATGATATTAATATGCAATACAACTTGTACAATTTTATTTTTAGAATATAAATGTCAACAAATTAATAAATGCCTGTATGTTCTATAAATGCATATTTATAAAAGTATGTCAGCAGAATATAAAATTATAAAATAAACAATAAATAAATATACTATAATATACAATATCACAGTTTAGTATTAGCAGATCTATGGGCAAGCAAACAACCCTGTTTAACAACTTTGTAAGTATATAAATATAATAAATATATATATATATAATTTTAATATGACAATTGATTTACACTAATTTTTTTAAATTATAAGTACCAGTCCTTATAAGAAACATACAAAATGTGATTCATGGGTGGAAAGCATACACAAATTAATTCTTATTTAGGATGCTGATATTCATATACAATTTTTTATATGGACCCTTAAGAGATGACATATAAGTTCTATAGAATGCATTATAAAACTCATTTTGAGGGAGATAACTCCAATAATATCATATAAAATATATTTTAAACAGTATGACATTTATCTGTCCTGGTAAGACAGTGAATAGAAAATACTACTCATTCCATTCATCTAAATCCACTGAACTGATTGATAAAAAATAAACATTTGTAGCCAACATAAAGTGTATGATAAAATTTGGATTTTGCATGATTCTTATATGGACTACTTCTTCAGTTAACATTTTTCATACACACAGATAATATAAGAAATAAAATTGCCAAATCTCAATCTGTTTGATTAAAATACTGAAAATATCATAAAATATATCTGATTTCGGAAATGCTTTCGAATAGATATATTTCAAATTGAATTCATACTTGTTTTCAAAAGAAACTATCAAAATAAAATGATACACTCATAATAAACACATTTTTGTGCAGAAAAGATCATTTTGTTATGAAAAAGGTTATTGGAATGATATAAGATCATAAAAAATTATAAAAATAATATCATAAAAACTCTTTATAATAAAATATATATGTAAACATAAACGTGTAAAAAGTATATACAGTGTATCACAAACTTCTATATTGCAATAATAAAATGGATTTTTGTACAAAATATGTTTCTTTTAAAACACAACTTAAAATATCACTGCTGAAATCTTCATCAGCATATCATAGTCTTATCAAAGTGACTCATCCCCCTTCTGGCATTACACTGTACATTGAAATAAATACCTTTGAAATAATTCTTTAAGGGGCAGGTTGTGAAAAGCATTAAAAATTAAAAAAATAAGATGGCAACAACTGAAAAGGCTTTTCTAAGGCCATGAAATATATTCCTTTTTTTTTTTTTTTTTTGTAAAAGGCCATTAAAAAATAGTGGTTGCACAGTAAAACAGCCTAAATTACAATACGATCATTCCACAATAAAGGGAAAATAAAGCTCCATGATTAACCAATGGGTCTTTAAATCGCAATAGTCAATGCTATTTGGAAAACATGTTTTATTTTGATATAAATAACAATATTAAAGATGAAGCCATTTTGATCTTGTTGAATTCAAGGAAGACAATTATAACATCTTATAATGCTTAAAGTCATGAAAGTGCTTTTTAAATTTTTCAACTATTAATCTCTGTAAAGTTTTGGACCTCAGGAACACTAATAATTATTTTCTGAACTACACAATTTATTTTTCTAATATTTATATAATACATTGTTAATAATAGCCTATATCTTCATGCATTATATATCTAAAATACTGTTAACTGATTTGTTAAGAGTTAATAATATCTAAATAATCAGCACTGCGTGATCTTCACAGGAATTTGGCACATTTTTTTTCCTCAGGACAAATATATCAGTGGTCCTAGATTTTAATTATGAAAAGTTCATTCATGTTATAATGTTTCTAATAATAAAATAATTGTTTCATCTCCTTTGACGTGTTCAGAAGTATTTTTGATAAGGCAGTCTCAATTTTTCAGCAATTTATTTCGATTGCAGTTTTCCTTTCATTTTACGGAAGGCACCAACAATTCCACCACTAGACATTCTATGATAATTTGTATCATGCTGGGCAGCAATCTGATGGACATCCTGGTCACAGAACTCCTTCATTCTTTGAACAAGAACTTCCTGTAGGTCAATTTCTGGGTCAAATCCATATAAATGGTTCTTAAATATCCTTACTTGATCAATAGCATTGCAAATAGATCTGAAAAATAGAGGGAAAAAAAGGCATTAAAATACCTTCTAAACTACTGAAGTAGCCCTGAAATTTAAATAATACTTTGTTATATAAGCCTATATCTCCATTTTACATCTAAAATAATGTTCAAATAACTTTTCTTCCATTAAAAAATGTTTAAGCTATCTTTAAAGAAAAAAAATAATTCATGCACTTTTTATTATATTTTGAAATCTCTGTGAATGGTTTAAGATTGAAAAACCTGGCAGTTAAGACTTTCAAATACCTATAAATTAGTTTAATTCAAAGTTCCTATCAATTTTTTTTTGGTTTTCTAAAGGTTTGTCTCTATCTCCCCATTTAAATAGGACCCCTGGACATCATATGTCTAGTTTAAATATATTTTTTTTTTTTTTGTAAAAAAAAAACCAAATACTTCTCCAAATAATATATTTGAAAAAGGGGCAAAGTAAATTAAACAATTTGTTTTTCTTGTGTAATGTGAACTGTAAATAGTAAAATTGAGAATGGAAATTGGGAATATGTCAAAGAGACAACAACCCGACCAAAGAGCAGACTGTAGTATATTAAAACTCCCTAAATGACACATGTAAATGAGCTGTTTATTGCTGTTTTTATTTATTCACCTCATTTTACTCCATTTATACATTCCATTTGCCAGTTTAAATCCTCCGATTTCACACTGCTGTATATGTAACAGTAGAAGTACCACTGATGGAATTGTGGGATACATGTGACTGTCCTTGTTACTCAACAATGCTCCAACATCACTTTTGAGAAAGATCTATAAAAGGTTAATAAGGTTTTATTATTTCTTATTTCTATAGAAAATTATTCATTAATTTTTTTTATTATTATAATATAATGTTAAAAACAATTTTTAAATTAATAACTGTCTTGACTGTGTATGAAATTTAAAATTGAATAGAATCAATATTTATAGAAATGAAATTTGAATTTTTAAAGAACTGATTTTAATTAAAATGAATATGAGTATGGTGAAGAAAACTAAATCATCTAATTATAGAATAAAATATTTTCAAATGTTGGTAAATGAAGTGCTTCTGGCCTTTTTTTCCCCAAATAAATGGAGCAACACCACAATCTAGTACATGAATATCAAATAAACAGCTGCGCCATGAGCGCATGATACGCCCTTTGTCTTGTGTGTGAATTTTTATGCAATAAGCATAAATAGTTTCTGACATATGGCGTGACATGTGAAAACCCCCCTTTTTTTTTACAAAAAACTCAATATCTCTAAAATAAAATTTTGAATCAAAACCAAAAAGTATACAGATCTTTAGATTAATATAACTAAAAAGTGTGTAAAATTTAAAGCAATAATTATAAATCGTTTTTGAGATACAGCTCGACATGTGAAAACCCCCCCTTTTAAAAAAAAAAAAAAATCAATATCTCAAATATAAAATTTTGAATCAAAACCAAAAAGTATACAGATCTTTAGATTAACATAACTAAGAAGTGTGTAAAATTTTAAGCAATAATCATAAATCGTTTTAGAGATACGGCGCGACATGTGAAAAACCCCTCCCCCTTTTTTTACAAAATACTCAATAACTCAAAAATTAAATTTGAATCATCACCAAAAAGAATACAGATCTTAAGGTTAATATAACTAAGAAGTGTGTAAAGTTTTAAGCAATAATCATAAATTGTTTTTGAGATACGGCGCGACATGTGAAAAACCCCTCCCCCTTTTTTAACAAAATACTCAATATCTCTAAAATAAAATTTTGAATCATCACCAAAAAGTATACAGATCTCAAGATTAATATAACTAAGAAGTGTGTAAAGTTTTAAGCAATAATCATAAATTGTTTTTGAGATACGGCGCGACATGTGAAAAAAAAACACACACCTGTTTTAGTTACTAAGTCCCGTAACTCAAAAAGTTTTAATCTTATTTTCACCAAAAAGTATACAGATCTTTTGACCATCATAAGAAACAACTATGTTAAGTTTCATGAAATTTGGATAAGTCATTCTCAAGTTACGGTGCAACATGTTGACGCCGGACAGACAGACGGACGGACAGACAGACAGACAGACAGACAGACGGACGGACGCCGGACATTTGTATAACATAATATGTCCCGTCAAAAATTTGACGGGCGTATAAAAAATGAAAACAGATCATTTTCATTCCAAATATTGAGTATATAAGAAAATGTAAATGACAGACAAAAGCCATATTCCTCCTTACAACTGTATTTAAAGAATGACAAATTTATGTCCAAAAGATGATAGACAAAAAACTTTCAGCCAATCAGAAGATGTGTTACATCCAAAATTAAATTATTGGAGGATAACTACCCTAATAAGCTACAAAGATATTTACCCTTGTAGAGGTCAGATCTTCCATTACTGTAACACACTTGGCAGACAGATTTTTCCAGATTGGTAACTGTTTGATGACTAAGTTTTCCAAACCTTCTAAGATTGACATGCATGTGGCATAGTTTCTCATATCCTTACAAGTCTGGGCTGTAAATAACAGCTTACTTAGTACTGCTGTCTGGCTCTGCAAGGAAAAGGTAGATTAGAGCTGTAGATCGATGCCTCATAATTTTCTATTCATATTTATAAAAAAAATCATGTTATTGCAAATTACTTTATTTGCTTTACATTTACTGTCTAAGTCATCTAATATCCTAAAATTCAAAAGTATTAGAATACACAAGACAGTCCATTGAGTCATTTATTATCACATAAAAGCAATTCATTCATTTTGTAATTTATTTCACGTACAGAGGCAAACGTTTGTTTCTTTATCACCAAAGCAACTAGTAAAAAAAATACTTAAATCTAAATGCTTGATGTAATTTCCATTTAAAAACATATATATATTCAATTGAAATGAGCATAAACAAATAAATGTTAAAATGTATACTATCTCCTGTCTTCAATTAATATTTTTCATAAAAGTTCTAAAGGTTCATACTGTCAATTTCATTATGAACTTGAATCTGCAGACCAATGGCTATAGAAATTAAGTAGCAACCAAGAATGGCATTTGTTTATAAATACCGCTGTAAAAGAAAGGCTAACAATATAAGCAGCCCTAGCTTGATACTAAGATAAAAACTAACATTACGACTGATCAATTTTTTACTTACCTTCACAGAGGAACAGCTGACTATTTCAGCAGCCACCCAGTGAGATACTTGGTTAGAAAACTCAATCATCTGCTGCATGTTTGATTCATTTCTGATGTCGCATACAAACAAGTTATACTCTGACTGGTTTTCACTATCAGGACTGTTCAACCTGGAATATAATTTTAAATGATTCAATTTTGGATGCAATTCCCTATAATACAAGTTTAAAAATGTTTTAATGTTTTACCAACACATGTACAAGAATATGTATCCATAGGAAACCATGCTCTACTCATTTGATCACATTACCATGTTAAGTTAACAGCAAAATCTGGGTCCTAACCCTAATTTGGCATATATTTCAAAATCAAAATAAACAGATGTACTAAGTTTTATGTGGTTAACATCATCCAACTTTTAATAGTTAGACCTTCTTGGATTGGTTGATTGGTGTTTGCATTATGTCGTATCAGCGCGAATAGACTAAAAATGCTAAAATTGTTTCCATAAGCAACATAAATATTTAAATGAAAAGAGCATAAATAAAATTTATATTATCTTCTGTCTACAATATTCTGGCAACCTTGTTGTTGAAAGTCAAAATAAAAGTTTCTTGAATGAATCCGTAAACTTAAAAACTTCAATACTAAATATAACTTACTTGAAAGTAGACGGTGCTCTAGACTTAGCTAATGTTAGAGATACACCAACTCCCTGAGACTTGGAGTTCAAATAATGAACTGGATGAGTTTGCTGGAACAGTCCCTATAACATAATAGAAAACAAACATATAGGTAAGTACCAAAACATATGTGATAAATCACTTCATGATTTGAAAACAACATTATTGGAATGTAAAATTTTTCAAATACACTGTATAACACTGTTTTGGAAATTTCAAGCTGAGTCAAATTTGCACTACTTTTACTTTTTTTCATTTCTGTGTGCAGAATGATTCTACTGAATTCAGACTTGTATAGTCTGCGGTATTATTCTCCAAAATGAAAGCTGCCAGGCAGGATTGCGATTTATAGAGTACGATAAGCAAGAAAAAAGAGAAAAACTCGATTTGGAAAGGTTTGTTTAAGTTCCGCCATGTTTGTTATTGAAAGTGTAGAGGGCCCCCAATCCATATTAATGTGCAATATCAATCCATTATAAAGTGATTACTTTCAAAATTAAATGCTTCATTACAAATTTCTCGTTTCTTTTCACAGCATTGCATGACATAAACTGGAAATCGTTTGTATTTAACGGAATGAAAAAAGTGTATAAGTCAGCAGGGAACCAGCTTATACATAATGATGTATAAACTACAAAACGCAATCAGTTATTCGTTCTGTTTTGGTGATTCATACTGATGCATGTGTTTTGTTTTAGCTTAAGATCCTGCAAACATTAAAAAGATGAATATGTTTTACTTTTAAAGTCGTATTCTAGTGGTATAAATATTTCTCCATTACAGAAGGTAATATTACTTACAAAATAAAAACATGTATTCATCTTAGCCTTTGTATCTTGTTTTAAAATATTTGAACATATAAATTGAAACAACTCATTGCAAGTTATTTATTGTACTTTCTTTACCTGTTCTATCAATGTCAGCTGTTCTGCCAATTTCTGAGGAGTATAGTCTGCTAATGTAAAATTTTCTGTCCTTCGAGATAATTTCAAATCCAGACCAATACTTCCACGTCTCTGTGGCTTTACTGGCCCTGGTTTTACATGAGGTAGTACAGACTTGTTAGATTTTGGCTTCACCACTGATTTAAGGGTGTCCCACTGAAATTAAGGTAAACTGTCATTAAAAAATGTAAATTCTTTTTCAATTGAAAAATCTAACCTTTAATATTTCTATTTAAAGCCATATGTTGTAGATCTTAAGCCTTGTAAAATAGGGAGATCTGTCCCTGTCAATATCACGGCTAACAGAGATCTGTCCCTGTCAATATCATGGCTAACGAAGATCTGTCCCTTTCAATATCACGGCTAACAAGACAAGCAAGTACATGTAAAACTTCTGAGAATTATTTTTGAATGTATATTCACTTGGACAGACCAAAACATCTTGTCAACCACCTACCTGTAGATAATTTCTAGAAAAAAAAAACAACATTTTATTTCTAAGAGGGGTTTTGCTTATGAACTAGTTAAATCTGAACAATCCCTCTTTTAAGCATTTCAGTATGTACACATCTTTGGCTTTCCCAACTTTTTGGGTAAATCAATACAGCATGTTTTTTACTTTTTACTTTGACTAACCCTCCACAGACTTTCATGTTCCCATTTATTTATTTTACCAATGAGTTATATTGACCACTTTAATATAAATATATTAACAACCTTTATGCATAAACCAATTAATTTTAAATTTAAATTGATTAATAATAAGAGCTAAGCCAGGAAGAGAAATAAATGATAAAGAAAGATAAAGAAAACAAGTGAAACTGCGAGCTTCTACTCACTGGTGATACCCCCGCCCAAATGAAAATGTTCGGTAAACATGAAGTTGTTGAGTGATGAATCTGAAAAGGTATCACACGGTATAGCTGACTCATATAAACCCTGAAACCAAATTTCAGAAATCCTTGTAATGTAGTTCCTGAGATAATGTGACGAAAATTTTCAACTACTTGGATGTCATGTGTAAAATGATGTAAGTGTTCGGTAAACAGGAAGTTGTTGAGTGATGAATCTGAAAACGCATCACACGGTATAGCTGACTTATATAAACCCTGAAACCAAATTTCAGAAATCCTTATGATGTAGTTCCTGAGAAAGATGCGACGAAAAATATTCATGGGACAGACAGAGGTAAAACAGTATACCCCCACTTTTTGAAAGCGGGGATATAATTATAATGCATGTTATTTAATTATTACTCAATACCTTGAACACCAATTACTTCATATGTCTAGGAACCCCACTCAATAAATTACTACAATATCTATATATATAGGTATCTGTGCAAATACTTGTGCTAGGATTGTATTTAACAAAGTATTTGGAAAAATCCGCACATATGTTATTACTTTTTAATTAGTAAACAATTTTTAAAAAATTACTATATACAGAAAGACTTTTAATTTGATGTTAATAGAATTACAATTTAACAAACTTTTAATTTTTTTTCACTAATAGAGGAATACAAAAAGGATGTGAGTAATATGTTTTGTGCACAAGAAATTTGTATCCCAAAAATAACTGAAAGTAAGACATAACTAAAGGTAAATGTTATTTTTTATTCTCACCATCTACATGCAAATTACCTGAGGTTCTTCGCTATTGTCCTAAATAAAACAATCCTTAAAGCTTAAATGCTTGTTTGCAATAATGTAGGTACACTTGAACAACAGAACTTGTTTTAAATTTATACATCAATCTTATTTTCTTCTTTATTTTTTATATTAACTAATAACTATTAAAAAACAAGATTTCACAATTTTGTCTGGATTTGTTTATACACAAACTTTAGGATAGGTAAATAAAACAGCAACCCAACAACAAAAATAATAAAACGACGTACAGAGACAAGATAGTCTTCAACAATAGACCGGTGTCTGTACAATTTGTCAAGCTTTAAATCTTCCCGAGTCTGTAAAAGGTGTGAATAAATGTAAGTTTATTTCTAATTGAAAATTGATTCCTACCTGAAAATAAGCATGATAAAGGTCAAAGCTAAATTATTAAAAGTGTACCTTTTTCTGTGTCCCTGGTTTATAGACATGGATATTATCTTCTGTGGCTGTTGAAGAAAGGTCTATGTTCTGTCCAATTAAACAGCTGTTCAGTAAATCTTGTAAGGAGGGCTCCTCATATTCTGATGATGGCTTGATGCCCTTAAAAATTAAATAAAGGTTAGGATACATACACTCGAATCCTACCTAATATAACATAAGAATATTGCTAGTGCACCTGAAAAGCTGGAAATCAATAATGTAAAGTTGTCACTATATCCATTTTTTTATTGTGTGTAGAAGTTCCAAAAGGAAACATACTTTACATTGCTGTAGTATATATACCCCTTTTAAGATGTTTTGATCTTCAGTTCCTCTATTAACTTTATAAACTACATGGTAAATAAGTCACCTTTCACAAAGCATACCTTTTTTTATATTCCTGTTTATTTTTTATTGTAAAAATCTATATTGAATACTACAATTAAAAATCTCAATCAATACTAAATATATAACTTACAGCTTCTTCCAGAAAATTTTGCAGTGTATCAATCAGGTCAGAGTTATCATCAAAATCCACGGAATAAAATCCTTCCACCCAGAAGTACAGTAAATCTAACACTCTCTGTCTCAACCTGGTTAAATTGGATTCTCCTGATTTATTGTTCCTGAAAATAAAAATCACCAATATGATTTGTCTGCTATTCTTAAAAAAAACAAACCACTAAAATTTCAAGCAGAGCTAGATTGAAGTAAAAAGATATTTCTTTGACAGATTATATAGACTTCTAAATAGGGTGCACTTCAACAAATATCTGATGCATTTAGACTGGTTTTAATTGCATCCATGAAAAAAAATCAACATTTGATTAGTTTCAGATATTTATTCAATCAGTAACCTTGTCATTTATTTCATCTAAAATTCCTGACCTTTTCCAAATCATGAAGCTTGAAAAAGTGACTTATTTCAGCACCTCATCCCTACCACACATTACATAGTAAGCAGTCCCCACAAGGTTCTATAAGAATTAGACTTGATTAGATCAGATTTTTTCAAAACTGATCATACAAATTTTAATAAAGCTTTATTGGGTGGCATGAAGTTCCCATTTTAATAAAGTTTTGAAGATTAGCATAAATAAATGCATGCATACTTTTCTGAAATTTTAACGAGGTCATGGTTTAGTTTTCCTTTTGAAAGAAAGTGAAAAAAATTGTTTTGATGTTTGCTTCTCCATTTAATGGGTGGTGGGCTTGGAAAGTACTTTCTTAAAATCCTAACCACACAATATAAAATTTCTAAATACAGTTCTTGTTGAAAGATATCATCAGGAAAATACAAGCACACACCAATTATTTATTTTTAGTGCCTCCCTCAACACCCAGCCCTCTTAAAAGTTGTGACTAAATTTACTATTTGTTTAAAATGATAGAATAACTGGGAATTTGAGAACATATAAAACCTTTGTTTGTCACTAATTTGTTCATAATAATTGTACACTTCCAATTGTCAAAATAGAGTACACTCTTTCATGTTCATGTCTGTTTTTACCTATGTCCATCTTTATCAGATGTTTAGTACACAACAATCACAACAAATTTCTATCAGAAAGTGAGCAATTGACCACATTGACGAATACCTTACATTTTCTTTTATTCATATCTTTTGTCATTCTGTGCACTGCTATAAAAAAAATGAAAAATGAAAATAACTGGTTCTCTGAAGGTTATGGTTATAACAAGTGACAACCTTTCACAGAGTTATCTAATTTTATATGTCATGTTATAGCCGAAGGATCTGTTTTTTTGAAAACTTACCCTTTTGCACTTTTATATTTCGTAATAAGAAAGTTCATAACATCTGTCTGTGATACAAAATATCGGAAACAATATAAATACTGGTGGATGTATCCAAAACTTAAAGCAGTTCTGTAAAAAAGTAAAATAACAATATTTTAAAATCAAAGATTTTTGTTAGCATTTTAACAGTTACTATAAATTCATTTAATTTTAAGGATACTAATTTTCTTAGATTAAAAAAAAAAATAATTTGTGGATATTTTTAAAAACATAACTTTATAAAATTAATTTCATATATGCAATTTAATTAAACTGTTTTTTCAAATGGCTAAAACATATGTCACAAGCCCTTAAGGTATTGTAAGATACTGTAATATTGTATAAAATCAAGTGTATACTATTTTACAGCACATATGTGGTATTGAATCATTAATATCTATTATAATTATCAAAAATTTATTGCAATGTTATCTCAGATCAAACTTTAAATATAAGAACAAAATGCAAATATTTTGAAAGTTTTAAATATTAAAAGGCAGACATATAGTTTCTTACATCCACATCATTTGGACTTTGGATGATAGTTGTCTCATAAACAATCATACCACATCTCCTTGGTCTCTGGTGGATAGTTGTCTCATAAACAATCATACCACATCTCCTTGGTCTCTGGTGGATAGTTGTCTCATAAACAATCATACCACATCTCCTTGGTCTCTGGTGGATAGTTGTCTCATAAACAATCATACCACATCTCCTTGGTCTCTGGTGGATAGTTGTCTCATAAACAATCATACCACATCTCCTTGGTCTCTGGTGGATAGTTGTCTCATAAACAATCATACCACATCTCCTTGGTCTCTGGTGGATAGTTGTCTCATAAACAATCATACCACATCTCCTTGGTCTCTGGTGGATAGTTGTCTCATAAACAATCATGCCACATCTCCTTATTTTTTAAGCGACAAAGCACATTTTAAACAGAAAAAAATTCTAAAAAATGAGCCGTCACTTTGTTTCTTATTGCTTATAACTATTGCTATTGTTATTGAACAAACTTTCATATTACTGATAAAGACAGAACTCAACTCCCAAATATAAAAGGAAACTATGAAACTCATTGGCAGTCATACATCTCCTTTTTTATATAAAGGGAAAACGGAAAGCAAACTTACGATGAGAAAAGATAAGACATGAGGCCATCTGTCATTCCTGCATGTAAAGCCTGTATCTCACAGCCAGTCTGTGGCTCCCGTAGGATCTGGAACTCCAGTAAGGGGTTATCCTGGCAAGGTTTCAGTTTAAGAGGCTGATCAGGATCACATGTTACCACTGAGTATAAATAGGTGGGATGAATACTCGATAACTCAGTTACTGACATCTGAAAAATTAAAATATAAAACTTGTTACTGTATACTGAAACTAAAATGAATGAATGGGTTTGTCTCCATGAAATTAAACATTGTGTAATAATTATAAAAATATCTAATAAATTAAACTCAAGTTAGCATAAGAAATGATACAAATGTTCAATTTTTTACAACTAAGGTCCCATAACTCTGGAATGAAAAATTTGAAAATGGTCAAAATCAGTGAAATTTTGTCTTTATGAAATCAAACATTTAAAAAGACCAGTATGGGGTCTGGACCTGTCTCGCTGCATGCAATTGCTTGAGGTAACATGTATACATGAACATAACTGATCATTTCCAGACCAAATATCATAATCATTCACTTCAATTGGAGCCAAGAAAAGTTTGACAAAAAATTTCCTTGTACAATGAGTGTTGTAAAATTTCAAACTATCGGCAAACAGGAAGTTGCTTCACGGCAGATGTAAAAACTGCTTAGTCACTACAACTCAATATTATCAAGCTGCACAACAAATATCAAATCATTCCCTTTCATAGAAGCCAAGAAAACTTTGATGAAAATTTTCCTTGTACAATGAGTGTTTTAAAATTTTTAACTATTGGCAAACAGGAAAAAGTTACACTGTAGATGTAACAATTGCTTACTTGCTACAACTCAATATAATCAAGCTGCAGACCAAATATTAAATCATTCCATTTAATAGAAGACGAGAAAACTTTGACGAAAACTTTCCTTGCACAATGCGTGCTGTAAAATTTCAAACTATTGCCAAACAGTAAGTGGCTACACGACAGATTGCTTACTCACTACAACTCAACATTATTAAGCAGCAGACCAAATATTAAATCATTCCCTTTCATAGAAGCATCAACGTTTTCTTTCAGACAGACTGAAAGATGGACAAAAGGAGTCAAGCAGTTACTAGTCCTGCTTCCGCCTTCGGTGAATCAGGTAAAAATAATTAAAGATCGTTTAAATAAATTGAGTAAATGCAAGATCAGTTAGGTCAGTCGAATTAAGAGACAGACAGACAATAGCTACCGTAGAAAGGCTTGTATAGTCAGTGGTTTTATTCTCCAAAATTGGACCTTTCAGACGGGGTGCGGACTATAGAGTACAATAAGCAAGAAATAAGACAAAAATTTCAATTTCGCGGGGGAGGTGGTTTGTTTACGTTCCGCCATCTTTGTTATTTATATTGTAGAGGGCGCTCTTATCATTTTTCAAACTAATAATTTTAACTCATCCATATTAATAAGTTATTTCTATTCATCAAATTAATACTGATAAATATAAAAACTAAACCTTTCATTACAAATTTCTCGTTTCTTTTCAATGCATTGGTTGAAATAAACTAGTATCTGCTTGATTGAAACGATACAAACATAGTGAAAAAGACAACCGTAAACCAGCTTAGAATTTGTAAACTACAAAACGTAATCGGTTATTGTTCGTTCCGTTTTGGTGTTTCATACTGACTAATATGGTTTGTATTAGCTTAAGACCCTTCAAACACTAATGTGATAGATATATTAAAGACTGTTTTACAAAAGGATGGAACTGTTTTACTTTCAAAGTCGTATTATAGTGATATCTGTTATGTACGGATTTCGACTCTCACTGGTTAATTTCTTCTTTTACACGTGCTTTTTAAACTTCCTGTTTAAACATACACAAGTTTCTAAATTGTTTTTTAAGTGAATTAAACTTATTTTAACAATCATGAAGCGTTCTCGAATCATTTACAAGCAGTTTCAGCTTCTGTTTGATGATGGAAAACAGGTTGTTCCAAGAAAATACCGCAAATGACCGCACAGGATTTGAAATTACCGGAGTTTCATAAGACCTTTTCTAACAGTTACAAAAAGTTTTTTTACCTAAAATTTCATGGGGAGAAGGGGGTGCGAACTATACAAGCCTTTCTACAGTAACCATAATACAGGCATTTTAAACTAATTACTTTACCTGCAGATGTGTTTGACAAAGTTGCAGGAAGTGTATTTTTGCTGCCATTTCATCTAAATCTTTACAAACTTGCAGTAATGTTGATTTCTGTTCACCTGTAAAAAGATTATATAAAGCTTATAAAAAAATATATAAACAATTTACAGCTCCCCCTTTATCAAGGCCAACTTCAGACAACCTTGAGTACAACTTTTGGACAGGTCAACATTTTGGTGATTAGTTATAAGTGAATCAACTGAAAATTCAATACAGAAATTTTGGCTCAACTGTAATATACGGTAGAAGTAGTTCCTAACCCAATTACATATTCATACATCTACAATAATATGAATGTTGTATTAAATATTGTATCGATTCCTGAAACGTAGTCTCAAATGACAGACACATAGACACCTCGACACATAGACACCTCGACACCTCGACACATAGACACATCGACACATAGACACATCGACACATCGACACATCGACACATCGACACATAGACACATCGACACATCGACACATCGACACATCGACAAATCGACATTTTAAATGACTATTAATTGTATATTAGACAATACTTCAGAGAGTTGAAGAAATACGGTGGATTCTTTAATATTCGTTGGATACCAATTTTCGTGAATTTCGTGGGTACAGTGGAACCACGAATTTAACTGTTCAACGAATTACAAATTTTCTAAAGGAATGTATGCAGACTTTGCCAAAACTACGAAATTAAATATCTACGAAAAAAGCTAGTTTTCCTCAATGCACGAGAATTGGTATCCACGAAAATAAATGAATCAACAGTAATACATCTTTATTTTTTCTGTTAACCATGCATACATTTGCATTACTCATTGAGCAACTGGAATGTCCGACTAATTAATGTTTTTGTTAATCTCAATCTGATGGAATGACTGTAACTGGCGAAAAGGTAGCAACGTCTTCAATAAAATTATAAAAAATGTCACCATTTGAAAATCCAAATTTGTATCGGTACATGAATTCATCTAAATACATTGGGATTTTCGATGGTAATATTCCTTTCATCTTTTTCATCCTAAGCTTAGCCAGTCCCCACAGACCTTCTATTGCGTTGGTACAACACCCCTCATCGCTCTTGAACTCTTCACTATGGTTAACAGACAAATGTTTATAACCCTCTTGTGATAGAGTATCGTACGCTGCCCATTTGTCGAAGAAAATGGTTGATCCAGGTTTTACATAGCGCTTTATGATAGGAAGCAATGTATTACGATCTCTTCTTTCCACTAATTGAAGAACACTGTTTCTTGTACCGCGCTCGGTTATTCCAAATACCCAATACTTTTGGTTTCCTGTTCCCCTATGATACTTCCGCTTCTTTCCGAATAAACTCTCATCTATCTCAACTATGTTGGTGTCAAACCCATCTGTTGCCTCACCAAGGACAATCGGTTTCCTCAACATTGCTGATGAACATACATCTCTAAATAAACAGTACCATTCTATAACGGTTTTTTCATCCAGCTCTGGAACCAGTTTTAAGCATTGATAGACTTGAAAATCCAGACTAAAGGCATATAAGACTTGCATTATATTGATGAGAGAGAGTTTACTTTTCTGGAAAAAAAAATGGAAATCAAATTTATGATAAATGGGAAAAGATGTATTTAAAAAAAAAGAAATTTTCTGTAATGTCAAGAAATGCCATCAGATAAACATATTAAATAAATCTTACACTGTAGAGGGACTTATTTTCGTCAAGATAAAATTTTGCAAATTGAGGAAAAAATGTTTTCGCAAGTTTTTCATTTCTCGTTTTCAATGTTTATGCCCGTATTTCACATGATTATTGCATTTTTTCGCAGTGGTGTGTTTTCGCGTATTTATTGTAGTTGCGGAAGTAGACTCTTGACAGTAATCGTATTTCGGCTAAGTATATTTATAATCTTCAAAGATTATAAGTGAGTGTGTATATCTTTAACATATAGGTTATAAAGAGAATAACATTTACTGTAATTTTATATTTCAAAAGTTCCTTTATAATCTACGAAATCAATATTTGCTTAATGATGACACGTGGGTTAATACAAGGTTTTTACACTTGGTAGTTTAAAACACATTGCCAATTTCATTCTGTATTTGCTCATATTGTTGTGGGCTTTATGTAAAAAAAAATGTTGTACAGTTATAGTACCTCAAAAAAGCTTCCAGTCCGTATAGATTTTCTTTTAAGGCAGGTGTTGCAATTCCAAACTTGTCCATCACTGATGTCTTTACGTTTGTTGGTTGTCATCTTGTTTCCGCATTCACAAGTAATTTCTGGCTTTAACAACCCATATTCCCTCATAAATGATATACAAGTCTCTGTTGTAAGTAAAATGGTGCTGATAAATATCCTCATCCCCGGTGCCGCTTCACCCTTCATTTTCTACAGTTTTGAATCAAAGCAAAACGTCATTGACAGCATTGTCTTCAAATAGTACTGTCTGATTTTCCCAGAAAAAAACGACGTCATAAGGCTTTGTAATAACAACGTTCATTTGAATCGTGTTTGAATTTACCGTCATGGCGTGTTCAAAGCTTTCACAGTGCGATGCATTTGAAACATACAGATCTGCTTATTCGTCTAGAATTGATTGGTCTGAAATATTTGAAGAGGACGTTCTGAACTGGCTAAGATTATTTGAAAAAGGAAAAAATTGTTCTTTGTTTCTAACTGTTCCAGCCCTTCTGTCCATGACAGCAGCTCTTCTAGGACCGAAGACAAGAATAAAAGGACAATCCAATGGTTTTACAACTAGCACGAATTTATACCTTTTAGCCGTTTGTGATCCTGGAGGTGGCAAAAGTATAACATATGAAAATGTAATAGAGCCGGTAATGAATAATATCTTGGAAAAAACTGGAAAAAAGTTATCAACAGAGTCATATACGACAGCAGGCCTTCAAAGGCACCAAATAGCCTCTGGAGGTGTAGGTTTAATTACAACAGATGAAGGTCACAGATTCCTGGCATCTGTGAATGCTAAGCAACTGAAAGGGGAATCCGAAAGATCCTATCTTTGTAAATTATGGAGCGGTAAAGGAGATTTTGTTGATTTGTCAAATGGGAGTCGAGGATTCAAGAGAACTTCTATGTCCTTGTGTCTTTTCATACAGCCTCACCCTTTGTTGTCTGAAATGGCTTGTTTCACAGGGATGGATGGTTTCCTGGACAGATTTCTTTTCATGGTGTCAAGGCCATTACTGTTCCCCACAAAAGTTGTAAAAGAGAATTTTGCAGAACTAAGTAAAAGTGGAATGAAAGATTTTGATGAGGTGTATTACAAAATGTACCTCAATCATCAAGACGGGAAAGAGTACTACTTGTCGGAAGATGCACAAAAGGAATATGATGAAATGGTTGATTCGTATGCAGATTTATTAAACGACAAGTACATGGAGGTGTCAGGTAAATATGTTATATGTGTTTATTAAGAGTAACTTCTGTAAAATGTTTATATTTTCCAGGGGCGTTTCTAGTATATTTGAAAGCGGTAGAATGAAATCTTTCGCCTCGCTACGCTCAGAGAAAAAATTTCTGGACTTTTTTTTGCTAAAAAAACATAAAAAAAAATTTTTTGAAAAGGAGGGGGGGCGTAGGACCATTACGCCCTCACCTGGACCCGCCCCTGTTTTAGGACTGCTAACTTGACTGCACAAACGGATACCGGTTATGTCCTTCAAAATTTCAAATACCTACTTTTTTCAATAAATGTGCATTGTCGGAAAATATAAAATTTATTTGTAACAGCTTTAGAAACAGAGCAAAAATGAGGCTCTTTATTTATTTGTCAGATCTTTAGAAATAGAGCAAAAACGAGGCTTGCCGATCTTTTTTCCTACATGTATGTTGTTTAGACTACAGTAAAAATAAATTTTATATTTTCCGTCAATGTACATATAAATTGTTTTTATTCAGAAATTTACTCCCAACACCTGAATATGTATTCTAAATAATTGTCTCTTATTTCTTTAAGAATTCTACATAGTTTGAACGCGTACCGCGAAGAGAACCACAAAATGAACTGTTACTGATAAAAAAAAATATACACATTACCGCTTGCTTAACATTGAAGCGGGGTAACAGGAGACTTTATTTGTAATAAAAGTAAATATAAAGCAAACATATATGTGTATACCTGTATTTTGTACACTATGTAGCTAATTCCATGATACAAATAAATGCATGCCTTTTTAAAGGAAAAAAAAAAATAATTTAAATGTAAATTATGTTGTTCATGTTGTTAATTGGAATAAGATATAAATGTAAAAGGATTATAATGTTACTTTTATAGAGAAGATGTGGCCTTTTTACATTAAATGTTATAAAATATTGTTTCAGAATTAGATGAAGAGGAAAAAGAGAATCATAACTTATCAGCTACACAGACTAATTTATGCATGACCACTAGCAAAGACACAATACATGTTATAAGACTGGCAGCCGCCCTACAGATTACGTCATCTTATATCAGAGCTACCTTAACTAAAACTGAAGTTGTAAACGATACTAAAATAACTGTTGAATCGTTGAGGTGTGGAAGGAAGCTGTATTGTTTCATGGCTGGCCAGAAAGCAGTATTCGCACAGGTATATATTCTCTAAAAATGTCCCAAATATAAAACATACAAAATGTACAAATACTTTTGCGGTTTAGTTCTTTAATGTCAGTAAAAAGGAACCAAACACACGTCCATCGTATGCTTGTTGTTTAGTCATATTAATTTCCATGGTTAACGATGTTATGTAATTAGCGATTTTAACAAAAGTTCTATAAACATGTATGTAACTATTGTGAGCTTAAAGCCAAACCGTAACACTAAACACCCACCCTAATCTATGTCGCTAGATGGCCTGAAACACAGCCTACGATTTATGTAGATCCCTCCAACGTTGGAGCACACACAGCTAGATGTGTTCCCATAACTGATTTGTTTTTAATAATGTTAAAGTATTCACAAGTTATTCCAATTTAAAATGTTGAAAAGTATCTTCACCGGAACGTTGCACAGGCACAAAATTTATTTACAGAAATGTACATGTTATATACACGGAGAACCTATACGTTCTCCAGGATGTAGGTTCAATGATAAAAGCAATGTCTAGTTTTGTGTTATTTAATGTAGTACGGTTTAATAGTATGTATAAATTAATGAATGTTGCGTACATGAATATATTTCAGGCATTGAACACGCTTCAGCAGACTGATTCAGTGAAATTAAAGAAAGTGATGTCTTTCAAGATCAGAGTGATTAAGGCTATTGTTTCCAGTGAGGGACCTGTGATTTCTTTGAGGTGCTTACAAAGAAAACTGTATGGATCGTTGAAGGATAGTGTTATTCGTAAGTGTTGTATATTATTTTTTTTTAATTGTAGTCATGCATATAGAAAAAGGTAAAAATAATATGAACAATCCTGTATAACAAATGATTTAATGTTAATAAATTGCTGATTCTGTACCAAATCGTACGTATTACACGTTTGGTTAATATGAGTAGATGTATTTAATTCCTAATTACGGTCAAGCTAATTTTAGCATATTATAGGTCATCTAAAACATATCATTTAGTAATCAAAAACCTTTGTAACTGAATTAAATATGATACTAAATAACCTAAAAATTACAATTGGAAAACTGCGGAGTACATCCTGACTGTAACAAAAATGTAGGAGAATGTGTTACAAATAAAGAAAAAAAAAAAAAAAAAAAATATTGGAAGTAGTTTATACCATAAATTTCTACTGTTTTTTTTTTTTTGAGATAATAAAATAATCTAAGTTCGAGTTATTTCTGTGTTTTTCAAAGTCAACCTATTACATGTTAAATTTGTACAAACATTTGTAGATGAACTTGAAGAATTGGAAAGAGAAGGTGCTGGTATGCTGCATAAAGTTGGAAAACCTAGGAAAGAAATTTTCTTAAAAGCATCCCCAGGACAAATGCCAAATGAAATTCTTAAAAAGGTAGACATTTCCGTAGATGATTATATGATTCGTTTTAAGTCTAAGAAGGAAACTGATGGAAATCTTATAATGATGTCTCTTCCTAGTCATCCACAGCACGATGAAATTGTTGACTGGTTTTGTTAAAAAATTTCACGAGGAATGAATGCAACTTGTATGTCATATATGTACTGAAACCAGAATGTAATCATTAGAAATAATGTAAAATAAATATTGGAATGTGACAAGGCAATGTGTTTTCAAATCACATTGGTGATATTATGTAACATGTGTAATAAAAGATTTGTATTGCCTTTTATTTGTTGCAGTTTTCCATATATAATTCGTCGTACAGCCTGTGGTGCTAGATTGATGTGTGATACAGCATATGTTGATACATTGCTCTTTAAATCAGCCGACGCCTTTAAATTGATGTTTGACGTTGATACAGCCTACGGCGTAAGAATACCTATTGACACAGTATACATTGTTAAGATATCTTTTCATAACATTAATCCTAAATTGTAATCATAAACATATCTTAACCATAACCTTTACCAGTAACCGAAATCGTAACCCTTACCTCAAACCGTTACATTAACTATATTTCTCTTTGACACAGCCCAAGGCGTTAGATTACCATTTGACACAACCGACCTAATTGTATGTAGCCTACTGTGGTACATTGCTATTTAAAGCAGACTACGGCTTACGGTTGATGTTTGACACAGCCTACGGCGATAGTTTGCGAATTGACACTACCTACGTAGCAAAACAAAACAAACAAACAAACAAATATTTGAGATATAGCTGTAGTACACTTTGAAAAAAACAATGATACAAAATAATGCTAAACCCTAACATGAACACTAACCCTAACCCTAACCCTAACCTGAACCCTATCTAAGATTGCTCTTATACACAGCATACGGCGCTAGCTTGCTCTTTGGCACAGCCTACTGCGATAGATTGGTTTTTGACATAGACTACGGCGTTAGATTGCCATTTGACACAACCAACGTAGTTGTATGTAGCCTACGGCGTTAGAATGCCATTTGACACAACCAACGTAGTTGTATGTAGCCTACAGCGTTAAATTGCCATTTGACACAAACAACGTAATTGTATGTAGCTTATATGGCCATAGATTGCTAATTAACACAGCCTACGGCGTAAGATTGATGTTTGTCACAGCCAACGTCAATAGTTTGCCAACTGACACTACCTACGTAGCAAAACTAAACAAACAAACAAATAAATATTTGAGATATAGCTGTAGTACACTTTGAACAAACCTATAGTACAATATAATGCTAAACCCTAACATAAACCCTAACCCTAACCCTAACTCTAACTTGAACCCTAACTAAGAGTGCTCTTATACACAGCCTACGGCGCTAGAGTGCTCTTTGACACAGCCTACGACGCTAGATTGGTTTTAGACATAGCCTACGGCGTTAAATTGCCATTTGACACAACCAACGTAGTTTTATGTAGCCTACGGCGTTAGAATGCCATTTGACACAACCAACGTAGTTGTATGTAGCCTACAGCGTTAGAATGACATTTGACACAAACAACGTAATTGTATGTAGCTTATACGGCGATAGATTGCTAACTAACACAGCCTACGGCGTAAGATTGGTGTTTGTCACAGCCTACGGTGAAAGTTTACCAATTGACACTAACTACGTAGCAAAAGAAAACAAACAAACTAACAAATATTTGAGATAAAGCTGTAGTACACTTTGAAGAAACCTGTGGTACAAGATAATGCTAAACCCTAACATAAACTATAACCTAACCCTAATCCTAACATAAACCCTAACCCTAACCCTAACCCAAACCCTTTCTTTAACCCTAACCTTAACCCTAGCTAGGATGGCTCTTATACACAGCCTACGGCGCTATATTGCTCTTTGGCACAGCATATGGCGCTAGATTGCTTTTTGACGTAGCCTTCGGCGTTAGATTGCCCTTACATTAACCTTAACTAAGATTGCTCTTATACACAGCGTACGGCGCTAGATTGCTCTTTGACACAGCCTACGGCGCTAGATTGCTCTTTGACACAGCCTACGGCGCCAGATTGCTCTTTGACATAGTCTACGGCTTTAAATTGCCATTTGAAACAACCAACGTAGTTGTATGTAGCTTACGTCGATAGATTGCTAATTAACACAGCTTACAGCGTAAGATTGATGTAAGTCACAGCCTACGGTGCTAGTTTGCCAATTGACACTACCTACGTAGCAAAACAAAACAAACAAACAAACAAATATTTGAGATATAGCTGTAGTACACTTTGAACAAACCTATGGTACAAGATAATGCTAAACCATAACATAAACCCTAACCCTAACCCTGACCCTAACCCTTAACTTGAACCCTAACTAAGAGTGCTCTTATACACAGCCTACGGCGCTAGATTGCTCTTTGACACAGCCTACAGCGCTAGATTGGTTTTTGACATAGCCTACAGCGTTAGGTTGCCATTTGACACAACCAACGTAGTTGTATGTAACCTACGGCGTTAGATTGCCATTTGACACAACCAACGTAGTTGTATGTAGCCTACAGCGTTAGATTGCCATTTGAAACAAACAACGTAATTGTATGTAGCTTATACGGCGACAGATTGCTAATTAACTCAGCCTACGGCGTAAGATTGACGTTTGTCACAGCCTACGGCGATAGTTTACTAATTGACACTACCTACGTAGCAAAACAAAAAAAACAAACAAAGACATATTTGAGATAAAGATGTAATACACTTTGAAGAAACCTATGGTACAAGATAACGCTAAACCCTAACATAAACCATAACCTAACCCTAATCCTACCATAAACCCTAGCCCTAACCCTTACCCTAACCCTTTCTTTAACCCTAACCTTAACCCTAACTAGGATGGCTCTTATACACAGCCTACGGCGCTATATTGCTCTTTGACACAGCCTATGGCGCTAGATTGCTTTTTGACATAGCCTACGGCGTTAGATTGCCCTAACATTAACCTTAACTTAGATTGCTCTTATACACAGCCTACGGCGCTAGATTGCTCTTTGACACAGCCTATGGCGCTAGATTGCTCTTTGACACAGCCTACGGCGCCATATTGCTCTTTGACATAGTCTACGGCGTTAAATTGCCATTTGAAACAACCAACGTAGTTGTATGTAGCCTACGGCGTTAGAATGCCTTTTGACACAACCAACATAGTTGTATGTAGCCTACGGCGTTAGAATGCCTTTTGACACAACCAAAGTAGTTGTATGTAGCTTACGTCGATAGATTGCTAATTAACACAGCTTACAGCGTAAGATTGATGTAAGTCACAGCCTACGGTGCTAGTTTGCCTATTGCCACTACCTACGTAGCTATAGTACTATTTGCAAAAACCTACGGTGCAGGATAAGGCTAAACCCTAATATGAACCCTAACCCTTACCCTTACCCTTACCCTAACCCTTACCCTTACCCTCACCTTTACCCTTACCCTTACCCTTACCCTTACCCTTACCCTAACCCTAGCCCTAACCCTAGCCCTAACCCTAACCCTTACTCTAACCTTAACCCTAACTTTGATTGCTCTTATACACAGCCTACGGCGCTATATTGCTCTTTGACATAGCCTACGGCGTTAGTTTGCCAATTGACACTACCTACGTAGCAAAACAAAACAAACAAACAAACAAATATTTGAGATACTAGTAATTCAAAATGTCAATGTGTCGATGTGTCGATGTGTCTATATGTCGATGTGTCGATGTGTCTATATGGCGATGTGTCGAAGTGTCTATATGTCGATGTGTCGATATGTCTATATGTCGATATATTTGAGATACTAGTAATTCAAAATGTCTATATGTCGATGTGTCTATATGTCGATATATTTGAGATACTAGTAATTCAAAATGTCAATGTGTCGATGTGTCGATGTGTCTATATGTCGATGTGTTGATGTGTCTATATGTCAATGTGTCGATGTGTCTATATGTCGATGTGTCGATGTGTCTATATGTCGATGTGTCTATATGTCGATGTGTCTATATGTCGATGTGTCGATGTGTCAATGTGTCCATGTGTCCATGTGTCCGTATTAGCCATTAAATGGAACGCCGATTCACTCATAATAATCCGCTGATGAGAACTATTTCTTCCGTATACTCCAGTTGATCCGAAATTTTATAGTTTTTGAAAATTTCAATCTTATAAATTGAGGAATTACCATAAATTAATACTTTTATAAACTCATACCTTATCAAATGAGCACCACAATAGAATAAAAATAATTAAACAATGGGGCACTGTAGTTGCAATTCATAAAGTGTTGTCGGATAGCTGTATTAATATGCTTTGTTATACATCGATAAATAGTGGTGTGTGTAAAATGTATAGGACTCCAGTCATTTAGTAATGTTTTGCCTAAAGATTTTGTTGTTAAATCAAAACTTACGTCTTATACTGAGTTTTTTTAGTAAGAAATAATTATTCTAAAGTAACTTTTACACATGTGTCATCCTAAAATAACATTTAATTTAATAAAACTTAGTTCACAATGCTTTTACTGCAATATCCATTATAGTATTGAAATAAATGAAAACAATGTCATCTGCCGCAGAACATATAAAGGTGCATAACTTCTGAAAAAATAGTTGATCAATGCCAATTTTATAACTCTTTTGAAAAAATTTCAGATATAAACCTAGATTTATTATAAAAATGACAAGAAATATTGGCCTAAGATAAACGTGAAGGCTTTTAATGCAATTTTCCATAAAAATTACATTTCCTAGGAACATAAATCCTATAAAACCAGTTGACATAACTGATTTTAAAACTTGATGTAAGGACATCACTGATATAAACCTTTTGATATAAATTTCATAAAAATCTGCTAAGAATTTCAGTAATTTGAACTTCTTAAATGAAGAGTATACACCTCAAAATAACCTACATTTGTCTTGATATTCAATCTGTGGATATCACTTAATCAAAGAATAATAACCCAGGCTTGTCAGAGGAGTTTAAAAAGAAGAAAGAAAAGAAAAGAAAAGGGCATTACCTTTATCCGATTTTGAACTTTCTGTCAGTTTAAAGTAAAAATTTTGTGTTTTCTTCTTCTGTCTTTTCTCCATCATTACTTGCTGTTCAAGAGCAGATAACTCTGACTGCAATGAACTGGCATTTTCTTCATCCTATAAAGGTAAGTCATAAGTCATGTAAGTCAATATCTGTAATTTGCTTTTATTTCAGCAGAAACCACTGTTTAATGGAAGAATTTGATAAATATGAAACACAGACACAGTGTATATTTTTTAAACTAGCTAACTATCAAAAATCAAACTTAACATTAAACAAGAGTGCACACACTGAAATGTCTCGCCTTCTTTACTAATCATTGATATTATGTTGATAGTCCTAAATATAAAGCTTTATTACAACTGTCACATAAACTTAACATTAACCAAGTAAACTAAACATTGACCAATGAACCATGAAAATGAGGTCAAGGTCAGATGAACCATGCTAGGCAGGCATGTACAGCTAACAATTCTTCCATACAACAAATATAGTTGACCTATTGCTTATAGTTAAAGAAAAACAGACGAAAACACAAAAACTTAACACTGAGCAATGAACCTTGAAAATGAGGTCAAGGTCAAATAAAACCTGCGTGACTGACATATAGATCATAAAATATTTCCATACACCAAATATAGTTGAACTATTGCATATAGTATTAGAAAAAAAGACCAAAACTCAAAAACTTAACTTTGACCACTGAACCATGAAAATGAGGTCAAGGTAAGATGACACCTGCCAGCTAGACATGTACACCTTACAATCATTCCATACACCAAATATAGCTGACCTATTGCATGCAGTATTAGAAAAAAAGACCAAAACTCAAAAACTTAACTTTGACCACTGAACCATGAAAATGAGGTCAAGGTCAGATGACACCTGCCAGCTAGACATGTACACCTTACAATCATTCCATACACCAAATATAGTAGACCTATTGCATACAGTATAAGAAAAACAGACCAAAACACAAAAACTTAACTATAACCACTGAACCATGAAAATGAGGTCAAGGTCAGATGACACCTGCCAGTTGGACATGTACACCTTACAGTCCTTCCATACACCGAATATACTAGACCTATTGCTTATAGTATCTGAGATATGGACTTGACCACAAAAACTTAACCTTGTTCACTGATCCATGAAATGAGGTCGAGGTAAAGTGAAAACTGTCTGACGGGCATGAGGACCTTGCAAGGTACGCACATACCAAATATAGTTATCCTATTACTTATAATAAGAGAGAATTTAACATTACAAAAAATCTGAACTTTTTTTTCAAGTAGTCACTGAACCATGAAAATGAGGTCAAGGACATTGGACATGTGACTGACGGAAACTTCGTAACATGAGGCATCCATATACAAAGTATGAAGCATCCAGGTCTTCCATTTTCTAAAATATAAAGCTTTTAAGAAGTTAGCTAACGCCGCCGCCGCCGCCGGATCGCTATCCCTATGTCGAGCTTTCTGCGACAAAAGTCGCAGGCTCGACAAAAATGCTAAAAAGCGTTTAATACATTTAGTGATTATCGTTGTTTTTAGTATTGTTATGTTTAAAAAATCTCATCAAAATTGTAGATTTCATTAACTTTCTATACATGGTAAGAAAAAAATCTCAACCTTCCAAGCATCTTATTAATAATATTCTTCATAATAATGCAAATGGCCACTCATATAACATATTTTTCTAAGGACAGTATTTTCAGAAAATATCAACTTCTGCTGAGTGATGTTGAATTTAATTAATGTTAATTTTGTTTGATATATACAACTTTGAATCAAGTATTTCTGTAATAAAAACCCACAATGAACTGGCTATTGGTAATTAATATATCTGTTAAATTATGGATTGCTGAAAAATTGAAAACAAGTGATTTTATTTCCCTTAAATATCAGATACTTTTCTCACTATTTAAATATTTAAACTTGGACTGTTATCTTAAAAATCATTGGATTAAGGACTGTGATGATATATAAAAGTGCCAGTTAATTTTTATATGAAACACCACTTTCCTTATTACCTAAAAATATATATGGAAAAAATATATATCTAGCAGCTATACAATATTAAATAATTCCCTGCTGCATAAACTTTTTGAACCTTATTGGTTCTGATATGGGCCATCTGGGCTGAAAAAATTAGTTTTAATACATTAAATTATGAATTAAAAATATCCCTACATGCAACAAAAAAAACACAACATGCAATTTTTAGCTTTTGCAAAATGTTTGTTGAACTGTCTGCCCAATGGCCCACATCCTTGATTCCAATATTTCTTGATTATATCATGCTAATGTCTTCCTGTACATGCATAATTTACCTCAAGATCTTCATTTATTACCTTCAAATACATTTTTTTCTAGTTTTAACTTAATTCAGAAAAGCCAATTCTGCTGCAGCCATCGAAGAAATTTATAAGTGGCACAAGTTTGGTTTTTGAATAATTAATTTGTTTTAACTACAAGCAGCTGAATGACATCATACGTAGCTAGAAAAATTCAAGTAATTATACCCATGTACCTCGAAAAGAACAATTTCAACCACAATATTTTATAAAGGAATATATATAGGGGCAAAAAGTGTTTAGTAGGGAGAAATGGCAAATTCTTGAAAATTTCCTGCATGCTGAATTAACATTTTAGGACTTGACAATAACATGACAGATCATAAAATCTCACTAACAATTTTACCATGAGACCACTGAGGCGGTTTCGCAAGAAATAGATGCCTCAGACATATTTTTTATTGCTCATTTTTAAAGTTGACTTTTTGTGGACGTCGCATTTGACGTTTCCATCAATTTTACTTTATTCTAGAGATACTTCATCTGTTGATATATATTATGACCGTTTTGTGCAAATCTAAATATATCTAGCTATGTTGAAAGACATGCATGATGGCAAATTATAAAAATACAAATTATTTTGTCTGTATGAAAACTTTCAAGATTTCCACTGCTTTTTTGGCAAAATGGGTACAATTTGGGTACTGTGATGTTTATTAAAAGTTTATACATAATACACTTACTATACTCTGAACAAATTTTTCCATCTCTGATGAAAAATTTAACTGCATTGTAGCATAATGGTATACAACATTACATTTCCTTGTATGCAGTGGAATCTCTGTTCGTACATTATCCACTAATGATAGCTGAGAAAGATGACAAGTCAAATTACTTCCCTTACTTAACATTCCACTATCAGCAGAAAACACACGATTTTGATTTGTTTTCTTATTTTTACGATAAATCCCATGTTCAGATTTTTCAGTTTGACTATCTGATTTGTTGCTTTCCTCTGTTGAATCATGTGAACGATAACTCCGTTGACTATCAGAATTATTTCCCAATGTTCGCACATGATTATTTTCTGTTGGAATATTACTCTTGCTAACATCCCTGTTCGGAGTTATCTCCCTTTCCATTAGTTTATCATTAGAATTATCCGACACTAAGGTATCATCACTAAGCCTATCGATATTATTTGGCACATTTTGTTCCGACACATTATTAAATGATGAACTTTTAGATTTGTCGTGGTGATGTTTACGTCGAGGTCTACGCCTCCTTTCGTAATTTTCATTGTCTGTTGAATCTGATGTTTCAGGTTGATGTAACCGTTGATGAAGTGACATTGTTCTTTGACTAGGAAGATCTCTTTGGTTTTGAACCTGAACAGAAGGTTCTAAGACAGTAGGCGGAACCTGAGGTGATCTATAAAAGAGAAAAGTTCATGACATATCTGAAGAAATATATTATATATACAATGTACTTCCTTAGATACCTTACTTGTTTTTAAATCTTGTACATGTCAAATAATTATTTAATGTTTTATTAATATGGTTAATTTACCAAATATATTTTATTTGTATGTACAGTTAATTACTTGTGGTGAAATTCAGCCTCATTTATATTAGTATGACTTTTTGTGGTAACAAAGCATTATTTCTGAACATACCAAGTCAGGTACAACAACTCTTGCTATGTGGAACTAGTTTGGCTGTGCAAGATGAATAAATTCAAAGTCACAACTAAATAAAAATGGTAATGCAAAATATTCATAGTAGGAATCAAAATGAATGTACCAAGTCAGGAATATGACTTCATCACAAATTGTTCATGAAGACTGTAAATTCATAATTTTTTATTATTACAAAATTGTAATGAAATAGATTTTGCAAAAATAAAACCTCACATTTTAATTTTGACTGCAGTATTCCCTGAATTTTTAATAATTAATCTCACTTTTTTGCACATTGTTGAACAGTAACAAATATAAAAGCAGGCAAAAATTGCCTGATTTGACAGTTATGAAGACATCAAATATTTAATACAGGGTATATCTTAAAGTTTAATGCACTAGTTATTCTTACTTGTAAGTACTTATTATTTTGCATGATCAATATGATGCTTAACCCACATCTTTTTTAAATCATATGTGTTAACAAGTGGTTAAATTCCAAGTGTGACCCCAAAGAGGGGTTAACAGGTAAAAATCAATCTTACAAACAACCTTACCTGTTAGATGCATTGACTGAATCATACAGACTCATCAACAAATCTGGGGCCCAATAAATGTCACAGTATTTCTCAGTTATTGCACTAGCAAAGGTTTCCCACTTAAGGTTTCCTAAAGAAGCTATATATTCAGCAGTTGCTAAATCCTCCACACCATTTTCCATATAACCATCAAATGCAAATTCCTCCCTTAACAAGTGAATAACACGTCCCAATTTCTCCTGTTGAGAACTATGGACGTTATTCAATAATCGTTCAACCATACTTCCTGCGGCAGGAGGTTTATAAGCACCATTCACGCTACTGATACCGCTATCTTTAGAAGCAGACGGGGAAGATGACTGGGATTCAGAAATAGGTGGCTGCATAGACACCTGATTATCTGCCCCTGATTGTTTATGAGGTATGTGTTGATTGCTAGAACGTTGTAACGAGTCAAACTGAATGTTTTGATGATTGTTCCTGTGAAGAACAGTATCATCATAGGAAGATCCTGGTTTGATCTCAAATGCTGACAGATGACTAGAATGTCTTTTCATAGCTTCACCATCAGAATGAAAATGTTCATCATTTAAAATATGTGCAGATTTAGATCTCCATAGATTGCTAGTTTCTGCTGAATGATCTACATGTCGAGCACTATGCACTCTCCCTGTGTTCTTAGCTCTCATGTTAGCAGTTTTTTGTAAAAGATTTTTAGCTGCTCTGCCAGGTCTTCCTGACCTACTAGCATTTGGTGAACTATCCAAATCACCACTAGTATTTAGAGGAGATTGATTTAACACAGTAAAGTTTCCATGCATTTTCTGACTTTTTGCAGAATCTGATAAATATCCATAATCATTTACCGTTGGCTGTGGAAATGGTACAGGCATTCCAACAGGTACCAACTGCACAAACCCTGTTCTTGGATCTTGTTGTAACTGAACTTGCATGGGATAACCTGGTACCATTCCACCTCCATACTGTGGTAACGTCACAGTTTGTCCTACAATATGTTGCTGAAATTGTGATGGAATATTTAAATTTGGCCACATCTGTGGTGGCGGCATTTGTGGAGTCATAAACTGATTATTCTGATTCTGAACCCAGTCAGCTGTATCTACCTGTGAAGGTTTTTGTTCTGATTTACCCATATAATTTTGTAAATGCTGAGCAATAGCAGACGCCAAAGTATCAGTATCCACTTGTGTGCCTCTTTTCTGAACTTCTGACAATAAATTTTCCAAAGCTCCCATCCCATCTTTCTTATTGGATTTATCTTCATGACTATCATCATTTGACAATTTCTGTGTTGACGATTTTTTCGGACTATGATACTGTTTAGATTTTGGCTTTGGTGAACGAGGTGGTGTCCCAGGCTCAGCTTCATCATCTTTTCCACCAGACGGTTGTCTATGCTTCATCAAATTCTTTTTCAATTCTTTTAATTTTTTCACAACCTCTTTGTCCTTTTCACTTGGTTGACAATCATTGGTAGGACTTTTTTCCCTTTTGACTTCTTTCTTTTCGACTGGTGTTTCAGTTCTATGTAAAACAATAGGTTTGAAATGTGTAGCTGTTGATCTGTAAGCGGTTGGAATGGTCTTGGCAGGTTCATCCGGTTTAACTGGGACAGGTTTTTTTGGAACAAAAGCTGACTCAACAGTAGTTTTGATGGGTCTGAAAGCTGATCCCATGTCAATCTCCTGCGTCTCATCATGTTTGTTAGAATTTTCTTCTTGTTCTATCTATAAATATACAGATAGGTATTAAGTAGTGAATGAAAATTTTAGTTAGAATCAAAATTAGTAGCTTATGTAGCAGAGTTTATATTTCAGAAACCTTGATTACTTTATTTTCCAAATTATCTGCTTTATCAAACTGCATTTAATATCATCAAACAGATATCTAGCATAGAAGCATCATTGTGAAATAAGTAACTATGTTTACACAAATTTTATTCGTATACATCTACTTTGTTGTTAATTTGCTTAAATGTACCAATATTGTTATTAATATAGTTATTCAATAGTTCATGATTTTATCATTATTTGACTATCCAAATTAATTTTTTAGCTTGACCATGGACATTTGATCTTACAATCTCTTACTTACATTTGAAAAATTGACCTACATGTACAATAAAATCTGTTTTCCTATAGCTGGCAGAAATTATTTTTTGGATAATGCTTGTGCTCAATGTTAATATATCGAAAAAAAATTCATGAACTAAGCCTTTTTTGGGGGGACTGGATTAAAATCTGACAAATATGAAGTATGAAGTCCTTTCAATTTTGTAACATCTCAGAAAAAGCCCCAGCATAAATTTATATTTCTTGAAGCCTTTATTTCAATTTTTAATAAATGTGGTCATACAGTATTCTATTTTCCATAAATTAACATGACAAAATAAGCCATTTCATGTACCTTCTCCTTTGCAATCAATGTTATTTAGAGTATTTGTTTCAACATGTAGATATTTAGACATTTAGATATTTAGACATTTAGTGGTTGTACTTGTATTAAAGAATATCAAATTTTTTATCTCAAGATTATAGGTGTCCAAAGTCTGCTTTAATCAGCTGAAGTTTACAAGTCAGTTAAAATATATTTTCCGCTATACTGTGGATTATTTATTTTTGTGTGTAACCATTTTCGTGGATTAGGGAAAAATTGTATTTTTGTTGATATTTGATTTTGTGGTTTTACTCAAGTCTATACACAAGACTATAGAAAATTTGTACTTCCATGAACGTTGAAATTCATGGTTCACCTGGCCCGAGAACACAGTTATTTCGTAGTGCATTTCTTTTAGACAATAAATTCAAATTAAAAAAATCGCACCTGCTCTATCTCAAAAAGATTTTTACAGTGTAGTGTACTACTATTGATACAAATAATATCAAAATTATAGAAACTTCTACCAGCTCTAACTCAAAATATTGACAATTCTGTGTTAAGGGGGGCTAAAATTCAGTTTGACAGCTTCAGACATTCTAATTTTTGACCTTTTTTAACTGGACCAAATCACTACTTAACATAAAGATTCAGCACCCAAATTTTTTTAACATGTAATTTTATCCCCTTACTTAATATTTCATGCATAAAATATCAAGAAATAAATTGGGAAAGTGTATCAAAAAAAAATGCAAGTTAAACACTGTTCACACTAGGGACTATATTCGTAGACAACGAAAACCAAAGGACGATAACTGTGTCCTTGGACCTAATAGGATAGAAAGACTTGACCAATTTTAATAAAACTTTGCATGACCTAAGCTTAGGAAATTATAAGATAGTTGGCCAAGTTTCATGGCCATAGAATCTATATTATAGAAACTAGGGCCATTTTAATATTGAAATTTGGATGTTTATTTTTGACGTTTAAATCAAATATTTTCAACTGTCAAGATTTTGGCCTAAAAAATTTAAATATTACAAAAATTTGCTTTTTAAATACTCTTGAATATAATGTAATAAGTATTAAAAGCAACAGAACACTCAGTTGATTTATCAGATCTATTACAGCTATTCAAATGTCAAATTTATATGAGCCTGTGCCTGAAAATAGAGATTTTCGAATTAAGGGAAGCCTTACATAAACATGCATTTTTTTCAACCAAGTTGAAGTTTTTGAAGTTTTTTAACCATACATTATTCTTCCATATATATTAAATGTACTTTAAATGTAAAGAAAAGTTACAAAAAGCATACCACATGAGTATAAAATGGTCTTAGGCCATGTAAGACTGAAAATTATTTAGAGTCGATTTAGGCCGTAGCCCATATTTACATATTAAAATGCACACAGAGGCTATAAGAAATGGAAATTTGTTACTTTTTGCTCATTTCTATGCTGAGATGTCATGATACAAGAAGTCTAATTGCAAAAGGACTCTTGAATTCAACTTTTTTTTGCAGACAGTATGGTCTGATGACCAGTTTTTCACTTTTCAATGGAAAACTTGCATGTAGTTTTAGTCTCAATTGGCATATATTTGAACCACTTACTATCCTAAAGAAGAAAATTATGGTAGCATATGAAATGAATAGGGTGTACTGATCATTGTAAAGTGTTTTTTTTACAGATTTAATGAAATATTTGTGATGGACTACAGATTTTATGTACAAAGCTCTTCACATTTCACATACATCAAACAGGCCGTTTAACCAGGGACATAAATACAAATATTCTGCACATTTTTTCTGTGATAATCTACTTTTCTTTAGATTCAGAGTTCACAAATAGTTAATTAAATTTGATTTAAGCATAGAAACACAAATATCAGGAACATAAAAAGCTGTCAGATAGAAAGTCAGCATTGCTCTTAGGCATAAAATGAAAACTGCTTTAAAATGCTTATTTGAGCCGTATAATGGCAAAATGGGACATTTTAACAGAATTTCTGTCAAACAAAGATGTAAATCCTTTACTTTTATTGAGTTTGACAAATTGAAACCAGCAAACCATTCAGGAAAGTTGCCAAAGTACAGAATCTACATTTACGGAATTCATCTCTTAGGCCCGAGAACACAGTTATTTCGTAGTGCATTTCTTTTAGACAATAAATTCAAATTAAAAAAATCGCACCTGCTCTATCTCAAAAAGATTTTTACAGTGTAGTGTACTACTATTGATACAAATAATATCAAAATTATAGAAACTTCTACCAGCTCTAACTCAAAATATTGACAATTCTGTGTTAAGGGGGGCTAAAATTCAGTTTGACAGCTTCAGACATTCTAATTTTTGACCTTTTTTAACTGGACCAAATCACTACTTAACATAAAGATTCAGCACCCAAATTTTTTTAACATGTAATTTCATCCCCTTACTTAATATTTCATGCATAAAATATCAAGAAATAAATTGGGAAAGTGTATCAAAAAAAAATGCAAGTTAAACACTGTTCACACTAGGGACTATATTCGTAGACAACGAAAACCAAAGGACGATAACTGTGTCCTTGGACCTAATAGGATAGAAAGACTTGACCAATTTTAATAAAACTTTGCATGACCTAAGCTTAGGAAATTATAAGATAGTTGGCCAAGTTTCATGGCCATAGAATCTATATTATAGAAACTAGGGCCATTTTAATATTGAAATTTGGATGTTTATTTTTGACGTTTAAATCAAATATTTTCAACTGTCAAGATTTTGGCCTAAAAAATTTAAATATTGCAAAAATTTGCTTTTTAAATACTCTTGAATATAATGTAATAAGTATTAAAAGCAACAGAACACTCAGTTGATTTATCAGATCTATTACAGCTATTCAAATGTCAAATTTATATGAGCCTGTGCCTGAAAATAGAGATTTTCGAATTAAGGGAAGCCTTACATAAACATGCATTTTTTTCAACCAAGTTGAAGTTTTTGAAGTTTTTTAACCATACATTATTCTTCCATATATATTAAATGTACTTTAAATGTAAAGAAAAGTTACAAAAAGCATACCACATGAGTATAAAATGGTCTTAGGCCATGTAAGACTGAGAATTATTTAGAGTGGATTTAGGCCGTAGCCCATATTTACATATTAAAATGCACACAGAGGCTATAAGAAATGGAAATTTGTTACTTTTTGCTCATTTCTATGCTGAGATGTCATGATACAAGAAGTCTAATTGCAAAAGGACTCTTGAATTCAACTTTTTTTTGCAGACAGTATGGTCTGATGACCAGTTTTTCACTTTTCAATGGAAAACTTGCATGTAGTTTTAGTCTCAATTGGCATATATTTGAACCACTTACTATCCTAAAGAAGAAAATTATGGTAGCATATGAAATGAATAGGGTGTACTGATCATTGTAAAGTGTTTTTTTTACAGATTTAATGAAATATTTGTGATGGACTACAGATTTTATGTACAAAGCTCTTCACATTTCACATACATCAAACAGGCCGTTTAACCAGGGACATAAATACAAATATTCTGCACATTTTTTCTGTGATAATCTACTTTTCTTTAGATTCAGAGTTCACAAATAGTTAATTAAATTTGATTTAAGCATAGAAACACAAATATCAGGAACATAAAAAGCTGTCAGATAGAAAGTCAGCATGGCTCTTAGGCATAAAATGAAAACTGCTTTAAAATGCTTATTTGAGCCGTATAATGGCAAAATGGGACATTTTAACAGAATTTCTGTCAAACAAAGATGTAAATCCTTTACTTTTATTGAGTTTGACAAATTGAAACCAGCAAACCATTCAGGAAAGTTGCCAAAGTACAGAATCTACATTTACGGAATTCATCTCTTAGGCCCGAGAACACAGTTATTTCGTAGTGCATTTCTTTTAGACAATAAATTCAAATTAAAAAAATCGCACCTGCTCTATCTCAAAAAGATTTTTACAGTGTAGTGTACTACTATTGATACAAATAATATCAAAATTATAGGAACTTCTACCAGCTCTAACTCAAAATATTGACAATTCTGTGTTAAGGGGGGCTAAAATTCAGTGTGACAGCTTCAGACATTCTAATTTTTGACCTTTTTTAACTGGACCAAATCACTACTTAACATAAAGATTCAGCACCCAAATTTTTTTTAACATGTAATTTCATCCCCTTACTTAATATTTCATGCATAAAATATCAAGAAATAAATTGGGAAAGTGTATCAAAAAAAAATGCAAGTTAAACACTGTTCACACTAGGGACTATATTCGTAGACAACGAAAACCAAAGGACGATAACTGTGTCCTTGGACCTAATATTACCACCTGTACCAAAGAAATCAACGGAAATTGGTATCTTATGAAGAATATAAAGAATCCACAGTATTGTATCTTAGTTTATACCATACCAGTCTAAGTTGTGTATCCTGGAAGAGTTGTTGTAGAATCAATGCAGATGATTCCCCAGTTCTACCATCATGTATGCCACATATCTAAAACAAATATATTATCTATAATTTATATGTGATTTTTGGTTTATATATAGATTGGTTTGTTAATTGTTTGGGATTATAATACATCCTTAAATCATTTATCACCGTGGTCTATTTTGATGGAAGAGTAAATTGAAAAGCATATACAAAGCAATCAACTTTTAATTGTCATCTTTGAATTTTAAATTACCATTAAATCTAGAATCTCAAGCCTTAAGAGTGAAATTAAACAAAATAGAATATGAAATTAAAGCAATATCCCATGTGAGAATTAAAATTCATATTGTAGAGGGGATTCAATTCCACAATACAAATCCTCGTGTTTAATTTCTCTGTTTCATATTTATTATGATTGCTATAATCCCAGCTATTTGCAAAGAGTATTTGACATATTTCAGCACATTAAAAGAAACTGAGCATCTAAATTAAATTGTCAATACCTCTAAAGTATCCTCTATACTGGGCCTCTGTGTCATGTCTGGATGAACTAACTGAGATAGTAACTCCTTTAATTCTGAAGAAATACCAAGGGAGGCTACTGATGAATATTTGGCACCTCCTGTACACCTCAAGGTTGTTCCAAGTCCATACAAACAAGCCTGTAACATAGACAGTATCAGAATATGTATATAACTCATTGAATGCATACTTCTAGTAATACATAAAAGAGGATAAGAAAAGAAGCCTCCAAGACAGTATGCAACATCAGAACAGACTAATGCTGTTTATTTTTAAGAATGATTTTTGCCTTGAAATAGATTTACCTGAAAGCACCCCCACCCCTTTCAAAAGTGTCATGTTCTACTGTCAATATATAATTTTTCCTCCTAACAGAAGTTCCTCTGGAAACTTTTGATATAATTAATTCTATAAAACATATTTTGATTTTTCAGGTGCCACTTGGGTTCTGCATAATCCTGTGTCTTGCCTGCAATTGCTGATGTCAGAGTAAAAGTGAAGTGTTGACTGTTAAGTAGGAGTCCATTTATCAGTCAAATATTATCAAAATTTTGCTCTCGATACTGTCTTTTGGTCATAAAAAAAGCTTCTGTCCAAATTTCATAAAATTCCATGAAAGTTTGACAATTATTGATGTCTAAAAAAAACTTTCACCACAGACTGAACCAATATGTTGACAACACCAATGACACTGATTAAATCTAGGACAGCTATGTCCCGCTTTCGCGAAAATAAATGTACTCAACAAAACAAAGGGCTTGATTTACAGAAGTAAATACTCCCAATAACAAAATTAATTCACTTTAATACCTTCTCAGAAAGTTCTCCTTTCTGTTGTAATTCAGGTGACATAAACATAACCTCCAGTGGTTTATCCTCAGGTATGGCTCTAAAGGAAATACTTCCATTATCTCGAACAAGAAGTGTGTCTAAAGACAGGTATGCAGCTGTAATTAAAAACAAAAATTGACAATAATCCTTATATCTTCATTCACAAGTCCTATCCCTTTACAATCATTTCAAACCACTTCCACCTGTAAAACCATAAACTGGAAATGTTTGATCATTTAAAATGGTTGTTTAAAAAACAAGAGGCTCCAAAGAACCTCAATAGTTCACCTGCAAAAATATTCCATTTTGATATTATTTTACTTTTATTGTAATCAGTTATATTTGCTTATTTATAAGTCTCCAACAAATGACCGAAATTACAAGAAAAATTTCCATACCCTTGTATTTTTTCTGTCATATATATTTTTCCTTTACTGTTTCTTCACAAATCAGGCTGTTGATTTTCTCATTTGAATTGCTTTACATTTTTCATTGTTGACTGCAGTGTGGTGACATATAGCTGCTTACATCCACATCATTCAAACTCTGGTGTTTAATTGTCTCATTGGTAACCATACCATATCTCCTTATTTTTATATTGGCAACTCACTTCATAAATTTCAGGTAATTAAATTAAACTTACGTAGATGTTTCTTTTTTCTCTGTAGAGAATAAGCACCCTCTTTACAAATAGCCCACAATTCCTCTTCTGTTATATTTCTATCTATTGTCTCTAAGATCTCACTAATTGTATAACCCTGAAATTAAATTGTTCATATATATTAAGCAAATGCAAAAATTTCAACGAAGGAAAATGTACTGAAGCACTTTGTTTAAAATATAAGCAAATTTTACTACATACTGTGATTGATCTAATTCTTTAAATTGAAGTTGCCAATTACCCAAAAGTCAAGGAACCATATGTCCTGTAAGGTCCAAAATGATTCAGATAAAGTACTTGTTTGAAATAGTGAAAGAAGTCATGACTTTAACATGTTAAGATTGATTGATTGCTGCTTAATGTCAAGCAGCAAATATTACACTTATATTCAAGTCAATAACATGTTAATGAATTATGAATATACCCTGTTTGTATATTAAGGCCTACACACTGATTTGAATGTGCTAGCTCACAAGGTAACAATCTACTGGTAGACCTTACTCAAACATATGATCTGGACCAGTAGTAGGCCAGTCTTTGCTTTTACTTTCGAGTTCTTGTCCTAGAAGCATCAAATTGTTTTGACCAATGTGAGGATCAAACCAATGACCGTCTGCACTCAAGGCTACCATACTACCACAAGACTGTGGGTACCCGGTATATTTAAATATTGCAATATTAACTCTGAATTTTCAATTTGACTTCTGCAGATTATTTTACATCTGTTGTTCTGTGGTTCTGTCTCCTAACCTTGAAAATGTTTAGCATCTTTTTCTATGAAAAAAATCTTTCCTCATTATTTAGTATTGTATTTTTGAGGTTGTTTGTTTGCATGCTTTCTGAGGTCCTTCTTTCTTTAAAGTGTCACTCAAGATTAAATTTAATTCCTCAGATTTAGCACTGTATAGGCTGTTCACCTGTAACTATCACTCCAAGCAGTAAAGTACATTGACATACAAACTGATGAATGAAAATGTCTACACATTGTGTCTGTTTAAATTTCATTTTAAACACACTAATTACAAAGCAAAATAATCTTTCCCCTAAGCATAACAGATTATCCCAGCTTCCAGAAAATCTATTATCCACAAAAATACAATTGTTCCTCAATCCATGAAAATAAATGAATCCACAGTAGTCAATATTATTTTACTTGTGGTAGAATGTTGACTGTAAAAATGGAAGCTAAATAATAGAAACAAATTGTCTAACTTTACCCTTAATTTTATTAAGTATTATAGTTTCTCAATAGCTTCCATGAGTATATACCCAGAATTGACCACTTGCTAGAAATATATCAGACAACTGCATGAACATTGCCAATTTTCGGTAACAGTATAATTAGTTTCATAACCCATTGAATTATTCAATAAATACATATTCCTGGGATTTTTACTCAAATTATGTTCATATGAACATGGTAAGTGAAATCTTTCAGACATCAAACTACACTTTGGCATTATTAGATACATATGTATTAAATTGAATATACTAGGATCTAAATTAAAAGAGCACTTACAGTTCATGATATTTTTACAACAGAAAACTAGGGCTCCAGTTTGAATAAAAACATTTTTTTTCTGAATTTGTGCCTTTTTCCTCAACTTTGGGTATTTTTTTTGGGGGAAAAACCTTAACAAATACCAGCATATAAAATATTTCAATAAAAGCATTAATTATAGCATTTTCTCTTACCTGACGTTTCTTTGTCCTATTTGTCTTCTCAGACTTATTGGAATCTGACTTTTCTTTGTTGGTTTGAACAGAATCAGAATGTTTACGTTTTTGAGGCACAGGTTTAAATTTTGTCATATTTTCATTATTATTATCATTATTATTTGATAAATCCATATCAATTACTCCAGAATCATTATCCAGCTGTTTTTTAAGATCTGGCTTTCTAGGAATTGGTGGTTTAAATCCCATATTGTCACTCTCATTTTCACCACTTAAAGTTCTATTTTTATTTTTCCTGTTATGTGGAGATGACTGTTTCAAGTTTCCAGTTGCCGTTGGTATCCCTGTGTAATTTCCTCGAAGTGCCATGTCTTCTTCTGCATTAGCAGACGACACTATTTCAGGTGACACAGCAGGTGTAGAATGCTGCTGTGGATCGGTTATGTTTAATCCTGATGAATCTGGTAACAATTTTGACTGGCTTTGTAAATAGTTTGCTAAACCTGCAGTTACGTCAGCTAAACTTGACGAATGACCATCAGGTGCTGGAGAAAAATGTGCTGTAAATGATCCAATCTTACAACAAATATCTGCTGATGATTTGCCAACAAGTTCCTCCTCACATTGATTTATAAGAGATTCTAAATCAGGTCTGTCACTTGGTTTTTCAGATGTCATATAACCAAATAACTGTCTTAGTTCTGCAGTGATTTCTGGACGACCTGGTTCCCCATTATATTCTGCTGCATACAGTAGTGTCATCCCAAGAGAAAACAGATGCGACTGAAAATAGAATTTTTTTTTTTAACACTTTAACTACTAGTAATCAACATAATGTGACACTGATAGAATTCTAACAGTTCTATATTTCAAAACTCCAACTATTTAGAAGGTTTTTCTTTTCCAAAAATTCAAAACACCAAAAACTGTCATAAATCTTCTATCTACCTTATAATTCTGACTGTAAAAATATCAATTTCAACAGGGAAAATAATTGGACATACTTACTTATTGTTAAAAATTACTTTAATTGCTTACTGTGAATAAGTAAAGACAGCAAAGTAATAACGTCTTCATTCAAACTTTAAAATGAAACAAAACAAATTGAAAATTTTCTGTAATTAAAACAAAATAAAGCTGAAATGAAATTTTTACAAAGACTTATTTCTTTATGGTACACGAAATGTATTTCAATAGTGAAATATAATACTAATTTACTGGCTTTTGTTTGGTTGACATATTAGAAAAATAAACATATTTTTATAGAATATCTTTTAGTACAAGAACTTTTGAAAAATAAGGAGACAGTAATCTCTTGGTTAGTTGTTCATCTGAACTGAGATATAAAACTGCTTGGTAAGTTGTTCATCTGAACTGAGATATAAAACTGCTAGTTCCAATACTATAGTTCTAGCATCATCAGAATGGATTATCACACCTTCTTTCATCTAAAATCTATTCCAATTTTCTATTCACTTTAATCAAGCAAGTGTTCTCAAAATAGAACGTTTAACTATTATATAATGTTATCTTGTCAAGTCCAAAACTGAGATGCATGTGACTTCCAACGATCAAAAAAATGTATTAAAAACTTTTATTCTGTATTCACTTTTAATACAATCTAACACAATATTGATCTATAAGTAAAAAAAATGCATAAAGAAAGAACTAAATTGCTTTTTGATTTCATTGAAAACATTTCTGATAAGTCAACTGTTATGTGGACTGATCTTCATGCTGATTGTTTTAAAAATATTGAATTTATGGCTAGATGACAATTATCTCAAAACAATAGAATTGACAGGGTTTTACTATCTGGCAAAAAGAAGGGTGTGCCCATACTTTTTATCTTTTATCTAAAGAAATATTTGTATTTTTTTTTTGTTTCTGAATTCATGCAGAGGCTTCTTTTCAACATTCAGTTTTGTATTTACGATTAAACCTCAAAGGAAACTTTTGCTAGACTCAAGCAACATTTGAAACATTTTAAATTTTTTTAATTCAATTATATGAATACACAAGTTTTTATATTTAAATTATTTGGAAAAAGGGAGTATAATTTTTCACTCTCTTGGAGCGTTCGTTACATTCAACTAGAGGCTATATAGAATTGACTAAAAGTATGTTATTGCATAACTTCAAAGCAAGGTTATTGTTTTCTATACATAAGAGATTTATAATAGTAAAATCACAGCTTACAAAGGTTAAATTATCTGTTCTATTACCCAGGACAATTTCAACCATGCAGACTTATTTGTAGATCTTGTCTTGCTGATTATTTTTGCTTATTTAAAGTTTCTGTCCATCTATTATAATTTTCAAGATAATAGGCAAAACTCCTATAAGATGTCGTCTGACAGTTTTGATGAAAATGGACAATAGTTGGACCTCATCATTTTGAACATTTCTGCAACTATTAGAATTTCTCTATTCCTATCAGTTTTCAAGAAAATAGGCAAAACTTGCATTTTACCCCTATGTTATGTTTTTAGCCATGTCTGCCATGTTGGTTGGCAGGTGGGGTCACCAGACACATTTTTAAAACTAGATACCCTAATGATAATTGTGGCCAAGTTTGGTCAAATTTGGCACATTAGTATCAGAGGAGAAGATTTTTATAAAAGTTAATGACGACAAAGGACAGCCGATGCCAAATGATGAGAAAAGCTCACTTGGAACTTTGGGCCAGGTGAGCTAATAATTAAGACTCTCACAAATCAAAATTTCCTTACCTTGTAAGACTGCTCATTGTGTTCATATTCTGGGGGTATATACAACTGTTCTGGTTCTGTAAATATAAACATGTAAATAAGTAAGTTATGACCAAACAAACTATTTGTGCCCCAAATTATGTACTAAATTCGATTATAGTATCCAACTTTAAGGAACATAAGTACAATAGAAAATGTCATTTTTTTGCTTTTGCATACATTCTCTTCATTCTATATCAATTAAAAACAAAATTGATTTCTTTGTGTTTGTGTGCGCTTTATATAGATATAAGAAGATGTGGTATGAGTGCGAATGAGATAACTCTCCATCCAAGTCAAAATTTATAAAAGTAAACCATTATAGGTCAAAGTACGGTCTTCAACACGGAGCCTTGGCTCACACTGAACAGCAAGGGCCCCAAAAATTACTAGTCTAAAACCATTCAAACAGGAAAACCAACGGTCTAATCTATATAAAAAACAAGAAAGGAGAAACACTTATGAACCACATCAACAAACAACAACTACTGAACATCAGATTCCTGCATGTCAAAACACAAACTTTTTTCCTTTACATAGTTTTTTCCTCCATCTGATCTCAGTTCCATGATTACAAAGTTAACCATCTATTTGTGTGTGCAAAAACACCATTGTTTTTTTTCTTTAACACAAAGTTGTTAGGATACACAGTATTTCATTTATTGAAGCTCAAAGCCTTTGAACCAAGCTATTAAATACGATTTTGGTATTGAAGCTTAGTGGCAAAAGAAAAAGAAAAATATTGACATTATTTTAATGTTACCGATACCTGAAAAACTGACTGTAATATTTTGTTTTTTCCCATAACTTCTATAGTCAATGATTTAACAGTTTTAAAAACAGCTTCTGAAAATGTGGATACACAAAACACTCAATTTAAATCAAATTACTGTTCTCGAAACCTTTTATAAATATGTATATTACTTGTAATAAATTTCATATCGTTAAAATTACTATTTTATTAAGGAAGTCAACACAATGAGAATTTGGCTTTATTATATACTGTTTCTTTGTGAGAGAAAAAAAACATTAATTTCACATTTAAAATTATTAAAATTGCCATCATTTTTAAATCAATTTAATAATATATATTTTTAATTTTACTCCCAATTCATTTATAGTCTAGCATTAGTAATCCAATCACCTAATTGATTTTAAATGTTAAATTTATGTATCAAGAATGTGGATTCCAATAATTGTACAATGAATTGATCCTATATTTTCACACACCTTCTTTTCTTTACTTTGAGTCAGAACAAAATAAAATAAAAATGGAATATAGGGGAAGACCAAGTATAAAAAGGTGAGAACTTGTATCAATGTTCTTCATCTTCAAAGTTGAAGAATCTTTAAATGTTTATACATAGTTCACAGGGCTGTAGCCAGGACATGTCAATGGGGGTGCAATATCATTGGTGAGGGGAGGGGGGGTCTTAAACCCCAATACCACCCCTGGCAGCTCTTGGGATTTGAGAACATTTAAATAAGCCAATAAGCAAATCAGTCACTTGAATTAGGAGTTTACAGCAATAAAAAGGGAGTATGATCGAACCCCCCTTCACCTCACTGGCTACAATTTGGGTCCTATACAAAACAAAAAACTGAAGATGGCCCTGCTATCTAATTAATGTTATGGACAGCCCTACATAAAATATGTAAATGAAATAAGTAAATTATGAAATCTTAATACAATCATTTATTATCTTACAATGAACAGTTTAAAAACAGTTGCAGCAAAAATTTTCAATAAATCTATTCAAATTTTTTAATATACAGCATAATTATCAGATTCTAAGCTAAATTCTAATGTGATATAAAATATATACCTTTGTACCTTAGTCTTCCTATGTGAATATTAGTACCAAGGGATATTCTATTCAGGTTAAAAGCTTATCAAATAAATCAGGAAAATTCATTTACCATTCCAATTACTATATTTTTAACAAGGGTTTGTTAATCGGAGAATAAGCATACAATAGTTTTTATGAATTTAAGATTTCAAAGACTACTTACAATAATTTGTCATGTTTTCTGTTAGTATGATTAACCTAAATGGTATTTATGTTTCAGGCCCGTTCCAAGTCTTTCAAGTTCAGCCATTTCAATAGGGACTATGCAAATGTTTTTAAACTTTGTAAAAACAAAAGTGTAAAAACATTGACTTTTATAACCAATTCCTACCTTTAAAACTTCTTAATATATCCCAATTAAAATTTCTCTCATGGCAGAATTTTTATTACACATAAATCCTTATTTTGACGATAAAGCCATACACCTTACAAAAACAATTCCATGTGACAACAGACCGCAACGTCACATTCTATATCATAAGGTATCTATTACTCTCTCTTTTGGCAGAATTCCGCAGACTTATTCAAAGAAGAAAGGTCAATGCATAAAACAGTAACAAATCTTGTCCTACCATATGACCTATGTAAATTGTTTAAAGGATACTGTTACATTTGCTTTTTTCATAAATGATTTTTTTAATTGAGGCTTTTATTAGTTATGGTCGTAAATATTCTTATAATAGATCATATAAGTATAAATTTTTCCAATTAGTCAAAATCATTCTGAAAAGTTTAACTGAAAAACTACGGTACCTACATCAAATGGAAAGATCTTATATTAAATAATATAAAACATAATCATCAGTTATGAAAGATTTGAACTATGATTTTTACCATATAAACCAGTATATCTGATTTCACATTGAATTCTTACGACGAGTCACAATAAATTAAAGGTTTGACAAATAGTTATAACAGAACCAAGCAGTGAACAACAATAGCTGTAAATCTTAAACTGTATATCAATCTTATTAAATAAACAATCAGCAAATTTAATATCATAGAGATTTTATAAATAATTAATTTTCCGAATAGTTAAATGCTTGAAATAAAATACAAAAGTTGTCTAAATTATGTTTATTATAGCATACTCTATCACTCTCTCTCAATGAACCCAGAAGAGATTTTTCTCTTTGTTTTCATGAATGTTATAGTATTTTAGAAGCTGCAGTTTTTTCCATGAAATTTGACCTGCTTTTGAAATAATATGCAAACTTTGAATAAAAATCTGCTTTTTTAAAACTTATTTTTTGTCTCCATATTACGAACATAGAAGACAACAAAAAATAGTCCTAAATTTAAAGTTTTCCATGAAAAATATTCCCTTTAAAATTTCGACACAAAATATTTTACAAAATCAATTTCTGCTACTTACCTTAACCTTGCAATTATCAAAAAAAAATTAATACAAATTTCGGTGACAAAGCTTTCACAGAGATTTCATTAATCTTTATTGACCCAGGAGTTTAACTAAGATGATAAATAAATATTGTGAAAACAACGTCACTTATTATTTTATCGAAGGCTCTCATAATGTATCGATCTTTAATAATAAGAAGAAAAGATCATATCATTTCAGTGTGTATCATACAAAGACACCTGAACTCTTTCCTTGGTTGTAACGTTATGTTGTGTTTACAAAGATTACTACTGAAAAGATAACCCTTATTGAAATAAACACCAAAGGCTTGATTAATTCCCTTACATTCTACCCTTATCAAAACCATGACAAGCTCTATGTGTCCTGAATGCTATTGATGAAAATCTGACAATCAATCAAAAATAAAATTTTGTATCATTCATAATTAAAATTAATTTGACCTCTATATTTAATAATAAATAGACCTTTACAGAAGTGTTTTTGTTCAACATATGGTTCGTTCAACCAAGTCATATGTGCATGTGTCTGTCCAAAGATAGGAACCTCAACAGTGTTTGTCTTTTATCTTGCTTTTTTGTCATTCGAAGATTTGGTGTTGATGACCATTCTTTGATAGATTCTGTTAAAATTAATCACATCTTATTCAGACTTGAGGGGAGACAACTGTTCATAGTTGAAGATTGTATGTTGACCTCTAGATAGCTTTTTTTTTTGGGGGGGGGGGGGGGGGTGTTGTTGGGTAACTGTGTAAATTGATGAATAAACAACATTTCCTTTAATTCATATCTGAAAATCCTAATAATCTAACATGAATGGAGAATTTAAAACTTCAAGATTCAAAGGAAGTCTACAGAAGGTCAGATACTGATATTTTAGCTTTTGAGTTTATCTTGTTTGTCTTTCAACATTCCATGACTTCATAAACAGCTGAGTCATGTGCATTTGTCATGGAGGCATGCTATGTTTGTCCTGCATCATTTACCAAATAAGTCATTGAATGAAATATGAAAAATCTAGGACCAAATTGATTAAGGAAACAAGGTTAAAAAAATCTGAAATGATTAAAAAGAAAATCTAGGCTTACTACACTGTGTATAAATTCAGTAAGATTCTAAAGTTGTCATATATGATAATTATAATTTGAAAATTGTTAGAAATATTTTTTTTGGGTGAATAAAGTTAATGAACATACAGTGACCTATAGTTGCTTACATCTATGTAGTTTGGTCTCTGGATGATTGTTGTCTCATTGGCTATCATACATGACATCTCCTTATAATTATATACATGCATAAAGTATGATTTGTATCACCTTTTACATAATTTTTGCAATGCAGGCATCTGGATAAAAAGACCCCCCTTGACTTTTCAATGCATGTTAAGAATTATTTCAGTTATAGTTATATACATAATAAACTAAACAGTAATCTATAGTGTATATAAAAACCAAATGAACTTAAGTTATTCAACAGTTAACAATGCATCGATTTTTTTCTTTACAAATCAAAGATTAAAATGTACATTCATACAACTAGCTATGTTAAGGTCATTTATGTGCTTATTGTATTTCAGTGAAGTTCATTATTAACAAAAATCATTATGATTTGTTCTGTCATTCAAACAGATTCAAAGAAAGATAACTGTTTTACACCTATATACCAAGAATTTAATAATCAAAGGATAAAATATTTATGTTTAATTCTTTGGTAAAGGTAAAATTTCCTAAAATAAATTCATAAATAAATTCATGTTTTGGATGCTCACATTAGAGAAATACATGTTGCTTTTGTCTAAGAAAAATATGTTTTTGGTTGCGGTAATCTAAGAACTACATGTACATATTTTGGTTGCTTCTATCAGAAATGATGATTTGATTTCTTGATAGAAACCACAGTAACATTTGTTATTGGTGTAATACAAGCCTGTTATCAATTCATGCCTAATAGCAACTCCAACTCCCCCCTTCAAACAAAAAATAAAGAAGAAAAAATTAACTTTATGTTGAACCTTACATCAATAAATTAAATTTGAATATAAATCTAAAATTAATCTGAATATATCTTACATACAATTTGAAAATTCTGTAATATATACTTTACAAATAATCTTGATTACACAAAAAAAATGTTGTTTACAGATTTAATTAGTGTGTCATTCTCCCTGAAGCTTCCATCACCAGTCCAGCATTATTCTTCATTAAGATATATATAACTGATACATGGTCCCAATTTACCACTGTACAAATTTAACAAGTGCTCCAAGCATAAAAACACAACATGTTTTATATTTATACAGTATAAACATGCTATTATATGATAAAGAGATTTTTCTAATAGATTTATCACTTAGCTAGCTTCAAAAACATATTTTTTTCTAATAATATAAATAGAAACATGCACAAATTGATTATGAGAAGAAATTTTCAGAAATTAATGAACATTATTGTATTTTAATACTTATTCATAGTGTACAGTTAAGACTTTAGGTGTCTGAAAATGCAATATAACAACTTCAAAGCAAAATTGCCAGAATTTGACTGAAGGTCAGTAAACAAATAATCAGCCTTTCACTTCAGCAGAGGTATTTTGACATGAAAAATTAAAAAACAGAGAACAATGCATGCATAAAAGTAAAAAAATCTGAAAAAAAGAGTTGTCTCCCTGTATTGAAAACAAATTTTATCAATACTGAGGCTGTTTCAATCATACACTTTTTATCCACATGATTTTTTTTTTTCATATAGTATAACGACCATGCTGCCATTTGTTATAGTGCAAAATTTCATGTTTATTATAAATAAAAATACAAATTGTATGGCTGTTTTATTCCAGTGCTGCAAACAATTGTATATTCTACCATTAAATTCCTCTACCTTTAATGAGGTGTTTTCTTAAGTAAGAGCTACACATTGGTTTAATTTTCAAACAAGAAACTACTTTTTATAAAATATCTGGCATATTATTATTATCATAAGTATATTAGATGACCTAAGATTTATCTAGTTTTATCATTTCTACTGATGTGAATTTTTAAAGTTAAAGCTATGGTTTAAAAAATTATTTGATGCTGAGACAGACGAGGAAAGAAACTTCTACAAAGGAAACGTGTTAGACTCTACCATGTCAAAGAAAACAAAATAAAACTCAAAAAGTGCCAAATAGATTTCAAAATTAACTATCAAGGCAAGTTTTGGCAAATAATGACTTAATTAAAGCAACTCAACCTGCAGTGCCTCGAATTTAAAGAATCAAATATCTAAATTTGAAAGATATTTCCAGCGTCTAGAAAAGGTTTTCCATGTGTCTAAACTGAATAGGTTTTTGTATCTATACAAGAAGGTTGTGTTTCTACACATGCATCACACATTCATACATATACATTATTACAGCAAACTTTATAATTGGAAACTTACGATCTTCATATGGTTTCCATCCTGTCAATTTCCAAAAAGAAATTATTTGAATTATTTCAAAATCTTCATTAATGAATACATTAAGTTAATTTTTCACCAAATCTTTGCTACATCATCTTTTTTTGTTGTTGCAGTCCCCTGTTTAATTTCACAGATGTTCTGTTTTCCTTCGATTTATTGCCTTTCTTGTGTTTAGGTGTCATACCACCATTGTTTTTCCCCTATTAGTCTTTGTTAAATTGGAAATTTTCAAAAAATTGTGCAGAATTTATCTTTGTTTCAAATAAAGAAACACTTGGCATGAGTAAAGTTTTATCCTGTCCAGTTCTACAGTGAAAATTTCACATACATTTTATTGCATATAAGATAATAACCATCACTGGAAGTAAACCAATCAAATTTTCACCCCTTTTTTTCTGTTAACAAGCTTTAGTAACCATGTCATCTCAAGTTTCCAAAATATTTTATAGAAGAACCAAATAAAAAAAGAATTGTGTTTTGAAACACCCAAGATATATGTTTATGACTCAGAATTTTTTTTCTGCAATGAAATGCAAGGTTAATTTCCTACAACTGTCAACTTCAAGGGAATATTTTTTTCAACCCTTTTTCGTATGAAACCCAGATGTGACGTACTATGATTTGATGGTTCTCGACCTTCATACTACCAAGTTGCATTTCGATGAAAAGAAATAAAAGCTGTAGCACCACAGCCTCCCAAAAGTGTCTATAATGACAATAAAAATTCTGATCCATTCGGTAATGAATGATTGACTGTCAAACGGCAGCGAGAAATCAAAAGTTACAGTCTTGCACCTGCTTCCGACAATCAAAGTCTTGATTTCAGGTTGTTTCACAAATATCCTTATCACAACTCCAAAATATGCATACATTTATTACTTTTGTACAAGTTCAATGACTTTCATGACCGCAGGTTAAGTTTTCTAAATGTTTTAACTCGAAATGAAATGCATGTCACAGCGATTGTTTTCAATTCCGCCATTTTGTTTCGTCACAAGTTTTTTTCTTTCAACATTCTTTGAAGAAAAAAATTGTGTTTGACAGCGTATTCATGCCAGATATGAATATATCGAATGCATTTAGTGTTTATTTAACTATTTATGGATCAACTAGGTCAAGAAACTCGTTAAAACATTATTTTTTCTGTTTTCATTGTGACCATCTAAAAATAGAAATTTAGGTATCCTTAAGGATAATTTCTGCCTCAGCTCCCCAGTGCAAAAAGTATAATTTCGGCTTGTGCTCCATGGTGCCAAGAGGATCATTTTTGTACGAAAGGGTTGAGGAATAGGTTGATACATGTATATGTAATGGCAGAACTTAAGTTGTTGCTGCAAAATTTAATTAAAAAAAATTTAAGAACTCTGTGTGAGGTTGACATACTGTATTGACACTTGTTAATTATTTTGAGACCAAAGTTGATCTAAATATTTTAATTCTTGTTTTATTGTGATGTTTGGTTTTTGTCTCCTGTAACCAACACCTTTTCTTTACATAAACAACAGAAATATTTGAACAATATTTACAATGTTTGAAGTCACTACAACATGACAACTTAAATGTATAGACATTTACACTAATATCCAATTGGAAGCTGTTTCCGTTGTTTATTGACCTAATCTAATTGATAAATTGTAGATTTGATTCTTTAATTAGTATTTTACAAGTTAAACCATTGGGACAGTTAGAGCTTTATTAATCAAGGACAAATTTGTCTGTATATTTTACGGCTGGTAAAAAATGTTTGACTGAAGTATTTTTTCTTATTGTATTTTAAATTAGTAATATGAAATTCTACTTCTGGATATTTTTTTTTAAAAAGGAACGTTAACAAAACCAAACCTTAGTCCACTCCCCCCTCAATCATACATAGCCTTTGTTAACCAGTCATATTCAAACCATGGTCCAATCCTTCAAACCGAATGATTTAAACTTTAATAACGAGTCATTAAAGCACCTTTTAAACTTTGTAAAAAGAATTTTCGTTTATAAAATTTACAATTTCAAAAGGCATATCCTAATAGTATTCAATAAATGCTGATCAATTGCCTTAGTGTTGAATGTGTCTCCTTTTATAACTTTTGAAATTAATTTGAGCTACAAATATTTGATAAAGATCATTTGTACTTAAAGCATGAACTAAGTAAAGGAAAATAAGCTTCTGTTAAGTTTAAATACAGACGTAAAGGCATTTAAAAGAATAGGTCATATATATAGATAAATTAAAAACAATTCATTGACCCATTTTACAGCTTCTAAAAACTTTGATACACATTTTCTGACGGAAAGAAAAATTAGGTTTCAATGCAAAAATCAAGAACCTATTAACAAATAGACAGCAAAGCAATCTGATGCTAAAAAAAGAAAGAAAAGAAACAAAGAAACTTCTGGATCAAAGAACACTCTTTCCTTAAAGGGGAGAGTAAGAAAAAAACTTAACGTTTATAATAAAGCATTTATGGTCAAGCTATGATGTACTGATACACTGACTGTGTACCCTTTTTACTAGAAACAGATTATAAAAATAAACTTCCATCAGCACAAAATTATCCAAACAACAAAATAAACAAGATATGATAAATATGATTTGATATGATAAGACAACCACTTATGATGTTCCTGACTTGGGACAGGTACATGAATATGTGGCAAGGTTAACCATCTTTCTCTTGTTAACTAAATGTCTGTCACAACAAATAAGCTATACATCCTCTCCTATTCCTTCTTGTCAAATCTGTCTAAAAATATTGTCAAACGTAAAAATCTATCTAAAAAAAACTATTCTCTAAATTATCTAGTCTTATCAGTTAACAACTTTTAACGAACTATGTGGTAATTAAAACTGAAGGGATAATAGCTGGACACCAGTCATATTAAGAGGGTACAGAAAACATAAAAATCATCTTAATGTTTTAATCACATACTATATAGTAAGGAGAAATCAAGCTTCTCTAATCAAAATTAGTGTTTATCAGACAGATATATCTCCAATGAAATTATTCCAGTAAATTGTGTGGTTCAAATTTCTTGAAATATTTATATTTTTGTCAACAGGTCGAAGTAAATATTTCTCAAAATTTTATGAAAATTAAACAAGCCAACCTATTTAAGTCAAAGTGTTGGGTACCCCCTAAAACATCTACTTGCTGAACATCCAAGGCTACCCTATTGACAAGAATAGTGATAATATTAAATAAAATAATCGAACATATGAAATTACCCACAATTTCTCACTTCTACTTTTTACCCCCCGATCCCACCCGCCTCCCCTTCCGCCTTGAAAATGGATGAATTGGCCCATAATCTGTCTATTCAAACTGTCCTCTTTACATATGATCAAATCCTCTTTACTGATCATCAAAAACTTCATTAACACAAAATAAAATGCTTCGCTGAGTGCAGCCTGATGCGACCGCAGAGGTCGAACCCTGAACAGTTGGTACAAATTTGGACACAATATTCAAGCTTGATACTGTCTGAATTTGGATTGCGATCAAATTTTTGACACAAAATAAATGTGGTCAAAGATCTTACAAATCTATTGTGCAATACTGTGCAATTGAAGATTTCTTCTTGAAACTTTTCAAAAATTCAAAATTTGAAAAATTTTGAAAAAAAATATGAATCCTCTAAAAAAGTTGGATAAAAAAATCCCCCCCCCCCCCCCCCCCCCAACTTTTTGAAACCCCCCTTGGAACTCGATCCCAGCCTTTCCTTTGTAGTATTGAACCTTGTAGTACAATTTCAGAGAGATCCATACACTTAAACACAAGTTATTGTCTGGAAACCAGAAAAATTTTGGTTTTGGCCCTTAATTCCTACATATTTGGGCAATTAACCCCATACTCAATCCTAGCCTTCCCTTTGTGATATGGAACCTTGTGGTACAATGTCAGAGAGATCCACACACTTACACACAAGTTATTGTCTGGAAACTAGAAAAATGCTTGTTTTTGGCCTCTTTTTGGCCCTTAATTCTTAAACTGTTGGCCCCATAACCCCTAAAATAAATCCCAACTTTCTACTTGTGGTATTAACTCATTCGCCCCCAAGAGATTTCTGGAAAATCAGGCATTTTCGAAAATTTGCAATCATATGCAAATTATATGCAAATTAGCAGACTCTTGATGCTGTAACTGATGCTCATCTATTAAACTATGTATTGAGATTTGGGGGCAGATGGCATGGGTGGGGGGTGGGGTGGGAGGTGGAATATTTTCTCGTGGGTTTGAACCCACCCCCACTGAAAAATGTTAACAAAAGATGCCCACCCCCACCTGATTTTGGCTACTTTTCACGTTTTTCCGATTTTGAACTCTTAAACGGCTTTTAAAGTGCCATATTTTCATGAACAGACATCTGAGAAGAGTTTATGGACCATGAACTGCTTGGTTGAAGTCCCTGCTATCATGAAAGTTCAGCTGGGGCAGTTAAAAAAAAGGTATGGAGGGTCATACGGGCCATCAAAGAATGGTTGTCGCCATCACGCCTACAGGCGGGATTGGGGGCTAAAGGGTTAAACATTGTCGTACAATTTCAGAGCAATCGAAATACTTATACACAAGTTATTATCCTGAAACTAGAAAAATGCTTGTTTTGGGCCCCTTTTGGGCCCCTAATTCCTAAACGGTTGGGACCATCATCCCCAAAATCAATCCCAACCTTACTTTTGTGGTATTGAACCTTCTTAAAAAATATCATAGAGATCCATTCACTTCAACTAAAGTTATTGTCAGGAAACCAATTTGTCTTCGGACGACGACGACGACATCATACCATTATACGATCACAAAAAATTTTTTGCGGTCGTATAAAAAAACGTGAAGAGCAAACGCACACATATTTAGACAATTTGAAGTACATAATATATTAAGTTTGAAATATATTCAATTAAGTTTAAAAATACATATCACAATGTGTAATCAAATGATAAAGCCTCTTGATTTGGTAAGTAAGTCAAAAAAAGATTAGGTGAAACCTAATCGAGATTTCAGTTTTAA